ATCATTCGCGATACAACGTCCTCGCAATCAATTAGTACCTAACCTGCTGTAATATGGACTGCAGTTTTCCCCTTTTGGTTTGGAAAATATAATTTTAATATTTACCTAGTCCTATTATAAATTACAATAAATTTCTCATCTAAATAAATGGAATTATGATATTATTATTAAGTAATTAAAAACAAACTTCTTTTGTTATTAAGTATTTATTATTAAACTTCTTCTGTAGGAAATTGAATATAAATGAAAATAAAAAAAAACATTATAAATTATTTCCACCCCCTTATTGCTTTACTTACATAAGAATGACACAATAATAAGTTTTCGTATTAAAAAAGAAATCCGTAGGTGTCGTTGGATAACTAGGTTGGAACGAAGTTCCTTCGGTAGTATGAAAAAAAAATTTTCGTTTAGCCCCCATCTACCAATCGTACCGTGCGATTAGGAAGTTCTTTCCAAAAATACGCTTATATCTGTCCGAAAAAAAGTACAATTTTACAAGTGTGACAGGCAATGTATGTTGGTTTCCGCCCCATTATAAATTCACATCCTATGACTTGAAGATACATCTTTAAAAATAAAGCACAAAGGCCGTTCCACTTGCGGCTTCAAATATTATGGATTATGCAAACGAGATTTCCGATGTAACAAGGTGCTCGGTTAATAAATAATTTGTTAACCTTGAGGTTAGAACGAATACATACATAACAACGGATAAATAACTTATCATTTATTTTTAATAAAAGAAAATCATAAAAATATAGGTAACATGTCGAGAGCACTATAGAACGTAACAGCTAGAGAAAATTTGTGGACTTACATCATACTTTTCTACTATACTTTCCTATATTACAAAGTACTCTGTGACTTACATCGAACGAACAAATTAAATCGCTTTAGGGCAGCGTCGTTAGTGATATCTGCATTTCTGTGCGCTCAGCGATTTTGATAAATCATTGCGACTTCTATTCATGCCTGCCAGCCAGTGCGAATATTGATGGTGATGGCGACCTTAATATAATCAAATCCATACTAATATTATAAATTCAAAAGTAACTCTGTCAGTGTCTGTCTGTCTCGCTTTCACTCCAAAACTACTGAACCGATTTAAATGACATTTGGTACACAGATAGTTTAGAGCCTGAGAAAGGACATACGCTACTTTTTAATTGGAAAAAAATGTTGTAACGGGTTGAAAGATATTTATTTAGGGGCTTTAACGCGAGCGAAACCGCGGGCGAAAAGCTAGTAGCTACATAATAATTCCTGTATGCTTTTTGAACTTAAATCTCATTGATCACGGTGTTCTTGCATTTAATTTTAAAAATGACAGGCCTTAAAACATTTGTGTTTATACAGCGTGTCGTTACCACCGCGACAATAAATGAACACACATATAGAGGATAACTTTTTAAAATTGTATTAAACATTTACATTCTTCAAACATCAATATTTACCGAGTTATTAAATCCAAAACAAACAATTTTAGAACACCCTTACGTATAAAACTATAACGTAACACCCTTACGTATAAAACTATAACGTAACACCCTTACGTATAAAACTATAACGTAACACCCTTACGTATAAAACTATAACGTAAAGTTCATTTGTAAAGGTCACAAAGCATATGAATGGGTTGAATGAATTTAAAACAGACAAAACATACTGTTAGAAGGAGAGGCTTGTAATGCCACGCTGTGCGCGAGTTGTATAGGATGTTACAAATGTTGTTTCTTTTTTACATAATTAGTTTGTTTGAAAAATATTTTTTTTTAATTATGGATTTTGTTTAACGTTAATATTTTTTTATGATTATTGGCAAGTAGCGTTAGACGTGTGTTCATTTATTGTCGCGATGGTAACAACACGCTGTATACACAACATTTTTATACATTTGTGTTCATTAACGGGGACAGCTTTTTCTCGTGATCGTGGTGGACAAAATGTTACTAACGAACCGCACAATAAGTGCAGTGCAAGCACACGGGATCGCAAAACTTAAATGTATAGATAAATTGTCGAATGATTTTTCCCCGCTGCTAGAAATCGAACCCCCGACTTCCGCTCCCAGTCGCTCAAGCCACTAAGCTAAGCGGTCTCGACAAATCTCGATGTTACAGCTATTTTGTTTTATTACATTTTTATCAATACTTGCTAGATTTACAACGTACAATACCATTTCTGCACCGATTTTTTAATAAAAGGTGCTGTCTGATGGTCAATATCATGAAAAGTAATAAATCATGACCATGGAAATCCACACTAATAATGGATCATTCATTTGTTATGGATATGCTGTAATGGATGCAGACTAGATCACGCCAAGCATTGCTAAAAATTCAATAGAACAAACATAGATAGATGTCAAGATTTTCGCGCTGTGAGGTCACTGGCTGAATACCAGAAGATACATGTTCGATTCCAGAAGCGCCAAATGTTTTTGTCCATTTTATCTACAAGAATAGACAATTTAATGTTTCATCTTGAGCGTAGAGATAAGCTTTTTTTTATTTCAGCTAAGAGTAATTTATCAAATGAGAACTCAGTTGCAATGTCTTAATAAATTAGTTACATTGTTTAAGTTATGTTAGCAGGAATGAGTGCTCATACAAGTGAATAAACATATTGAATGTTTTAAATATAAGTAGTTAATATACATCTATTACAATCTTTAAATTAAATATAATTTAATGATAGTGATAAGTGATTACTGCACTTGTAATTTTATTTCCTGTATAACATATAAAATATTTATATAACTTTAAACATTTTAACCGAAATGACTCCGTGGCGCAGTTGGCAAGGCATTGGCTTCGCAATCGCAGGTCGTGGGTTCGATTCCCACACAGGACAACTATTTGTGTGATAGTTCATCAACAAGGCATTAAATAAAGATATTTATTTTGCACATACGAAACCTGAAAATAACGAGAACTCTTTGGTGGTAAACTCAAATCTACAACTGCTCATCACGTAAATATTACACATAAGTACATCATCTAATGGAAAACCATCATTACTAACCATTTGAGTAGTGACAATTTATTGAAACAAATACCAATGTAAATAAATTTATTACACCAAACTCTCAACGAATATCTTAAATACGGCTGGAATAAATCTTATAAATGTATTAGGAAAGTTAATTTACATATCACCACCTCAACCCTCTATCATGCAAGTCTTTTTTCGCCTCTAGTATTTCCGCTTGGAGTTCTTTCGCAGCATCTTCACAATTGTTGAAAGTGAATACACGGAAAAGTACAACAGTAACTGCATAAACGCCAAATAGGATAACAAATATTATAGGTGACATCACAATAAGCCTCATATTCTGCTCAATCATCGGATGTTTAACATAACCACCGATTAATGAATACCATACTGCGAACATTGCAGATATTACCGATATCCATTCCAATAACTTTGTCATGATTCTGTAACATAAAATTGAATGTATGGGAATAGGAATTTTATTCATAAGGTCTTTTAGACCATTAGTTGAAACAATAACCACAATAATATTAACATGGGATGTTATTCTAGTCAAATGTCCGATTTATTTACTGTAGTATTAACTAAAGATGAATGATACGAATAATAAACAAGACTACATGGTAGCGTTGTTATTATTACTGGCACATTATCCTTTTACAAATTTATTCCTCCAAACGTACAAGTCGGTTTTGTTTGTTTCTAAGATCTACTAACCTGTATTCTTAATTCCTCAAGCACCACAATAATAAAATACAATGTACAATAATACGATGTGATTAGAATTTCGCCGCTTTTGACATTGACAATTTGACAATATTCACATTACTGATAGGATGAGGGATGCCGAAAAAATATAAACGATATAATATTTACAAGATTAAATCTATCTAAAATTACATATAATCTAATAAACCTAATAAAAAATATTGATATATGGACGTATCGATTTTTTTAAACATTTCGATATTTTTAGCCGATGTTATATTTTGACAAACAAAATTTGTGTAACAAAATTTTATTATAATCAAATTCTCAATAACTATTTATTTAAATTCATATTTATTTATTTAAACTTTTACCCAAAAAAAATAACATTGTGCATAGGCGGACTTAACGCAGAGACAAGAGGCAGGTGTAAAAATTTTCAAATTAAATTTAGTTTCAAATAAAATTCAATTTCATTAAATTTATAATATAATATCAAATTTCATAAAAAATTATTTGACGTCATAAAATTATTATTATTTTAACAACATAAGTTACTTTTTTAAATTCTCGTTCAGTATTTTTATGTCAATCAAACAAGTAAAACTCCTATTAAATTCTGCTCATCTAATCATGTCTTTTCTAGGTTTCTGCGTGTTTCTTTTTGACCCGTTATTAACTTCGTTTTAAACAATTCTTCATGTTTTTTTACAAAGTTCCATGTGTATTCATTAGGACAATTCAATTCAATTCAGGACAAAAGTACCTGATTTGTCTTATAAGATAGGCTGTTTGCTTTTTCCAGTCTCGGTCTCGGTCAACAATATATATATATAGATTATAGAAATATAGATTAATAAAAGAAATTTGACATTAACGCATACCAATTTCTTGTGCAATGCATTTTATATAAACGACAATATTTTTCAAAAAGTCTAACCAAAGATAATAATAATATTACGAAAATTAAAATTGTTATAGTTTAAATTTCAAAGTCTACTGATTATATAATTGTCGATAAAAGGAGCGTATTTTTGTTATGATTTCTGATTCTGACGTTTACGGTTTACGCTTGAAAACTTAAAATTAAAATAAAAATACTTGAAAAATTAGAATACTATTTGTGTCAAATGTCAATTCAATTTGTCAAGTGTCAAGTCAAGTCAATTTCCCAATAGTCAGCTGGCTGTTGCTTTGTTTGTAATAGTTTGTTTTTGTATTAACTAAGAAAATTACGAAATAGTTGTTGATAATATAATAAATTCTTTAAATTCGTGAAGCGTTATAAGAACACCATGAATGAAATAGACGATAAATTTTATTATGTGTACAGTTCATCTTTGGACCACAAAGTTGAAATAAAAATGTAAGTAAAAAAAATCTCAATATCTCTACATTTTACTTATTCGCAATATCTCTGCTTACTTCCCTTGAGATAGATGTCTTCGACATATTATCGTAAGCGAAATATTGAGATTAACCATTTTCTTTTGTTGCTAGTGGTACTCTTGAGGGAAAACGCACAAAGCCCGAATACGACAAGCTCTTGTCAGATCCCATGCTCAAGTTCTCTGGATTGTACCAGGAGGGCTGTTCTGACTTGTATGTTACTTGCCAGGTTCTGTGCGATGGATTACCTCTCGCGCTTCCTGTAACTACCTCATATAAAGCCTTTACTAATAGGTGGAAGTAAGTATTGTAACATTGGTCCAAAAAACTTTGAATGTTTTTTTAATAACTACAAACAATTGTTTCATGTTAATATGATATGTTTAATTTAATTATGTTGACTTGACCTATGCTTAATCTCTAATCCATCAAAACAGGTCAATCTTTTTATGTCTATAATTTAAAATTATTTTCTTTACTCTTTAAAAGTAACCCTTATATCTAATAACAATAGTTAAATGAAAATTCCCATATTAGGTAATTGGATTTATTTATCAATTATCATATTTCTTATTGAATTTTTTATTATATTTATTTAGAAACACTATTGTAATTTTACAGTTGGAATGAATGGATAACACTGCCAGTATTCTTTAGTGATTTGCCTAGAAATGCCATCCTTGCCATGACTATATATGACTGCGCCGGGCCAGGCAAAGTGATGATTGTTGGTGGTACAACTATATCACTGTTTGGGAAGCATGGAATGTTAAGACAGGTTTGTCAATTATACATTACAAACACACTGAAAGGCGATGCCAAAAAGCAAGGTCCGGTGGGTAAGTACCATGACCTCACAGAAGACCGGCGTAAAGTAGAAGTGTTACACTTCTGTGTTTCGTCTGGTGAGTGGGGTAGCCGGGCCCACTTTATTTAAAGGTGGCAATGCGTTTGCAACCTTACGGGTGTAGCAAATGTCCATGGGCGACGGTTATCACTTAACATCAGGTGAACCGCCAGCTCGTTTGCCACAATCTCACATAAAAAAAAGAGATCATCAGGGTCTACCTCTTTAAAATATTGGCAACAGATCTGCAGGTATTCTACAACGGTTCTACAATTCATGGATTTTTCAAGGTCAAATTTATTATATTATAATGAAATATCTCACATTGATTTTTAACTATCCTCTCCCTTATAACTAAATTATACCCATTCTAAAAAGTTGATTGATACTCATTTTAAGGGTTGTACCCAACTGGTAAAATGGGACCCTATTACTAAGACTGCTGTCTGTCTGTCTGTCAGTCTGTCAGTCTGTCACCAGCCTGTATCTCATGAACTGTTATAGTTAGACAGTTGAAATTTTCACAGATGATGTGTTTCTGTGTATATAACAAGAAATACTAAAAAACGGAATAAAAAAAATATATGTGGTGCTGCCAAAATCATGTGAACAGATACGATTTTGTGCCATTTTTATAAATAATGGTAATGAACCCTTCAGGCGCGAATTCGACTCTCACTTGGCCGTACGTAAAAGAAAACTCTAATGATAACCTGCCTAGAAGCACTTGAGTCAACAAAACAATAAATAAAGTTATGTCAGTGATATTGGCCATAGCAATATTGTTTTATTAAAATATTGACTGTCGAGTTATTTTATTTAGTGTGGTTATAATAAAAAAATAGAGGTAGCAATGCCTGAGAAGACGCTAATGTCACATACTTCCACTTCACGCTGGTCTTCTGCTGGTCTTCTGTGAGGTCATACTAACTTCCCCAAACTAGCCTGCCCATTCATGCAACACCACACGCGGCTGCATGGCCGTACCAGTGTCACACACCTTTTAAAACCCGGAAACTGTACAAGAAGTGTACGGTTTCTGTGTCCAATGAAAGTGGTTTATGGATTCCATAAGATTCAAATGGAAAACATCATTCAACTATGATGAAATTAGGATGCATTTTTGTGATTTTTTCTAATATTCGTAAATATTTTCTCAAAATGTTAAGTTTGCTTGAGGAGATCATGGCATATCGGATATTTTAATTGTTTCTCAACTTTATAATTGATGCCACAATGAAATTTGTTTTGTTGGCCTACCCAGCTTTGTACTTCTAATACGTAATAATTTTTTGTTGATACCCACTTTATAAGAGGAAATGTAAGGATCTTTTCGTTTTTGTTAGTATAATGATTTCGAGATAGCACAAACCATGTCCACTAGTATCTGTTTGTTACTTCCGATATGTGTATTCCTTTGCATTCGTTACTAAACTATGTGTGTTTAAGTGTATAAGTTTAATTTATAAACTCGATACTGAAATACGAAAAAACGTTCTTTGGAAGGACTCTCGGGAAGTTAAATAAAGATTGTTATCGGAGCGAAAGAAACAATCGATTTCGACGGCTCATCTCAGTTTTTTCATATTCAGAAACATTTCATACCAGGTTCCATACTAGAAAGATTTAAATCAATCACTATTAATGTCTTAAATACTACTAAAATTTGCCCCATAACAATGTAGTACGTGTTGAAAATAGAATTAAACGCGATTAACTCCTTAAAATGTTTTGTTTAACGCTACTAAGACTTGATTGGTGTGGAAAGTTTTTCTTCATATAATTCCACGCGTCGACAGTCACATGTCAATAATATTTATGTCATTATTCAATACGTAAGGCGCCTTATCTTTACTCAGCTTCTAGAAAACATATCGCATTAATAATTATCTCGTTCGTCGTGTGAAGAAAAGCCCTTTCTCTGTCATATCAAGTCAAAGTGTTGTCGTCGTCATGTTCACAGTTGATTTGTCGAAAATAAATTCGGGAAGATTGAGATTCATAAATAAAATGCGGGCAGACAAATATAAACATTCTTGAGATACTTTTAAATTTTGGAGCCCATTTTTTTTCTCACATTAAAGCAGTTAAAAAGTTGCATTTGTGTTGTGCTCGGTGGACTATTTTTTGTGAATTGGCTATCGAAAATACAGCGCGTTGAAACGGAACCGTCCCAAATAACGATAATGGGGAACCGTTTGAGCGTTTACGGATGGTGTAAGAAACACTACCTTCTGCTGGTGGGGCGCTTAAAGAGGGCGCGTTTGGTTGTCGCGAAGGGCATGTTCGACTTGCGCGTGTGGCCGGGCGTCGAGGGCGGCGAGAGGACCCCCGGCAAGGCGGCCGACTGCGGCAAGGAGCAGATGCAGAAGCTGGCCAAGCTGGCGAAGAAGCACAGGAACGGACACATGCCTAAGGTGGGTGCTCTGCCCGAAGCGCGGCCTCACACGGGTCTTGTCAATTTCGTGTTCATCACGTGGCTCGTGGACGTCTTAACACACAATGGTGACGAAAGACGAACGACTAATCCACGGTAGTTTTTCACAACTCACGATAAATTGTTTAATTATTGATTAAAAATAAATATTCGTGAGCCACAATTTAAATTCCGAAAGTTGAACTTGAACGAAAACTACATTAAACGTCGTAACATTACAAAAATTCAGGTCATGACGGTGTATCTCCCGATCTTTACTATTGGAGTTCTGCTGTATATATAAGATGTGTATTTAAGACCATGATTTAAAATAATAATAGTAATGGCGGAGGTTTGGTGCTAACTGACATCTCGTATTCGCTCTTTCGAGCTGTCTGCTGGTGATTGTGTTTGGTGTTGGGGGTTGGGTAGTATGTATACGACCACTAACCTAGAAGATCTGTTGTAGTCTTTCCATCGAGCTAGATAGCGTCTTCCAAACCAACGGAGTTGACGGTCGATGAGGGGCTAAGGGTCAGGGCTGTCTTGGATCCTCCGGTTTCGCGACGTCTAAGCGACATCATAGCTTTTTATGCTAGAAGGTGGCAAGAGAGCAGGCGAAACGCCCGATGTAAAAAAATTACCGCCTCCTATAGAGGTACAACACTATTATTATAACGCAAATGGGGTTACGCTACCTCAAAAAGGGGGCCCCGGCCGCCTCACTCAGATGAAACGCAAATGTGTATCACTTGAGACGTTCTTCTGTGAGGCCGTTGTACTTCCTCGGAGCTCATCCGAGCAACATCACAAGCTACTGCGTAGCCCAAACGCTGCTTCTGCCCGCATTTCTTAGACTTGACCCTCCCGCCCATCGCTAGGTGGACTGGCTAGACCGGCTGACCTTCAGGGAGATCGAGATGATCAACGAGAAGGAGAAACGTAGCTCCGACTACATGTACCTGATGATTGAGTTCCCCACGGTACAGATTGACGGCATAAACGTAAGTACAGTAAAGTAACAGCCTATAAATGTCCCACTGCTGGGCGAAAGCCGCCTCTGCACAGAGGGTATTAAGGCATAGTACACCACGTGACCCCAATTGACGGCATCAACGTAGGTAAATTAAAGTAACAGTCTATAAATGTCCCACTGCTGGGCAAAGGCGTCCTCAGTACAGAGGGTATTAGGGTACAGTCTACTACTACGATCCCACTGGATGTACGGACTTCACATATCTTCGAAATATTTTTCTTTTGTTATTATTTCGAAAACATGCAGTTTTCCTCCGATGTTGTAATAGATAGATGGTGGTAATCTAATGTGTATGAAAATTAATTATGTATATACAGCGTGTCGTTACCATCGCGACAATAAATGATCAAACGTCTAACGCTACTTGCAAATAATCATAAAAAAATATTAACGTTAAACAAAATCCATAATTAAAAAAAAAGATTTTTCAAACAAACTAATTAAGTAAAAAAGAAACAAAATGTGTAACATCCTATACAACTCGCGCCACAGCGTCGTATTACAAGCCTCTCCTTCTAACCGTATGTTTTGTCTCTTTTATATTCATTCAACCTATTCATATGTTTTGTGACCTTTACAAATGACGTTACGCTTTTATAGGTAAGGTGTTCTAAAATTCTTTGTTTTGGAAAATTTTATAACTCTGTTAATATTGATGTTTAAAGAATTTAAATGTTTAATACAACTTTAAAAAGTTATCCCCTATATGTGTGTTCAATTATTGTCGCGATGGTAACGATACGCTGTATATGTACATAAGTAAAACCTTCACAAAGCAGCCCGTCAGCACGCGGCAAACAAAATCCTCATACAGTAACCCCTGTAGTGAGCATTTGGTTTGTACGTCTTGTATGTAATTGTTTCCTAATTTCGTATGTCTGTGGCAGCACGCAGTGGTCTACTATGAACAGGACGGCGACGAGATGTACCAATTTAGGGCGCAGGCGGAGATCGTGACGGTGCCTGACTACGAGATATTACAGGTGAGTCTGACCCTTCTATATCTCCGCCCGTATGATACTCTGATGTTGGCATGGATGGTTTTTGAACGAAACTACGAGGAATGCTATTTTGTAATGTTGCCACGTCATCACAGAAGACCGACGTGAAGTGGAAGTATGACAAATACTTTCGCGTTTCGTCTGGTGAGTGAGGTAGCCGGAGCCCAATTTTCACAAGGTTGTCAACGCATCTGTAACCCTCGAGTGTAGCAGATGTCCATGGGCGGCGGTATTCACTTAACATCAGGCGAACCGTCGTCGGCTCGTTTGACGACTTTTCGTATAAAAAAAAAGTGGAAGCTTAATAATTGCACGTTTCGTCTGGCGAATGACGTAATCGGGGCACCCATTTTCAACCGACTTCAAAAAAGGAGGTTTTCAATTCGGCTGTGTTTTTTTACTCTGAACTCTCGATCGAGTTAATCGATTTTGATGATTCTTCTTTGTTTGAAAGCTGGTGCTTTCCATGTTAACTTAGTTGGTACCGGATCTTGGGCTCCGGAGATACTTAGGGATCTAATGAAAACCAATTATAAAATGAACATATAGAGCGAGATATTTGAAGTCAGTTTTCTTTTTCGTTGATAAAAAAATTGACTCGTTTAAAAGTCAATGCATCCAAAATGCCCCAGGTTTTGTAAATGTTCACGGGCCCTTTCGCAACTTTTCACATAAAAAAGGTGTGTGTACTTATGTACGCACGTAAGATGTTACACTTATTTAAAGTAGCAAAAGAAAAATGACTAAAAATGTTATCCCATAACATTAAATGCAATTGACAATGGTGTAGGTAATTAAATAACTTAGAAATATCGAAGAGCTTTCCCCGGTTGCCATGACGTTGGCGCCTCATATTTTTTCCCAAACGAAGAAGAAGAAGTATAAATTCAAAATAAAAACGCCCCGGTCCTGGCCAGAGCCCCTCTCTTCTTGCTCGGTCCCTCAATGCTGAGGATCGTGACAACATGATGTTCTCCTCCGCCGCGTTCTTCACTACGCCAGCCCATCTTGTCGGTGCCCTGCCGTTCTTTAGTACAGTAACTGTCTGCTTTTCTAGACTGTGCCTTGAAGAGCGCATAATGCGTCCAAAAAGAGGCTCATTGCACGGCAAATTGAAGAAAGTGACGTTGAGGCCTTTTAGTACCGAGTCGTTAGTTCTCCTGGCAGTCCGAGGAATACGGAGCGTCCTACGCCAACAGCACATTTCGAAAGCGTCACGGCTTCTTTTGCTCCATGTTCCGGCGCCGTGCGTACCCAGGAGAACCTGGTGGAGAGCAAGCAGCACCGCCTAGCGCGCTGCCTGCGCGGCGCGTGGGGCAGGGAGGCCAAGCCCACCGCCGGGGAGAGGGATCAGCTCGCCGCGCTGGTGGCGGCGCCGCCAAGGCGCGCCCTCAGCGCCGACGACCAGGACCTCGTCTGGAAGTTCCGGTACGGATGTCGGACCAAATCGAGTGCCTCCATTCAATATAGAAGCGTCACACTCACTTAGTGATCGTCAAGACGCTACCACCGGTTCGGAAAGGAGAACAGCTGACTCGGGAACAACCGGCGAAAGGAACTCGGCCGGACTTTTTTTTCCCATCATTTATCAAAAAAAAAGACATGTTTACAAAAATATATAAATATATTACACAACGTTTTCTAGTCCCAAACTAAGCTACTATGGGTTCTAGATAACTGATAAACATACTTAAACAAATATGTATATAGACACCCAGACACTGGAAATACACCATGTTCATCACACGATATCTTTCCAGTAGTGAGGACCGAAAACACAAATGCGTGTAGATGGGGTGGGTAGTAAGTCTGCTATAGGACCACGGAACAGTCTTCACGGCTGCACGAATGGGCCGTTCCGTCCGGGGATGCACCGCATCCGCAGAAGACCGGCGAGAAGTGGAAGTGATACACTTCTGCGTTTCTGGCGAGTGTGGTAAAAGTGGCAACGCATCTGCAACCCTACGGGTGTTGCAAATGTCGCGGGCGGCGGTTTTCACATCAGTTGAACTGCTTACTCCTCTGCCACCTTCTCATATACAAAATATAAGTCGCAACGGCCACTTCTGCCTAGATCTGTTGTAGTCCTGCCTTCGAAAACATTGGCACTGTGGGATAACATTATCTTGTCTTGTAAGGACGTTTTGTATGCATAAATTCCACGTTGACAAACACCCTGTATCGACACAATTATAATAGCTGTCCCGTGTGGGAATCGCACCCACGACCCCTTTCGGCGAAGCCAATGGCTTAGAAACTGTTCCGCCGATTAATTAGAATTTACCTCCATTCAAAATTTGTGTCTGCTAAAACCCGGAAGTTCATCGTCATAAGTGCGATTTTTTTAAATTAAATAACACTGGCCGTTTAAGTCGCATTTTAAGGTAAGCTTGTTTTTATTATATCACTGACATTTCGTCTTTAGTTCAATGATGATATCAATGAATTAACGAATCAAATCTTCCAAATAATAATTAATTAATGAACTCTGCGTTGGACGTAATAAGTCATTAGAAAACTCCAATACGAGGCAGAACTTTTTTTATTCCGTTTGGTCTCGAGATAACATGTCGTCACAATTTATTACACTAAAGCAGGGTTTCCCAAACTTTCTACAACGATAGATGAAATTTTTAAAATGTACACTGTTCATTTTATTAAAATGTTAAACGTAGGAGTTATTTAGTAATTTACTTTAAAATGTAACTTCAGTTCAATTTAATGTGAAGTATAGCTGCCAGACAGATTTATATACTACTAGCGACCCGCCCCAGTTTCGCACGGGTGCAATGTATTATACATATAAACCTTCCTCTTGAATCACTCTATCGAGTAAAAAAACCGCATCAAGATTCGTTGCGTAGTTTTAAAGATCTAAGCATACATATGGACGGACAGCGGGACGAATTTGTTTTATATTATTTAGTGCTACTAAAAACTTTGTCAAATGTGGCTAGTGAAAGAATTTAATGTTAGTTAAGAGCTAATTAGAGTCTCTGAATATGGCCCAGATATCTTTTAATATATCCATAGAAAATCTTTCGAACCAGCCACGGAAAAGTTTAGCATTTAGTATGTTAAACAGGTTGCTATAATATGTATCTTAAATTATAAGTAGACATATTACGATATGTTTGAGGAACATACGTAACAATAATACATATATATTTTTTCTATGTTACCAAACTATACTGATATTAAGATTAAATTAAGAACTATATACAGAGAATAATGGCGAGAATACAACTTATGGCATCGTTACAGTATACTTTTACGCGCCATAATATAATATATATTATAGCTATGTTCACGACTGGCTTAACCGGTGGCTGTAAAAAAGTTTGAGAAACGTCAGACGCGTTCGGTTTAGAAAATATTAGGCAACCGTTACTTGCCCATGCGGCTTAAACTATTCGAAACATTTAATCGGGCGCACTGTCTTTATATATCCATCTAACGACATCCAAATGACCACAGACAACAAATCTAACGGCCAGTCGTGAGTACATGAGCAATAGCTATATAACCATGTAATGTTAATTTTGTTATTTATGTATTAAAATCGCAAACGACATGTATGTTAGTCCCGTAACAGCTGAGTAAGCAAAAAACCGATACGAATATTAAATCTAGATAATTATATTTAATAAGAAACCAAATACATAAATTGTTTTTGTTCACAGATCGCTTAATTGTCATATATTAAAGTTATTAAACTTTATAATCATTCTAAATTAACTAGAGTTCTAGTTAAGATATAAAGAGTGAATATGTGCATATTTAACACGTATTTCTTTAAATGTTTAGCTTATGATATTACATAGATAGTATCTGTTGAAAAATCTTCTTTTTATATATCAACTAGATATATACTCTCGTTAGTTTATGGAGTAAATATCTTCATATACAAATATAACAGTACAAAGTTTGATACATTAAAATGTTATCTCTTTATATAACGGTGGTAGGGCCACGCAGCAGCCTCGGCTGTTGCACGAATGGGCAGGCTCGTCCGGGTAAGTGCCACGACCTCACAGGAGACTGGCGTAAAGTGGAAGTTTAGTACTTTCGCGTTTCGTCTGGTGAGTTAGGTAGCCGGAGCCAATTTTCAAAAGGTTATCAACGCATCTGCATACCTTCGGGTGTGGCAGACGTCCATGGGCGGCGGTATTCACTTAACATCAGGTGAACCGTCTGCTCGTTCGGCAACTTTTCACATAAAAAAAAAAACATCTAGTATACACCATCACATTTAACAAATAGCTTTTAACGTTACGAAATCGACATTCGCATCGCTGTTAGTCTATTTCAATTTGTGAAAATCACGGAATGGTCCGCAGCTTCTACCTGTCTTCCCACCGGCGGGCGCTGACGAAATTCTTGGAGTGCGTCAACTGGAACCGGCCCGGTGAGTTTTTTTTCTTCGACACCATTTATGCCGGCACGCGTGTTAGATCGGCATTTGATCGTATTAGAACCTACCTTCAGGCCAACGTATCTAAATATGCAAAAAAACCCGATCTGATAGCGCGTTTCCGCAATAAATATACGATCATTTCAATCCGTCCAGTGGCCGCCAAACTGTACGTTTGGACACGTGTTTGACCGCTTTACAGTTTGTTAAATATACGATGATACGCGGGACATTGAAATCAATAAACTAAAGTGACATTACGAAATAAAGTACCACATTGTATAATATGTTGACGACCCAAATGGCGTAGTGGGTAGTGTACCTGCCTCCTGCGCCCGAGGGTGTGGGTTCGATCCCCACTACTGGAAAAATATTATGTGACGAACATAGTATTTTTCTAGTGTCTGGGTGTTTATATATGTATAATATGTATTTATTTACAAAAGAAAAGTATGTTTAAGTATGTTTATCAGTTTTCTAGTACCCATAGTACAAGCTTAGTTTGAGCTTAGTTTGGGACTATAAAATGTTGTGTAAAATGTGCCAAAAAAATTGTGTTACCTACATTTTTTGTTTAAAACATACGGAACTTCATATACGAGATCCATATTTGTATGCCAATGTCAAAGTCCCGCGGATGCAAGCGGGCCCCGGATATCTCACTCGGCGGACGAAACGCGGAAGCATCACACTTCCACTTGACGCCGGTCTTCAGTGAGGTCGTGGTACTTCCCCGGAAGGGCTGCCGTTTCATGCAACTGCGAAGACTGTTGCGCGGCCCTACCACAGTTAGGGTGGGTACCACTAATACTTCAACCTGATGGTTGTCATTTATTGGCGGTGGCAACCCTACCATTGCTGATGGTCCGTCCGCCATTACAGCCGAGGTGAGACAGGCGCTGGCAATGATGAAGCAGTGGGCCCCAATGGACGTGGAAGACGCCCTGGAACTGCTCACGCCGAAGTTCACCCATCCCGCTGTCAGGAGGTAATGATAGTTTTTTTAAAACATTCCCCTTACCGTAGGATAGCGTTATCCAGTCTTGTAAGGACGTTTTACATACATAAATTTCACGCGGACAAACGACTATTTGTGGCTCGCACAAATAGTTGTCACGTGTGAGAATCGAACCCACGAACCCCGACGTCGAAGCCAATATCTTGACAACTGAGACACGGAGTCATCTTGTTCTCTCTTTCTGGTGTCATCTTCAGTTCAAGTTTAGGGGCACTGTTGATTGTAAAAAAAAGATTAGAAAAAAATGTGGTAGAACCACAAAGCGGTCTTCGCTGTTGCACGAATAGGCGTCCTCGTCCGGGGAAGACCGTCGTGAAGTGGAAGTGGCATACTGTTCGTTTTTATCTGGCGAGTGAGGTAGCCGGCGTCCGAGTCTTTGCACTTAACGCGTCTACCGCCCCAAAGGGGCTGTAGACCTTGATGAACTATAGGTGTGTGCTCGGGTGACGGGTGAAGAATTTGACGTGTGAGCTCTCGGGTTCAACAACTTAACGTGTGAGCTCGGGTCCAAGAACTTGACGTGTGAGCTCGGGTCCAAGAACTTGACGTGTGAGCTCTCGGGTCCAACAACTTAACGTGTGAGCTCGGGTCCAAGAACTTAACGTGTGAGTTCCGGTCCAAGAACTTGACATGTGAGTTCTCGGGTCCAACAACTTAACGTGTGAGCTCGGGTCCAAGAACTTGACGTGTGAGCTCGGGTCCAAGAACTTGACGTGTGAGCTCTCGGGTCCAACAACTTAACGTGTGAGCTCGGGTCCAAGAACTTAACGTGTGAGTTCCGGTCCAAGAACTTGACGTGTGAGTTCTCGGGTCCAACAACTTAACGTGTGAGCTCGGGTCCAACACGTGTGAGCTCGGGTCCAAGAACTTGACGTGTGAGCTCTCGGGTCCAACAACTTAACGTGTGAGCTCGGGTCCAAGAACTTGACGTGTGAGCTCGGGTCCAAGAACTTGACGTGTGAGCTCTCGGGTCCAACAACTTAACGTGTGAGCTCGGGTCCAAGAATTTGACGTGTGAGCTCTCGGGTCCAACAACTTAACGTGTGAGCTCGGGTCCAAAAATTTGACGTTCGAGCTATCGGGTCCAACAACTTAACGTGTGAGCTCAGGTCCCACCACTTCACGTTTGACCTCGAGTTCAAGAATTTGACGTGTGAGCTCGGTACAGATACGCCATCTCGCGACTGAAGCAGGCGCCCGACGAGGACCTGCTCCTCTATCTTCTGCAGCTCGTCCAGGCGCTCAAATACGAGGACTTCAACGAAATACACAACGGTGAGACAAACCACTTGACCAGTGTGATCTTGTTTGGTTTTGTTTTAACTATATCACCTCTTACGTGTTAATGGCGTAGTGGTTAAGGCAGCGAAGCACTTCACGAATGCAATGTTGGTTAGATTTGTTTTAACTGTATCAACTCTGTTTTAATGACTTGTCTCTTGCGCCATAATAGTGAACCTGTCTCTTGCGCCAGAGGGCGTGGATTCGATCCCCACAATTTTTTTTTTTAACTAAAATCAAATACACATTTTCTGTTTGATTTTGATAAGTTTCCGGATGATGTATCATCGAAGGTAATTAATATACACATGGAACCTAAACCAATTTCAATTCAAAAATAATTTTTAAAATCGGTTTATAAATAACGGTTTAATTAAGTTCTGAGTTGACAAATATAAACGTATCGTACAATCGAATTGAGTACCTATTTTTGAAGTATGTTCAAAAGGTCGATCTCGGTATGGACGGATTCTTGGATACTTCCTCCATTTTTGAAGTCGGTTCAAAAGATCTTACTTCTTGGTAAGGACGGATGCTTGACACAGATGCCAACTTAGGAAGAAAACCTAATTTAGGGAGAAAAACTTTACAATTGAAGTTTTAAAAGGTAAATTCAAACCAAAACGTCTTATTTAAGAGGTTTTAGTTATAATTTTAGTAAATTTCAGTGGATTTTTGAATTGCTTTAGGAGTAAATCATCTTCCAACAGTTGGTAATACTATTGCTTGATCCATTCGTGTGTCGTTCTGTTTAAGAGTACGCGCGCGTTTGCGGCAAAGATGCGCCGATTTTCTCCGACAACGAAGGGAAGTTGATGCAGAGCTATCACAGGGGCAGCCAGGCGAGTTTGCTCTCCACTTCAGGTATTAGATATATATTTATTTATTTATTAAACACTTCATTGTACAAACGGCGGCCTTAATGCCATAAGGCATTTTCAACCTGACAACCAATTGCTGCTTGAGTTTGTTTCTCTCCTATTAGTATCAATTTGGACAGTACCAAATGGGCAGTTCCGTCCGAGGAAGTACTAAGACCTCACAGTAGACCGGCGTGCAGTGGACACATCTGCGTTCTGTCTGGTGACCGGGGCCCGCTTTATCGAACGGTTGCAACACCGATCCGTGGGGTCGTGGTACCAACCCGGACGGACCTGCCCATTCGTGCAACAGCGAGGCCTGTTGCTTAGCAGTGCCACGGGTTCATAAGCCTATATGGTTGTATTATATGTATCGTCCCTCAGTGCTCACTGCTAGCGAAATGACAGCATCAACGACAAGCAGACAATCGGACGAGCCGAATGTGGAGGAGAGCCCAGCAGCCAACCAAGACGTATTCAAGTAAGTCCTTTGGACCGAAAACTTGTCCGGTGCGTGTACATGTTTTCGGTGCACATAATTATGTTACCCTCGTTAGGTTATGGTTCAGTATTCGCAAAACTACCTTCCCATTGTACGGGGCCGTTCATTAATCACGTGAGGCTCGAAAGGTAATATTGTAATAATTTTAAGATTCTTTGTGGGTTCTAAAATATGCACCTGATTTTGGGTGGGGGGAGGTTAGTCTTAAACCTAACCGCGTATCACCAAGGGGGAGGTGGGGGGTTAAAAAAAATGCTTAAAAACATCACTTGATTATTGGACGGCCCCTACGTGGCTAGTGGTCACCGCTGATAACCTTGCAGCTCTAGTACCTCTAGCACTAAGGCTTCATAAGGCCCCGTTACTTCAGATCTCCTTATTAGTCCAACTTACCTGAGGCCCTCTTATCTTAGGCCACCTTACTTTAGACCCTGTTATCTTAAGCCCCATACTTCCCTCCATACAGTTGTAGTCTTCCCTTCGAAAACATTGCCCCTTACCATTAACCCCAGGATAACATTATCCTGTGTTGAAAGGTCGTTTTACACAATGATGTTCAATAATATACAGCGTGTCGTTACCATCGCGACAATAAATAAACACATATAGGGGATAACTTTTTAAAGTTATATTAAACATTTAAATTCTTTAAACATCAATATTTACAGAGTTATAAAATTTTCCAAAACAAAGAATTTTAGAACACCCTTACCTATAAAAGCGTAACGTAAAGTTCATTTGTAAAGGTCACAAAGCATATGAATGGGTTGAATGAATTTAAAAGAGACAAAACATACTGTTGAAGGAGAGGCTTGTAATACGACGCTGTGGCGCGAGTTGTATAGGATGTTACAAATTTTATTTCTTTTTTACTTAATTACTTTGTTTGAAAAATATTTTTTTTTAATTATGGATTTTCTTTAATTTTAATATTTTTTTATGATTATTGGCAAGTAGCGTTAGACGTGTGTTCATTTATTGTCGCGATAGTAACGACACGCTGTAGATGACGCGATGATATATAAGTGAATCTGACAGATGATATAGAACGTACGATACGAAAAGAGATAGCAGTCCATAGATTTACACAAAGCTTTTCGAGCGCCTCAGTTTCGGTGCGTTAATTTCGTACCTACCTCATATTTGTATATATCATCACTAGCGATCCGCTCGGCGTCGCACGGGTGCAACGTATTATACATTCAAACCTTCCTCTTGTCTCTGTCTATTAAAAAAAAACCTCATCATAATCCGTTGCGTAGTTTTAAAAATCTTAGTATACATAGGGACAGACAGACAGCCGGACGATTTTGTTTTATACTATGTAGTGATTAGTTTTCGCATCCAATCCTCGCCGGTGCGTTGCAGCGGCGCCGAGGAGGCCGGCGAGGAGTGCCCCAGCCTGGCCGGCTTCCTGATAGAGCGCGCGTGCAACAACAGCGTGGTGGCCAACTACCTCTACTGGTACCTGCTCATCGAGTGCGAGGACGTGGATTCGCCCCGCCAGCCGCCCAGGCACATGTACCTCAGCGTCATGAAGACCTTCTCGCAGAGGCTCGCCAAAGGTACGGCCGCGACCTCACGGGAGAAGGGCGTAGTTTAGCTACAAGTAAAGTACCAGCCTATACATATCCCACTGCTGGGCAAAGCCTTCTCACACGCGGCCCCACATGTATTCTATATATTTTTTTTGTTATCATTTCGAAAATATGCCGGTTTTCCTTCACCGTTGAGCACGTCATAAGTCGGCTCTTGAAATTAACAATGTCGATGAATTGAAGGCGAGCGGCCGGACACTGAGCTGTTACGGCCACTTTGTTTTTCATCATCATCATCATCATAATATCAGCCGTAGGACGTCCACTGCTGAACGTAGCCCCCCCCCCCCCCATTGACTTCCACTTTTCGCTAATAAGAGATAGTCGAGTCGCGTTTGACAGCGTCGCACCCGCCCGCAACCGCAGGCAACGCGGACCACCAGCGCACGCGCTCGTTCCTCGCCAGGCAGCAGGTGTTCATCGACAAGCTGGTGAAGCTGGTGAAGAGCGTGGCGCGCGAGAGCGGCAACCGCAACAAGAAGGCGGAGCGGCTGCAGCAGCTGCTGGCGGACCCCGACGCGTTCAAGTTCAACTTCGCGAGCTTCGAGCCGATGCCGTTCCCGCTGGACCCGGCCGTCACCATAAAGGGCATCGTGCCGAAGAAGGCGGGCCTCTTCAAGTCCGCCCTGATGCCCTCCAAGCTGACCTTCCTCACCGCCGAGGGCGTGGAGTACGAGGCGATCTTCAAGCACGGCGACGACCTCCGCCAGGACCAGCTCATCCTGCAGATGATCACGCTCATGGACAAGCTGCTGAGGAGGTGAGTCCGGACGTGGTCTTTTTGGGGTGAAAGTTTGGGTAAGCGAGAAGCCAGTTCAAGTCGTCGAGGAGGTAAGGGCTAAGTGGTCTTGATTTGGCTTGAAAGTTGACAGCGAGCAGATGGTGATGCTAAGAAGAACGACGTGAAGTGAAAGCGATATACTTTCGCGTTTTGTCTGTTCGGTAAAGTACCCGGTGCCGGTGGTTTGGAAGAGGTTGGCAACGTATTTACAATTACTTATTAACATATTTAGATTTACATAGTGCGTTTCTAAAGATGACGTGCAAAAAAGCGTGGGAAGAGCTGTCGAGAATGAATTCAATAGATTAATGATGATTTCGATTAAAGCGTCAAGATTAGTCAAGTGCCCACTGTTCAAGTTATCCCCAATGCACGTCCATTTCACCCTAGACATCGTTGGTATCCACCATTAGCATTAAAGGCCCGGCCCGCAGGGAGAACCTGGACCTGAAGCTGACGCCGTACAAGGTGCTGGCCACCAGCTCGCGGCACGGCTTCCTGCAGTTCGTGGAGTCGGTGACGGTGGCGGAGGCGCTGGCGGCCGAGGGCAGCATCCAGAGCTTCCTGCGCAAGCACAACCCCGCGCCCGGCGCGCCGCACGGCATCCGCCCCGACGCCATGGACACCTACGTGCGCAGCTGCGCCGGCTACTGCGTCATCACATACCTGCTCGGTGAGTCCGCTCTTGCCTCTGATCCTTAGGGTCTTTTGACTAGCAGAACCGTCGTAGACACCTACGTGCGCAGCTGCGCCGGCTACTGCGTCATCACCTACCTGCTCGGTGAGTCTGCCCTTGCCACTGACTTTAGGCCCCCCGAATGGAGGGACACTTCGGCTGCTGCGTCATCACCTACCTGCTGAATGAATTCGCTCTTTCTTCTAACGCTATGCCTCTCGACTGACTTACTGACACTAAGGCCTTTTGACTAACAGCTTTGAATCTTACCGCCCTGAAGTCTTTACAGCACTATTCTACTGGCGATAGGGCCCCCGACTAAGGGACACTTAGGGCCTTTTCACATCCAGAACAGTATGACTCATTGCTCATTCCCTACCTGCTGCGTGAGCTCTTTTGCCATCCAGAGACTTTAGACGTTAAGCCCACTAGACTTTTGACGTTAAGCCCCGCTGTCTGTAGACTAAGGGCCTTTGGAAATAAAACAAAACTGTCAGAACAGCTCATCACTTAATTACTGGGTGAGTCTTAGCTCTTGCCGCCCAGAAGTTACAATGCTAGACTAATGGTTAGCATTATTGTTATTGCCATATTTGTAACCCACCGGGCGTTGTTGACGAAGTGACAGAGTGGCAGACAATCAATTTACGCAGTAATAAGTTCATCCCTGCGCAATCCGCAACAGTAGTAAACTCAAGCGTAGGTATTTCACCTGCGTCGCCGGCATATTTCATGGTATCCCGCTAACCGGACGTGCAGCAGTAGATATGTCACTGGCGCGGGCCACGCGGGTCTTTGAACCTTTGCGGTCGAGCCTTCCAGGGCTTTATTGGAGAGATCGCGATGTTCCCTTAGGGGTCGAAGGTATTGGGAATGGTAGGCCCGTGCAGCAGTAGGTCTTTGGACCTTTGCGGGGGAGCCTTCCAGGGCTTGATTGGAGAGATCGCGCTGTCTCCCAGGGGTGGGCGACCGGCACCTGGACAACCTGCTGTTGCGGCGCTGCGGCGCGCTGTTCCACATCGACTTCGGCTACATCCTGGGCCGCGACCCGAAGCCGCTGCCGCCGCCCATGAAGCTCAGCCGCGAAATGGTCGAGGCGATGGGCGGCGTCCACGCCGACCACTACCACGAGTTCCGCAAGCTCTGCTACACCGCCTTCCTGCACCTCAGGAGGTATGACTATTCCTCCCGTTACACAACTCACCGATCGATACCACCCCATTCACAGATCATTAATCACGCAATCCGTTCAAACCTTTCTCGGTGTTCCTCTAGCCCTACGATAAATGGCATTCCTTTCACGAACATGTGCGCTCTTCTTCTAGCCCTACAATTTATGTCATTCCTTTCACAGACACAGGCTGTTCACTCTAACAGTTCTTCACACAGTCAATCCAAATCCTCTGTTTCCCTCTAGCATTACACTCTCCAACGATATTCCTACTCAACACTCATCTTGTCACATGACTTTCCACCCTTCTCATCAATTATGATGACGTGCCCATAGCATATCAACCTACTCCTTATTTTCTCAGTCACTGGTATTACTTTCAAGCTTTTCCTAATATACCCATTAGCATAAGCATTTCATAAGCATCAGCAATTTAAAACACGCGTCGAACTGTAGTTACTGATGAGTATTATTTACTTATCTCGGGAGGTGTAATGTAAGAGACTCTTCTCTGTCTATCTCCCAAAATTATCGACAAGTTAAGAAACATTTGCAGCAACATTGTAGGTACAGCTGAGTACTCTTTCCTTACCTCAGGAGATATCTTGATATCTCTGTTTCTCCCTCCCTTTCTATATTTCTTTCTTATTCACTCTTCAACGATTATAACAACAAGCTCGCATCTCTGGATATTCATAGCGATATATTTTGGTCTTTCTCACTAACTTTTTTGGTCTTTATCATCCTTCTTGAGCCCAGGTCATGTGACCATGGACATTTTGCGATCCATAAGAGCGTTATGACGCGTATGAAATAGCCACAATGAACTATCTTAACTTTGAGCTGCACCACAAAGTCCTAGCCATAACCCTCTACATCAGGAGTCCCCCTAACTTTGAGGTGAAAATCTATGAGAAAGAAAAGCAGCTACCTTCACTACAAAAAATGCATACAGAACAAGGGCCCTTGCAATAATGCATGAGCCTGTGGTCTGCGCAAGCTACTCAAGGCTTCCATGATCAACAGACACGCCAACTTGATGCTGAACCTGTTCTCCCTGATGGTGGACGCGTCGGTGCCGGACATCGCGCTGGAGCCCGACAAAGCGGTCAAGAAGGTGCAGGACAAGCTGAGGTGAGGAAACTTCGCCCGTTTTTGGACGTCCGGTTCCGTAGATTTAAAATCAAGTTTCGAATAATTTTTACTTCGGTTCGAAGTTAGTTTTCATTTGTAAGGAAACGGGTTTTAACTGTGGTAACATATACACGTGTCCCACTGCTGGGCATAGGCCTCATGTGTACAAGCACTCGAACCTGCGACTTTTGGGTAACAAACCCAGACACTGTCCACTGGACTTTCGATGTTGAATAGCGAATGCTTTATAATAGCTAGGAAAATAGGATATGTTCATTCAATAAGTAAGATCATCAAGTGATTTCACTAAGATGTCGCTGTTCAGTTATAGTAAATAATTAAATATAAATAAATATTTGTTTTGTACTGCCACATTATTACTAATGAGGTATCTAATATGTAAATAAAAAGAAATAACTTTTCAAGGTGTTTATGGCCACCACATTCGATATAAAATATATCTTATATTGTTTGATGTTCATATCTGTAACAGCTGTTTACAAGTTCCGCAATAATAATAAATCTTTCATACTCCAAAAAAAACATCTTTCAATTATAGGGTGTCCAAAAACACATCTTACGATTATAGGTTGTCCAAAAGTAATCTTGCTATTATAGGCTGTCCAAAAATACATCTTATAATTATAGGATGTCCATAAAATATCTTACAGTTATAGGTGTCCAAAAATACATCATTTGGTGATATACCGTCAGCTGTTGACTTGTAGCGTACTTTTCAGATTGGACCTCGGCGACGAAGAGGCTGTCCACTACTTCCAGAACCTGTTGGATATGTCCGTCACCGCTGTGATGGCGGTGCTGGTCGAACAATTCCATAAGTTTGCGCAGTACTGGCGCAAATAGGCCCTGGCGGCTGGCTCGTCCGCCTATCCCTTCAAATACAGCCAGCCGGCTCGACCTTGACTTGACCTTTAATGATGTAACGTTGCATTACTGTACGAAGAGATCGATTTAAGAAACTCGTGTGTAGCGCCCTCTCACGTACTAGATCAGATAGGCAGAACAAAATAGTTTGTATTTAGTAACAATTTATGTAATATTCTATCATTAGCAATTTCTTGCATTACGCCAATGTACGTTTTCCGCTTACAAATATTGTCAACCGATAGAGAAACGTAACCGCTTTTAAGAAAAAAATTTAGAATTTTACACTAAAGAAATCCGCTATTACTTCACATACGTTCATTTTGTGCAATACAAAAAACGATTCATTCAAAACTATGCCACATTGAAAGACTACCAACATTACAATAAAATGTTTTTTTTATTTACTTAGTATTACCAAATCGATTACAAAATTTTTTGTGTTTTAAATTTGTAAAAATTATACTCAGCACGAAACAAAGGAAAGTTTATTATCAGTTGAAACTAAGTTGAAACTAAGGTAAATTAAGTTGAACATTTATATCAAACTAATCGGCTAAGTTGCACTTTTTTTATAAACCTATACTCATTATTATATAAAAAAGTGACTAACCTAATTCATAATAAATATTTAAAAATTCTGTAATCGATTTGGGAAATCTCTATTTCTTCGCATTAATAGCATGTTGGTTGTATTTCAATATTGTCATTCGTGCTCTTACATTAGGCAAATTTAAAAAATAATAGAAGAAGTAAGATCAAAAATGTTTACTTTGTAATGTGTCGGGTATGTTTTTCTATAGATTAAAATATTTATAAGGAAAAAAACATATATAGCCGTAGTGTTAAAATGTCCTTTTATTAATATCGTAATTATATTTTGTATACTAAAGAAAACTATTTTATAATATGCAATAAATATGTGACTCCAAACAGTAATAAAACAGTGATATTTTTATGCCAAAAGTCAGTTCAACAATGACAATGACTATGGCGGACAATTATATGGTAATTTATCTATCGTATGAATTAGTTATTTTTTTAATTTTTAGAAACGTCAAAAAGAATTATCGAGCGAACAGTAAACGCAACGTTTAACGTTAATAGTAACAATTCTATAACCTTGTACTGTGATATTTTATCTATGAAGACAATTGTAAACAATATAGAGTATTTTGTTACTAAAACACTTTTTATTCCCAATAAATACTTTTAGATATAATATTATAGTCTTATAACGAGTATTCAAAAGATAGTGTTATGACAAAAGTGAGATTTTAAAAATCTTTTGATTTTTACAATACTTATTTCAGCATATAAAATAAGCCTTTGAACAGTCTTGGCTATGTTTTCTACCTATAATACTATGCAACATTTCAAATGTAATTGTGATAAAAAAAAAACAATTTTCTTAAATAAAGCATGCAGATGACAGCAACAGGCAACAGCTGTTGAGATTTCAAAATCCAAGGCAGTAAGCCAGTAGTTCTTAAAAGTTCTCTTTTAAATAACATTTCTTCGACATTAAAATTATTCTCTCTTCAAAAAAATTGAGATAACGATTGAAGAATCCATAAAACGGAAGCTCAAAGAAAGCCAAGGTCTCGAACCTTGACCCGATTGGCGTAGTGACCTGCCTCCTGCTCCTGAGGGTGTGGGTTCGATCCCCACTAATGGAAAATTATTGTGTGATGAACATAGTGTTTTTCCAGTATCTGGGTTTTTATACACGTATAATAAGCACTTATTTACAAAAGATAACTAATTTCTTTTAATTAACGAAAAACAGAACCCGACTTAAAATATCTCGCTCTGTATTCATTTTATAATTGATTTACAAGGGTTCGCGAAGTATCTCCGGAGCCCAAGATGATACCAATACCAATGAAATGGGAAGCACAAGCTTTCAAATAAAAAAAACAATCATCAAAATCCGTTCACTCTGTCGAAAGTTCTGAGGTAACAAACATAAAAAAAAAATACAGTCAAATTGAGAACCTTCTCCGTTTTTGAAATCGGTTGAAAAGTATATTTAAGCATGTTTAGTTACCTAGTACCGATAGTACAAGCTTTGCTTAGTTTGGGACTAGAGAATGTGTGACACAACATTCTCTCGTGTGTCCTAAAAGCATTTTTTTTTTATTAAGTGTGTCAACAATGTAAGTTTCAAGTGTTTGCCGCCATATAATCGCTTCCACTGGCGATGCAGTCGCTCGCCACGTAGACCCTGCCACCGGTCGCCTTCTGGATGACGTCACACGCCGCCACTTCAGCGTACGTCACGCCACCGACCACAAACACCAACACCGATTTCGTCCTCAAAGAGAACGCCTGCGCTAACTTCGCATCGCTCTTCAACAGCTTCAGCAACGACCTGGCTTCCCTACAGCCGTACTCCAACTCGGTCTGCAGCCGGATATTGGAGAGTTTCTCGTTCAGCGTTTCAATGCCGTCCCTAGTGTGCTCCAAGATACCACCGCCGAGTTTCAGTTCGGCCAGGGGTGACAGCTTATTCAAAGCCTCCGTCAGGGATTCGGAGGTCAGTAGAGCTTTGCAGATCACAGCCACCAGCGGCACGTAGCTGCCGTTGAAAACGTAGCCGGGCGAGGCCTTAGAGTCTTCGGGCGAAGGCAGCTGTTTCAGCTTACTGGCCTGATTCTGAAAGCTGCTTTGCCAACGGGGCAACCTGTCACTGAGCCCACTTAAGTTGGATATGTTCAATGACAACTTGGGACTGGATGGTTGGACTAGCAAACCGGCATTGATCAAATTGTTGAAAACATACATAAATTTGTAGCCGAATGCTAGCAAATATTTGCTCATGAGAGTATTGTATTCGTCATACGATAGGCCTTGGGTCAAGCTGAGCAAACACATCATTCGGAGACTGTTGTATATGTGTATATCAGTGCCAAAATTCTCATCCACAAATGTGAAATTTGATTTCTTATTTCTATTATTTAGCATTTCACTTTCAGTGAATGTGACATTTTCGAATTTATTATTCATCTCTAATATAATTGTCTCGCTGGCTAGAACATGGTTAACTAGGTTCTGTTTGAATAGTGCCACCTGTTGCAACTTTGTGGATACAAAATGCTTTATCTCTTGAATCCCTAATGCTTTTATATCCTCATTTTTCAGTAACTTTGCCTTCGAGCTCAGCACACTGAGAACCTCAGAGAAATGTCTATGTTTAATCTCTCCATACAAGCTATCAATTGAACTGTCCAAAGTCATAGTTGCCTTTTTAGATGTATCCTCAATCTCCGTTTTGAAATTTAGTTTACCTTTTTTATACTTAGTCTCTTTGACATTAAGATCTAGATGACCACAGCTTATGTTAAAAATTTCACTTAGCAAACCACTGTATGTCGCTGGTGTAAGTAGGCTCGATGCAAAATCCTGGCTCCTATCTATCAGTACTAATGTTCCGATGTCCTCTGAGGTATCACTGTTTACATAATCTCTTGAATAGGTTTCATTATAAATCTCTAAGATATCTAAAACACTTGCAGAGAGTTTTCCCAATGACAAAATACACTTAGGTCGGCCCGTCACATGAAACAAACTCCACAAAGACATTGAAATACTTGATAACAATGAATGGTTTTGTTCAACATACAGCTGTTTAAATAAAAAAGGCAGCTCTAAGCTAAGGAGCCTATCATCCAATGGCATAAACTCCCATGTGAATGAATGAAGTTTCACAACACTGTACAAACCTCTACTTTCAAGTATAGAATCATATGTTTGCAAAACTTTTGGCACAATAATTATGTTAAAGCACTTTAATTCCCTCATTGAAGGATTTTGACTAAGTTGGGATGATATTTGATCCAAAACACATTTGTATTTTTGTATGCAGGCTGATATGAAGTATATTTTTGTAGTGTTTGCAGTTTGCCCCAGGTGTGGGTCCATTTTGTATATCTTCTCAACACCATGTTGTCTGTGGAAAAACGGGAGTATCTAATGTAATAAATTTTTGGAAAAATTTAAGATAAAAAAAAAATAGTTTAATTAATGATATAGGTATAATAAAATTCTTATGAGTGAAACAGGGTATTGTAGATACAAATACTCCTGTCCTAAGTACAGAGCATAAATAATTATCATAACAATGAAGTGGCGGACAAAGGCAACTTGGGGACCTTCAAAAAGAGAGCCTATGCCTATTCCTTAATTCGCTTACTCCTTTAATTCCTTTTCCAAAAAAAACGAAACTGTAATAATAAACTGAATACCCAAAATAAAATACGTCACAACTTTGTTAAACCAACCTCAACCAAGTAACGCCACAAATCCTCTCCAAGGGTTTTATAAGTGATGCATCTATAATTAAATCGGTTTTTTCACCGCATGCGGTAAGAATTTTTTCTAATTTATACTGGGATATCAAACAGATGGATGCAAGTTTGGCTTCTAAAGACTGTTCCATACTGTTGTCTTATGGCTATTTTCGTCAATCACACATCGTTATTAAAAACTCAAATAGTTTTTCTTTTAATAAAAATGAAAGTTGTTTCTTAAATAAATAAACACTTTCTATCAAAATAAAAAACTCGTGTCACTGACAACTGAGCTGACATGCGTCAATTTGTCAGTGTCATATTGACGTCTGAAACGTCCACGATCCATGACGGTGTGATCAATTGATCATGTAGCTCGTAGCCAGGCGGCTCTGAATAATAAACAAAAAATTTAATATTTTAATGATATACCTATTCAATTTTTAAGAAATTTTCTAGACTCAATTTCAAAAATGAAATTGTTGTTCTTTTTTAGTTTTTGTGTCACATTTTGTAAAATCATTTTATTATTTAATCCATGTTTGTTACATAGTAAACATAACAAACAATAGTTTTGAGATAAATCAAATGAATCATATAAAATATTTTGTGATATATTAAAATTTTCGCGGGTTCTAATGACCTTGAGAACAATTTCCGGTCATGCGTCGATATCTTGTTCGCAATTTCCTCCCCGCCCTCAGCCCGCTCGCTTCAACGTCCGCGGGGAGTGCGCGTTCAACGTCGTTTAATAAAAAATTAAAGAAATGGCTGCGAGATTAATCAGGAAAATCGTAAGTTCGTAGATCCGTGCTGTAGAAAATTGTTACCCCTGCATGTTACCCTTAATTCGCTACTCCGAGGCTGTAAGCTTAATTTCTTTCGCTATCCAAAAATAGACTAATATAGTTATGTCGAAGAATTACATAAATGCGCTTTTGAAGCCTTTTCGTGAGAGTAACGTTGTCGGTGCCTTCCTGAAATTGTTCGAGACAGGGCCCAATAAGCCAGCCAAAGGGGTTGGGTTGGCGAAAAATGAGGTTTACATACAGATTTTTCGTATTTTCCATTTATGGGTGATGTTTGAGGTTATACCAGGGATTTTTTGCCTTCGTCCAGGCTCCAGTGGCGAAGACGGGCGCTGCGCAATACAGCAGCGGCGTACGGAGGGTTACGCTCATTCCCGGACACGGCATCGGGCCCGAGATAACCGTGGCTGTTCAGAAAATATTCGAAGCTGCCAAAGTTCCCATTGAATGGGACGAAGTCGATGTCACAGCTGTTCGGGTAAGTACCGCTGTTGACGACGTGTTATTGTTGTTTTATATTTATAATTGAATTAATAAAGTTTCTTTGTGACTTCTGTTTGTCTTAAATACAATGACTTTCAATTGTTGTATACATTTATTGAAATATCTTTTATAAAGGGGAAAACTTGTTTTTAAAGATGTTAAATCAATTTAACATTATTAAAGATCGAAGATTACTAATGCAAATTCTTCTTAATTCTAATAAGTATATGTGATTACAGCATTCATTGAAATTAAAATATTGAATTCTGTTTAATGTGTCACAAGTACCTATGTAAATTAAAATCTCCCAGTTTGATAAAAGAGTAGCAATTTAGTGGCAAGATTATAAACTAATTAAAACTTACAGCAAAGTATTTTATTTTTAGGGTCCAGATGGCAAATTCGGTATCCCTCAGAAGGCGATAGACTCTGTAAATGCCAACAAAATTGGCTTGAAAGGTCCCCTGATGACCCCTGTGGGAAAAGGCTACCGCTCATTAAATTTGGCGCTCAGGAAGGAGTTTGATCTTTATGCCAATGTGAGGCCATGCAAAAGCTTGGATGGGTATGTTCCTTATTTATTATTATTTATATGAAGTCATTAATAATGAATATGCACTAAATGTTACCTTCTTACCAAGAACTGATTTATAACTTTTGTTAAAAAATCTATTTTTCCTCATCATTCCCATATTTTTAAAGATAAGAGACTCCTTTTCATTATTTTAAAATGTATATGTGATACTATCTGAAATAAGTTTAATTGTCTTTTTTCAAACATTTTAAACCTGAAAAGAATGTTATTTAGCAATCACTGTTTTTGTGGTACACTTTATTTGTGCTTCAAAAAATACAGAGAAATATTACATTCAATAGTCATCATTGTTGTCATTTTTTCTTTACCTGTTTCTGTAAAGTGTGTAGTTTCTGAATGACAATTATAAGTATAACTAATACTGAATGTATTCATTTTATGTTAATTCAATATTCTATTTTCAAAACCATATTATGTACACCTTATTTCCTCTCTGCATCATCATCATCATCTTGGCGATTATGCAATTTGACGATTATAAAACTGACACTTTAAGTTAATCTCTTGTCACAATTATTTGTTTAAATTTGCATGTGTTTCATGTTTCTGTGTGCATTATGTGCATTATTGCTATAACTAAATTTACAAAACAAAATACATAATGTGCAAAATTTGATAAGAATAAATTATTATGTATAATTAAAAGAATTTGTTTAAACTTTAAACATTTTTCCATTACCGATATGAAAAGAAATCTGAAAATTGATGGAGCATCAGATTATATCCAGGTTGTAGATAAACGGTATTGAAAAAAAATCTTATCAACACAAGTGATTCACATGAAAATATCTCAAGTTCTGCACATTCCTATAATTGAAGGTCATTTGGTTAACATATTTATAGTAGATAAAAATATTTTTTTTTAATGCAAGTGGCTAGGATGTAAATTCTGAAATCCGTGGAAGCAGGTTCAGATCGATTTTGTCTTTTATTATTATCGATAAATTAATGACTTGGTGGCGCCCTTGTTAAGCTATTGGTTTCTTCGTCGGTGGTCGTGGGTTCGATTCCCACTCGGGAGAAGTATTTGTATTATCCACAGACACTTGTTCCGGATCTGGGTGTTTGTTTCCCAAGGAGGGTTGACGTCAAGCAAAAGTAAAAAATAGCCAGAACCACTTACAAAATTATTGATATATTGTGCCGACCACACCTACGTGTTATAAGGACAGGAAGATGATGATATTACAATAAATTAATATCAATCCTGATTGGACATTTCATGTACTCGTATAATGTCTGTCAGATTGAAAAGTTGGACAATTTGAACAACAAAGCTTTATAGTAGTCTCCAAACTGAAAGTTTAACAAAATTGTTTGTTAAAAAAAAATTTTGAGCTCTGACATGTAGTTATATATTAAGAAAAATTCAGATTACTGATTGGGAATTGGACAACTTTTTCTGCCATTGTGGTATCTTTTTAAATCATAAATGGTCTTAAATGTTACATTGCTTTTTTACCCAACACCTACTGGTGAATCACAACAATCAATAAGATGTGCGGTAATAGAAAGCGAATTTAAATTCTTTGTTTGAATCACATGTGATTATCAGTTTACTACTAAATTATTCATGAAACTGAAATGGCTTTGTTTCTATCGCCATTAACTTTATTGTAGAGCGATTCATGCAAAGCGGGTCAAACGTATTTGATAGCATGTTAAAAGGCTTCGCTTTCTAAAGTATGTCATGTTATTATCCGTTGCGACTTTGTGTACATTCAAATGATGTTAAGGAAAAACTTTATTGTTTTTAAAAATAAATTGTTGGTTTGTGAAGGTTCATTGCTTATTATGGTGGTGTGGCGATATAGTATTTTCTTACTTGTAATTATTTCAAACTAAGTGATTTTCGAAGAGACATAGGAACGGAAAATTGGTTTGTTGTTAGTGTGTTCGTAAATATATATATATATATATATTTGCATTACGTGTGAATTTTATCAGTATCTCGTAACTCAATTGTCAATCACATGATTTCAATCGATTTATTTCACGATAAGTTATCAACATTCTGACATTGGTTTATCTGCAATGTCGACATTAATTATATTAAAAATTTGTTAGGTACTTATATGACGTCATATAAATTATAATCCATAGAGGCTTGACCAATTTTCAACCCCGTTAGATTAGACAAAGAGTCCTAAATTGCCAGAACGCTCGCCGATAGACGAAGGTAACCAAGTTTCAAGTTAAAAATGTGATAAGCAGTGTGTCTTGCGTATATATCTATAGTAGTTTTCGTAATAAATAATTATATTAAGCCCCTATAGCTTACATCTAAAACAAGTACATTTGTTACAACAAAAAACAAAACCGACATCAAATATACATTTTCTTTTTGTATTTGTTGTGTCCATGACCAATTAATATTGGAATATTGAACTAATAACTAAACCAAACGTAATAGGAGAGGAATTTTTAAAATCCGTTCATAAATCGCGGACTTCTGAGGTAACAAGCATAAAAAGACCTCCTTTTTAGGGTTCCGTACCCAAAACGGAACCCTAAAACCCTGACGGTCCGTCTGTCACCAAGCTGTATCTTCTTCTTCTTTCTTTCTTTATGGCTTCTCTTTAAAGAATTCTGCCAATGTCAAGTCAGTCATGGGAGTGAAAGCTGTATCTCATTAACCGTGATATCTAGACACTTGAAATTTTCACAGATAATGTATTTCTGTTGCCGATATAACAAAATATACTAAAAAAAAATATTCAACGGCTCCCATGAAACAAATATGATTTTTTGCCGTTTTATTAGATAATGGAACCATTCGTGCGCGAGTAGACTTTTGCACCTGGCCGGTCTTTCGAAGTTTGCTGAAAATTATATTTCTCAATAAAATAGCGGTAAAGACCGGCGTGAAGGAGGTGCTACTGCGTTTCGTCTGGCTGAGTGAGGCAACCGGGGCCCTCTTTAATGAAAGGTGACATCGCATCTACAACCCTACGGGTGTTGTGAATGTCCATGGCGGTTATCACTTAACATCAGGTGAACCATCAGCTCGCTTGCCAACGTCAAAATAAAAAAAAGATGGCGATTATAGCACTTTATTGTTACTGACCACAGCCTATAGTAAATATTTAATGTAAAAATCTGCGCGGTGCACGTCACACCGTCACAGATAATAAATGGGCCTTGAATGGCATATCGCTGGGCGTTTTAAGGGTATTGACATTGTTCTCTAAAAAAAACCCGGAGGCCTATCGTTAGTTTATCGCTCTTCGGCGCCGGCACGTACTAGATAGCGTCTGTAGTATTCGGAAATGGAGATAAGGAACCTCGAATTAAGTCGTTGTAATTGTGTGCGTAATTAATAACGTATGTAGATTTATATTTAGATTGACGATAGGCATAGTTACACTTCCGCGTTTCGTCTGGTGAGTGAGGTAGCCGGGGCCCGCTTTGTTAAAAGGTGGCAACGCATCTGCAGCCAAACGGGTGTTGCAAATGTCTATTGGCGGTTATCACTTAACATCAGGTGAACCGTCGGATCGTTTGGCATTTTATTACACACAAAAAAAAAAATAGATCGCGTGTTAAAGTTGTAACTAAACTTATTATCGTTGCCGCTATTAATTTTCTGACATCGTTGATGTTCTCTTCCCCTGCGATCGATAGACCTTCGCGTGATAATAATAACTACGAAAATTATCCCTTTTATTTGTGTGAGAAGGTGGAAAGCGAGCTGACGGTTTACCTGATGTTAATGGATGACCGCCACCCATCGATGTTTGCAACACCCGTAGGGTATGTGTTGCCACCTTTTAAGCAATTGGGCTACGTAGCCTCACTCATCAGACGAAACGCAGAAGTGTACCAAGTGGAAGCACCATTTCACGCCGGTCTTCCGTGAGGTAGTAGTACTTACCCGGACGGACCTGCCCATTCGTGCAACAGCGAACACTGTTGCGTGCCTCTACAACAGTTATAACGAAACTAAAATTACTACCGCCTTCTTTCTTCTTTCTTTCTTTCTTTCTTTCTTTCTTTCTTTCTTTCTATTTACTCTCGTTGCCGGTATTCATTTTCGAAACGCCTGACGTGGTGGATGTCCCTCTGCCAAGCCGTCTCTTACGATCGAGACTACGGCTTCGTTGTAAATTATTCCTTGTTCACGAAAAAAGTACTTACGCAATTTTTTTTATGTTTTATGCGTACTTTTGTACTGATCTTTGACAGATCGAGGCCATTGACCTGCACATTATTGTTTGAAACTCTTATTCTTAGTATGAATAAAAAAAACATAATAATTGAAGCGTTTCGACTTCGCTCGACATTTAACCGTCACAATGTCAGTTGTAACTTAACGCTGTGCCGTATGAAAACCATCGAAGGTCCTCGTACATTGTAATATTATCTTCTAATTAGCAGATAAAATACCCCACATTACAAAAATAATAATGTTTCCCGCTCGTTTATATTTTGTGATGACTATAATTGATACCGTGACGATAATAACCTATAAGAGATTGCACAACCCCAAAGGCTTGGGGACAGTACACCTGTCTTATGCGTTGGAGGGTGTGAATTCTATCTATACTACTGGAATTATATTCTTATAAACACTGCTTTCCTAGTGTCTGAGTATCTATAACATTTATTGTATTTATTTAAGAAAGAAAATTATTTTTAGGTACATCTACCAGTTTCCCGGTTTATTGTTTTTAGTTTAAAAAAAGTCTCGCTTGGAAGTAATTAATACATATTTTTTTTTCTTTTTTTTTAAAAACGCCATTACTTTAGGATAATATTATGCTGTGTTGTAATGACGTTTTACAAACATATATTTCACGCAGACAAACACCCAGATGCGACACAACTATCTGTGGGTCACACGAATAGTTGTCCCGTGTGGGAATTGAACACACGACCCCTGACGCCAAAGCCGAAACCTTGGCGACTGCGCCACGGAGTCATCGAAATAAAATAGGAATTATGGCAAACAGAACACCCCACGTGTTTCATTGTTTTTAGAGTCTCCTAATCAAACATATTGTGCACAATATTTACATTGTAAGCCTCAAGTAAATATTTTTAATGTTATCTTAAATCGCGGGCAAATTCGCGCTTAATTAAGTTATTATAGCATAACACTGCGCGTGAACACCACGATAAGATATTGACGTCTTAAGTAATTTAATTAACGCGCGTTCTAACTGACTTCTCTGAGTGCGCTCGACCAATCGCCTTGTACGCTCACGCTAAACGTGATTGCCAGCCGAAAATTCACCTAGTGTGTGTCTAAATCGATCAATATGGTTTCATCACAATCGGTGAAACGCTAAAAGCGGATACATGACAAATGGAGAACGATAGGAGGGCCACGTGGCAGTCTTCGCTGTTGTCCGGATGGGCAGGTCCGTCCGGGCTAGTACCACGACATCACAAGACCGGCGTGAACTGTGTTACACTCCTGCGTTTTGTCTTGTGAGTGAGGTAGCCGGGGCCTATTTTGAAAGTCTTCATCGAAAGGTGGCACACTTGTAACTCTACGGGTGTTGCAAATGTCCGGCTGTGGTCATCATCTTTCTGACCTTTACAAATGAACTTTATGTTACAGTTTTGGAAAATTTAATAACTCGGTAAATATTGATGTTTAAAGAATGTAAATGTTTAATACAATTTTAAAAAGTTATCCTGTATATGTGTGTTCATTTATTGTCGCGATCGTAAAGACACGCTGTATAAAATATTAAACATTTACGGCTGCGGGGTTTGAATCTGTTTCTTACGGATAATACGCCCAAACGTTCTTAACACTGAACAAGGTGACCTATTTCGAGAAATAATATTACTTATTCAAAAATCTCGACATCTATCTACTTTCTTCACTCCCATCTTATCACATTCAGTATAGACTAGAGATTATCACTCAAAATTAATATTTATCAGACACAGAAGCATCGTTTTTTATAAATATACAACGACATTAGTGTAGTGAATAGTGTATATGTGATCCTACTATAAAAGTTGTTGTGTTATAAACATAAAGATTTTTAGTGGTTTGGTGCATACATATATTTATTATGTACCTATTTATTTACAAATAGAAGTTACGCACAAAGTTTTTTTTTCTCTCTTCAAGTCTCTCACAAAACAACTACCAAATCCATGCAACCAGCAGAATCTGTATTGTTTAAATGTTCATAAAAATAAGATATATAGCATAAAGATATCATATAATATTGTAAAGCAGGTCTTTTGCAAACGTCTAGCATATCTCTAATATATAAAATTCTCGTGTCACGGTGTTTGTAATTGGACGCCTCCGAAACGGCTCGACCGATTTTCGTGAATTTTTGTGCGCATATCGGCCAGGGTGGAGAATGGGACAACATCTTTTTTCATCCCCCTAAATATTAAGGGCGGTCAACCCCAAACATTTTTTTCTACCCTACAAATAATTTATATGGCAAAACAACGTTTGCCGGGTCAGCTAGCAACATCATATATTTCGATATGAATATTCAAAGACGGTCATAATAACTGAATTTAATCGGTTCAATTCCATAGATATCCATTAACTAAAATGTTTCCTAAGGCTTTGTCAATGGCAAAATTAACAGGTGAACATTAAACAATGTAATAATGATTTGTAACTTTCATAATCTGCAACCTCGATTCGAGATTTCTTATATCACATGTCAATCAAGGAAATAAATCGGCTTGTTATCTGGAAATGAAGTAAATACGATAAATTCCCACTTTCGACATTTTTAGGATTCCGTACCCATTGGTTAAAACGGGACGCTTTACTAAGACTCCGTTATCTGTCTGTCCGTCTGTCACCAGGCTATATCTCATGGGCCGTGATAGTTAGACAGTTAAAATTTTCACAGATGATGTATTTCTGTTGCCGATATAACAACAAATAACAGAATAAAAAAAATATTGATGTGATGCTCCTATTATACAACAGACACGATTTTTTTGCCAATTTTATAGCACTTGCCATCAACTTTTCACAATGACAAAGGTTGACTGGTTGAGAATGCCATTAGGCATTAAGGCCGCCCATTGTAGCCCTTAGCTTAAGATGTAACAATGAAGCTTAAATAAATAAATGAATGAATTGTACGGAGCCCTTAGTGTGCGAGTCCGACTCGCACTTGGCCAGTTTTTTTTAATTAACGCTCTAATCGCCAACATTTTCCTAGCTCTTATCACTTGATAGTGATTTAAGTATTTGCATATTACTGAAGAATAATAAAAAAGATTAACTTAATTTCATTCATAACTTTAATAGATAAATTATAAAAGTCAACATCTTGGATGACCAATTAGGCAGTTAGAATGTAAGTGATTAATAATTGTGTTCAAAAATTAATTATACTTTAAAATATGTAGAAAAAGTGCGAAACGATTGTGGCCGTTGTGGGAATCGAACCCACGTCTTCGGCATTCGCGGCCTGACGCTCTAGCCACTGAGCTAAACGGCTGATTGCCACACCGACGAAAATCTTAACGCATTCTTCTACATTGTTTTCTTAGCATTTGAAGCAATGCTTTGGCGCCATCTATTGTTATATCCTTTTCAGTATACAAACAATTTCGAATATCGTTTTACAACGATAATTCGAACGAGAGATGTCGCCATTGCTTTTTTTAGAAATTTTAATTTTGATTCCCACAACGGCGACAATCTTTTCGCACTTTTTCTACATATTTTAATGTTCAATCTTAAGTGCAAAGATTAGCACTATAAACAATTTAAAATTTCTATTAATTATACTTATTTAAAACTTTCAACTCGAAAGAATCCTATAAGGTGAAACTTTAAAGTTGTGTCCGAGGATATGTTAAAGTTTACCAACTTGCTTTATTGACCTTTATTACTGTACGCGCTGTAACCTGTAACTTTTGCCTAGTGTAGTGTAACAATAGTCGGTTAAGTTGATACTTAGGCATTATCGCCTACTGCTGGGCAAAGGCCTCCTCTGTAGGGTATTAGGGCATAGTCCACCACCACCCACTGCGGATAGGCTTCACACATCTGAACATAGTATAGTGACATTTAAATGTCTTTAAATGTCACTATACTATGTTCTTGTTCAAAACCGGCGGAAGAAATTCATCGGGACAGTTTTTTTTAACATAATATGACAAAAGAAAAATATGTTTACAACATAATAAATTCTGAGATCTTCATCTTGAAAGACCCTACAGCAATCAGTTCATTTCCAGTGTGGGTTAGGTTATCACTTAAGCTTTGTGCATTTGATAATAAGAGGAACATCTTCATTACACAGTATAAAACAAAGTTACCGTTGTTTTTACACTTAGAATTAAACCACGTACCGGATTATAACGTAGTTTTCAGCAGAAGATAGTGATTTACGACGAAGTTTATAAGCACACTAGCTTACCCGGCAAACGTTGTTTTGCCATATAAATTATTCGTAGAGTAGGAAAAAATGTTTGGGGTGGACCACCATGGTTAACATTTAGGGGGATGAAAAGAAGACGTTGTCCGATTCTCCACCCTGGCCGATGTGCACACAAAATTTCACGAAAATCGGTCGAGCCCTTTCGGAGGAGTTCGATTACAAACAGCGCGACACGAGAATTTTACACATTAGACTGCACCCGCGCAAAGCCGCGCCGGAGACCGGTCGCTAAACGAACCTCGCCCCGCAGCATAAAGACCCTGTACGACAACGTGGACGTGGTCACGATCCGCGAGAACACCGAGGGCGAGTACTCGGGCATAGAACACGAGATCGTGGACGGCGTGGTGCAGTCGATAAAGCTCATCACGGAGGAGGCGAGCAAACGCGTGGCCGAGTTCGCCTTCCAGTTCGCCAGGGACAACAGGCGCAAGAAGGTCACGGCCGTCCACAAGGCGAACATCATGTGAGTAACTTCTTTTATTGCGCCAGGGGATCCCCCTGCGTGCGGTGTGGGGGCAGTGCTGCCAACCATACTTTATAATGACGTATTGTACTTTTTATTTTTGAGTAAAGTTACTTTATACTTTTGTATAAAATCATGTAGGTAGGTATGTGATTATTTGTTTGACGGTTAAGTGATTTTGCCTTTCCAGAGACGAATTATAAGAAATAAATAAGATTTTGAAAAGTACTTTTTTTCCCGATGTGATACTTTATTTTTCTCAAAAACGTGGGAGTGGGAGTCGCCGTCAGACCCAGTACGGTATCCCAACGGGTAACTAAAACCCCACGTTGCACCCGTATCTGTTCCCATCGGCCGGGGAGACAGGAACAAATGGACGCAATCTTCCGCGACAATCACGTGAGTCCTTGGACTCTTGAGTACTTCAGCGTCGCACCAACACGCTTGACGGAGAAAATCAAGAAAATCAATTTCTTTTTATGGGAAAAGGCGGTGAACTAGCAAGCGGGTCATGATGGTAAGCAATTACCGCCGCCTACGCAACATCAGAGGAGTCACAGTTGCCTTTGAGCTAGGGGAAGGCCCTTTTATTGAAGGTCCGAAAGTCGTATTGGTCTGGAAACACCGCTGATGGCAACTGGTTCCATAAAGTAGCCGAGCGGGCCAGAGATAAAGTTGCTTGGTTTAAGAAAAGGTTAATGAATGATTTGTGTGGATCTCGTTGGGTAATTCTTAACGACCACCGCGACCTACAAGATCTGTTGTGGTCTTATCTTCGAGAACATTACCCCTTACTGTAGCATAAAATTTCACGTGGACAAACATCCGGATCCGAAACAATTATACATAATACATATAACATAAAGATTATCTGTGGATCACAGAGATAGTTGTCTCGTGCGGGAATCGAGCCCACGATACCCTGTACCGTATTGTATTAAATTCGTTGTAAAGTACAATATAAAATAATAATAATTGTTTGTGTTCAATCGGACAGTTAAGTATCCGTCACACAGTCAACTGAATTCATATAAAATTTGCGCATTCATCATTGTTGTGACGTTCACCCGACACCTTCGCGGTAACCAGACCTCAATTGGCGCCAATGAAGCGCTAAGCGCCTTATCTGGCACGGAACTTCTTGCGTAACGTACCTATTACGACAAGATAACGACGAAACACAAGCATTTGCATCTATTTCTATGATTTTAGTCCCTCACGCATTCTTCTATATGTAAAGTATTCAAGCGAACAGGCGGATCAAAGGGGATGGTAACTCTAGAACTCCTACAACACCTGTCGGCTGTGAATACGCCGCGAAACTTTCAAAGTTTGGGCTACCTAACTCAGCGGTAAAGTAGAGGGACAGTATATAAATGACCCAATGCTGGGCAAAGACCCAGCCTGAAGTGGAATTATCTATTATATATTTATTCTTGAAGCATCAAAAACTTTGTACCCCTTTTTACGAAAATTACGAGGACAGAACAGTGTGAGATATTTCCCACAGTAATAGCTTATATAGTGGAGTTCATAATACTGATATTTTTTTTAAATGATGCATAAAAAGAACATTAAATCAAATAAAAAAAACATTACACACTCTACCATGTATTATTAATTAATTATGGTTGAATTTTGACCACTAGTTATTATAATTTCGTGTTTTTGGTGATTGAGGTAGCCGGGGCCAAATTTTTAAACGTTGTTGACACATCTGCGACATGCTCGCTAGCCAACTTTTCACGTATAAAACACGTCATCTTCCACGATAGCTTATTGTGTGTAACGTTGCAGGCGTATGTCTGACGGTCTGTTCCTGCGGTGCTGCCGCGACCTGGCCACCAAGTACCCGGACATCAAGTTCGAGGAGCGATACCTGGACACCGTCTGCCTCAACATGGTCCAGGACCCCTCCAAGTTCGACGTGCTGGTGAGTCGATAGGAACTGATGCTTTTCTACCCGCTCTCTGTCAAATGACAATTACATTCTTCCTAAGACTGAAACCGGTAACAACATCAAAAAGACAGATCTCCAGACAAAATTTCACCCTAATCCTTTCAGCCATTACGAGGAAACAACAGAAGCACAAAAACCTTCCAATTTATAATATCATTGCGAAAAAAGCAAATACCTACCTCCTTCGTCGTACGTTTGCGGGAGCAAGACGAAAAGCTATTGCAGTATTTTCAACACCAATAAACTACTTCAGAACGACCACTGTTTGTACACGCAGCAGTTTTTGCCGTCCACAACTGTGCAGGCTCGTCCGGAGTGCTGTATACTTTCGCATTTCGTTGGCGAGTGAGGTAATCAGGGTTTACTTTAAAGATTAACAACTCTTCTTCTATCTCAGGTGCATAGGCATTGACACTTCATATCGTTTCAATCTCTTGCTCTTCTGTCACTTTCTCACATAAAAAATGTCCCTTCACAGGTAATGCCAAACTTGTACGGTGACATTATGTCTGACATGTGCTCCGGGCTGGTGGGCGGTCTAGGCCTGACGCCTTCTGGAAACATCGGCAAGAACGGCGCACTCTTCGAGTCCGTACGTATCACAGCGGCCCTGCCATATAAATATAGTCTACACAACTTTTTACTTGAGTCATATTTCACGTAATGGCTCAGTTGCCAAGGTATTGGCTTCGGCACCGTGTGTCGTGGGTTCGATTCCCAAACGAGACAACTATTTGTATGACCCGCAGATAATTGTTTCAGATCTTAATGTAAGTAAAACTTCCTTACAACACAGGATAATGTTAGCCAACAATAAGGAGGAAATGTTTTCGATGGGAAGAATACCATAGATCTAGGTCGCTGTGGTCATTGGAACTTACTAAATAACCCCTTCTAGACAAAGTACAAAACAATACCGCGTGGTCACAGATAGGAACAATCATTAACAACCTCGGTTAATAGTCAAAACCACTAGTAGCTTTTAAGCAGACGCACTCGCGTCAGCTTAAAAGCTACTAGTGTACTACAATGAATAATAGTAATACAAGGGGACATTTTTTTTTTGAAGTGAAGACTACAGTAAATCTTCTGGGATGCAATGGTTGTTGGGACTTTCTACCCAACTAATAAAAATATTTCACGATAGCATTCCATCACACTTTTTATTTATAGTAAATGCCTACTATGTCTATATTTAATTGGATAAATTGGGAAAAAATCCCCAAAAATTTCACGATTTTAATTTCATTTGGTAGTTGTCACTGCTTTTTGATTAAAAATTATTTATTAAAATTTGTAGAAAAATTATTTTCACTTACAATATTTGACATATAATTATGTATTTTAATAAATGTGTGTACAATATCAAAAGGACTTATGTAATATGACTAAAGTTTTATAAGGCCTTCAGTTGACAGTATAAAAGAGAAACATCAAAATTACCGATTATGTTCATAAACCCCATTTCTTATAATCTTTATTCATCAGCTTTGAGCTAAATTTATCAATACATAATGTGAATTCTTCTATCACTTAGTTAATTTTTCTCAGAGACTGCAAATATATCACAAAAGGTAAATCAGACAGTGCTAGGTTAAATATTGCCTGATTTGTATGCCACAAGGACTATGCAGTGCAACTAAATTAAATTATTAAACCATGTGATTTTGATACCATTTATTTAATTTTGAACCTCTGCATCGTTTAAGCATCAGACCGAGAAGTTGTTATGGGCCTACATTAAAATACTGTTCATTAACGTTTCTAAGAAAACACCGTGATTTTTTTACGTTAAATAGTGTTTTTGTAATTCTCGAGGACACATCAAAGTCTAAGTAAGTCCCAAGTGCTTTATGTACTTAGTGTGCCACTAACCGGTGTTGGTCACAAGTCAAAATTAACCGCATGGTCTGAAATCATCCCGAGCTCATGATCCATCCCTAACAAGGTACCATTGTAACCTCATAATTTTAAACACACACTCAAAATTCAATCCAATATACTTGTGATCATATTAAACAAATGGACATCTTAATTTTCCATTACTGTCGAATCAATAAAGGTTTTGATATTTTCCATATCATTCAATCATCCATACTTGTAGCAATATAACCATTGTTTATAAACTTGAAGATAAGCAATGGGCACACGTCACTGGACCGACTGCCCATGACAATCTATAACCTAATGCTTAATGTTCATAGAAACAGATTGCATCAATACAAAAAAAAACTAAGTCAGAGTGACGAAATTAACACTTTCTTTTATGTGTTTATCACATACCTCTATTACCAGTTCAAGAATGTTTTTGCCAGCATAATTGCCAAATGTAGGCATTTAGTTAAAGGCATTCACAAATGAAATTAAATCTTAATCAAGTGCTGAAGACGTCTCTGAGTGGGACTGCTTATGTTCGTAGGTGAAATGGCATAATATTTAGTAAAGTCTCAGGAAATTCTTAAAAATATTTTTCTTTATTTCACAATATATTTTTTTGACATATTCTATCTACTTAATTATACATATGTATCTCCAGTTACTTATTAATCTTATTATAGAAGATAACTAAAACTTGTATTACTTTTGCACATACCAAGGAAGATAAATTCAAACATATTGTTAGACCATACATGTTTAATTTTAGTGTTATCTTTATAGGTAAAAAGATCTTCACTTATATCTGGTGCCAATTAGCGATTTTACATTCTTCATACGTTTGGCATCGCATGTTGATCAATGGCCACATTCCTTTCCAATTGATGTTTCTAACATGTTTTTCCATAATAATTTTTGTTCATATTGATCCGTTTTTGATGAATGCTAATAGGTGCTGGTTTTAGGGGCATCCCGTTTAACACTAGTAAATCAAGAAAGCCACATAGGCCGGTATAACCCCTCATTGACCGATTCTTAAAGGTGCATGGGACAGCGCCATCTATCGCCGGCCAGGACAAAGCTAACCCCACTGCCTTGCTGCTCTCCGCTGTCATGATGCTGAGACACTTGCAGATGACCGAGTACGCTAACAACATTGAGAGGGCGTGTTTCACTGTACTCAAGGAGGGAAAGGTCCTCACTGAGGATCTAGGTGGGAAGAGCTCGTGCACAAACTACACCAATGAGATCATCAAGAATCTACATTAATTAGTGCCCATAAAGAGGCCATTGTCCATCTGTGTTAAAAATTACATTTGTGGACCTTTTCCAACTGTATGTTTCAACTTTACAGTATGTTTTGGTAGCGATTTTGTTCGATTTTTAAATTGTGTAACAGTTGCGACCAACTAATCAACTTTGTTGTTATGGTCAATTACAGTCAAAAAATTTATTTCACAAAGAGATCATTTGCTACTTACTTAAAATTTTCTGGGTAATTTTTAACCCAACAGTGGTCTCTGATGAATACAAATTTTAGAAAATGTTAACTTTTCAGTATAGATAGACAATATAACATATGCATTTTATGAGTTTTAAAAGATTGGATATTTTACACAAGTATGTTCATCCTGCCAAAGAAGTATTATTACATTATGCATTTCATAAACTGTTTAGTTCCTTTTGTAACAGAAAGATTAAGTTGGATTATTTATAGTAACTTTTTTGCTTGTCGGAATTACACAATTCTGTATGATTGTTTTATGGATAACACTACCTATGAAATTGCTATGTTTAATATTATTTCTTTCATACGGGTTACATATAAGTTTGTATGTAAGTTATACATTTTATGTTATTGTTTTTTAAAACAACCTCATGGAATGTGACATACTGTTGATAATTCATTGGCTGTGTACATGTGTTTCATGTGTTTTGTAAATTAAAAAAAACTGTGATTGTTGCCGTTAAGTTCTATTATAGTAGAATAGACGGTTACATGGAATTGTTGCCACACACTGAGCAACTTTCTACCAGTTTTTCTTATATGTAATTATTATACTATGATGCATTTGTGTTTAAAGTGATTAATTAAAATATAAATCTATTTTTACAATATCCGAATTCAAGTAATTCATTTGAGTCTTGCATCCACCGAATTTGACGTATGTACCGCATGTTTTAAAAAATTTTAACTTTCATATTTTCAAAAATTTTCTTACGGACCTTAATTGAATTGGATATATTGACTAGTTAACCAGTCAATATATTAAATGTGATCATCACATTTTAATTCTACTGAATTAAAATCCAGACATTCAATATAAGTAATGTTCTGGGACAAATTATGTCACATTGTCATGTGCAGATAAATTCTTTTCAGTTTTCCAATTTAGGTACTTAATTTCAATGAAGCTACAACAAAGGTTTCAATGCAAAGTAGATATATGTAGTGCTTTTCAACTTTTGTCAATTGGTTATTCCACATTGACCAATTGTGTACACTGTAAGCGCTAACCGTTATGTTGCAACGGTTGTGCAATACTCACTCTGTCAGTTTATTTTCGTTGTTCAGTCAATTAAGTTATTGCTAGTGTTAATATTTACAATAACTCACTACTACTTAAGACAGTGTGACAGGTGTTAAAAAGTGTATTTGCTGATCTAGCATCCGATCTAGGTTCTTTCCTTAATTAATTGTTATCATACTTAAGTATTTGCATCCAGTATTTTGTGTTAGTGTTACCATTTTATTAGAGACTAAGATCTAAGGCTGTTTATTTTAATAATCCAAGACCCCCTAGAATTTTTTCTTTAAAAGATAATAACATGCGCATTTATTTATTATTGTTATAATGTAATGTAACCCACTTTGACGGTGAAAAAACTTAACCAAAACTGTTTCATTTATAATGACTAAGCATTTATGCTGTTGGTAAAATTGTGGCCGTTGTATGCTTTGAAAAAGTATTACAATTATTTATTTGATTTTGAATTCCTTGTTTTGTGATTGTATATATATTTTTTGCCATTGAAACCCAATCATGTTTCTTTTATTTAATTAAAATAATATTTCGGATGGCCTACTTTCGGCCAAGTTATTCTTTAGCAGTATCTGTGAAATGTTACTTAATAGAATTATTTTTTTCCAACATGTAATGTCAGATTTAATCTGACATTTTAAAAGCAGAGCTTTAGACATTGAAATTTCACCTTATTTATTATTAAATTACTAGTTTCGATTGAATAAATAAGTTAATTTATGAGTATGATGAATAAAGAGCATTAGAAAACTTGATATGTTGTTTTTATTTCACGAAGGAAAACTGGTAAGTTAAATCTGTTGTGTTAAGTTCCTAATAACTTTGAATTACACCTGTAATATTTTTTTAAATTATTAACAGACACCAATATGTTGAAACCAGCATATTTTCCCTTAGTTATTGAGCTTTAAATGTTATTTCTAACATACTAAACATTTACATGGCTAATATGTTCGATAACTGGACATATTGTTTCTTATAAAGTGTGCCATTTAGACATCACAAAAAGTTACTACTTAAATCATTAGAAAGTCCCACAGAGCTTTGTACAGAAAATACAGATGACGCTGCTATCGAGAATGCCATTAAATCAACATCATCTTTTTCATTTAATTCTGTGGCGTGCAATGCACTTTAGGATGTTATTAGTAATTCGAGTGGTATAAAAAGGATAGGGTAATTAAAGCAATAATTCAAGGCATGACAAGTGTGTGTCATTTGAACATAAGCCTAAAAAATCTCTAGGTGCATCAATCTGTCTTGCCCCCGCATTTGCTGCCTCTCTCTTCAATCCGAGCGCGTTAACAACATATCGGTAGTAAATAATTTTTAATAAAAAAAAACCGACTTCAAACCGGAAATTAAGAAACATTGTTAATGCCTATAGCATTTGGGGATTTTCCTCGATTTCTCTGGGATGCCATTATCAGATCCGGGTCTTTTCCTTATCATGGTACCACCCTTGGGATATCTCCTTTCCAATAAAAAAAGAATCATCAAAATCGGTTCATAAACGACGAAGTTATCCGCGAACACACATAAAAAAATATACGGTCGAATTGAGAAACCTCCTTCTTTGAAGTCGGTTCAAAATACCTGCTCACATGGAATTTTTTCGATCGCAGCACACTGCAAGATACAGGATAAATATTAAAATTTGTAGAAACAAATGGATGAGAAGTTTTTCGCCGCTGGTCGTAGGAACCGAACTGAGCGAGATTCATCGTAAGTGCAGAGATTAGACCTAGGAAATTTAAATTTCAAATAGCAATGGTGCCATGTCGAAAAATAAAGTAAATAAAATACACTGGGATTTATGTCGGTGTGGCCATCAGCCGTTTAGCTTAGCGATTAAAGTGTTTGGCCGCGATTCCGGTAAACGGGGTTGATTCCCACTGCGGGGAAAAACGTCGCCCATTTTTCTACAATCTTTGATGTTTGTCATAAGTGAAGAGATTAGCACTCTAACAATTTAAATTAACATATTTTTTCACGTTTTTAATTTGGAACAAAAAACACTAGGTACTAATTATAATTATGTATAATGTATAATTATGTATTACGTATTATGAATGTGATTTAGAAATGCGAATCACATTGTTAGATAACGCCCGTAACGTAATTCGTAGCGGTTATTTAGCGTATTAAACATGCACAGTTTAGCACTCCAAAAAATGAACATAATTTTTAATTTGGGCCAAAAACCACTAGGTTATAATTATGTATAATGTATATGAATGTAATTTAATCACATTGTTACATAACTCCCGTGACGCGTATCAGTTACGTGAAACTAGTGTATAAAACAGTTCATATAACGGTTATTTATTATACAGGGAGGCTTTTTAAGTGTATCCATTTTTTTAATTAAATTCTAGACATAAATAATGTTATATAAAAATGATGAATATTTAAAGTCACTCGTAATTAATTAATTACATAAATTTTATCTTATCTCAGAAAGAGTGTGATTTATGGGTAACACGCACAAAAGTTCGTTTCAAAAGTATACAACGCATTTATGAATGACTACCGCATTATCAACAAGTTCTGTTTTTTAGGGAATAAAATGGCAATTTTTTTTTTAAGTTTGTTTTTATTTCAATAAAAGATTATACTACAGAGTCTGAACCTCCTTTAGAAAGGGCACCCTGTATACATTTGAAGATATCTGTCGTATCCATCTTCTGTTACCATCTCTCTTATTTCATTCGTTGACATCATTTTCATAGGTCCACGGCACTGCTCCGGACATCGCCGGCAAGGACATGGCGAACCCCACGGCCCTGCTGCTGTCCGCAATCATGATGCTGAGGCATTTGCAGCTCAACGAGCACGCGGATCGCGTGCAGAACGCTTGCTACGAAGTTCTGCGCGAGGGAAAATCCCTAACCGGAGACCTGGGCGGCACTGGAAAGTGCAGCGAATACACAAACGCGATCATTTCAAAGCTAAAGTAAACAATACATGTTATAAGATTGTAATGCGTACAACGCATACGTTTTATGTCGCGTAAGGCACAGTTCATAACGCTGTATAGGTTGGATTTATTAAGCTGTGCACGGTGACTGTATTGTTGTGTTGACTATTTGGAATTAATTTACGTTGTCCAACTCGAATTTAGAGTATTAAATTTTGTTAAAATAGATATGTAAATTTACCAAAGTATTATGAATATCTAGGGATACAGCTTACATATTGTATATTTATTTCTCTTATAATTTTATGTAACAAAAATGGTAAATATACCTATTTACCATCCTGCCAAAATGTCTCTCAAACATAAAAATGTGTACATTGGTTTGATTATTCTCACTTTAATTAAAGAAATATAATTTAATTTTGTTTCTTATTTCCACATAGAAAAAAAAGAATCATGATGTCTAATAACATTATAATATTTATGAGGCAAGTTAAGAATAAGAACAATGATTAGGATGCCCTACGATACGCTGACAATATAATCTTGTTGCCTAAATATAACTAGGAAAAATAAATAATTCAAATAGAAGGCCCCGGCTACCTCATCCACCAGACGAAACGCAGAAATTTAACACTTCTACTTTACGCCTGTGTACCTTTTTAGTGTAGTTCATTATTAGCGAAGTACATTAGCAAGCCGCCTGGACTTTGAGCAAATAGACGATGCACGGACTGAGGAGAACAATAGCATACCATAGACGAGACGATGAAGCCGTCAGCTCGCATATTAATGAAAGGTGATTATTTCGACTAACAAGGGGATGTAAAAGGGCCCTCCGATAGAGGTTTGAACCTCTAGAAGTAATATGGTTGAAATTACGATTTAACCATGACACAACCCTGTCGAACGATTGTACAAAAGCAATTAGTTTCCGAGATTACGAAACACAAAATTATCAAAAATAATCAATTCACGAAAATTATTAATCGTCGAAATTTAGAAGTTTCGTAAATAATTAGGTATTTAACTAATGAATGATCGTACGCTGACTCGCTATTAAAAAACAATATCAACACGACATATGCTATTCACAGGTTCGGTGACTCCGTCAAGGCGTCTTGACGACTGCGCCATGAGGTTTAGCGTCGGAGGTCGTGGGTTCGATTCCCACACGAGACAACTATTTGTGTAACCCACAGATAGTTGTTTCGTATCTGGGTATCACGTAAAATTTATGTATGTAAAAACGTACTTGCGACACAGGATAATATGATCCTAAAGTGAGGGCAATTTCTTTAAAAAAAAAAAAGACAAGAGGCCAGGCACACGAAGATACCTATTGTCTTTACATGACTGATGTTTTCGCTTTCAGTACATACATAGATTATTAAAGCTTTATCGAAAGCAGAGCTTTTAGAACAGCCAGATTCTACGAGCTTTATACAGCCTTCTTCGTTTAGTAGAACCCTGCATTTGCTCATGGCAAATGCAGCATCGTTATATGTCTCATTAAGGAGGTAGGGAAGTATTGTTGTAGGGCTGTATACATTGGCAGAGGCTAGGGAGTATTACCACCATGGTTGTATCCCAGAAATTGTTGAATATCATCGAACTGTATAATATGATTGTCAACATTTTATACCATATTCAAACAAATAAATGGAGAAAGATATCGTGTGTAGACTTTGTAAGTATCAGGAACCATTTTTTATGTGGAAAGTTGTCACTTGAGCTGACGGTTCACCTGATGTTAAGTGAATACTGCTGCCCATGGACATCTGCTACACCCGAGGGTACACATCTGCATGTGTTAACAATCTTTTGAAAATTGGGCTCCAACTACCTCACTCACCAGATGAAACGCGGAAGTATTATACTTACATACACGCCGATCTTCTGTGAAGTCGTGGTATTTATCCGGACGAGCCTATACATTCGTGCAACAGCCGAAACTGCTGCGTGACCCTACCACTTTATACCTCGTATTTATAAGCGAACGCGCTTTGCCTGTTTCAAAGTTATTGCGGTGTATTCTGCGCTAAGTACGATGGCATTGCGCCTTACGGATTTCAGTAACTATTTATTCCTTCGAAAGGAAATTTTGACGCTTCTTGTTCGCTATGTTGGAATGGGTATTAGAAGATATATAATATATAAGATAGGGATTTAAAGATTCCGCTACAATCCGTTTTTATTTTTATTTTTTATATGCGGTCCATGAAATTTTTTAGAATTTTTAAAGGGGAACAATTCCGTCATACCTGATTTTTACATAAGTTTAGCTGTTTACGCAGCGCACCAGTGGCGGCTTTACAAATTTTCCGCCAATAGGCTGTTCAATTTTTACCGCCCCTGCTGACTTTTGCAATTCGATACCTTAGTCCGCAATCATATTAATTACATTTATTCTGTCAATAACATTATGATTTGTGCTCTTTCGCCTTCATTACATCAGTTTGTTAAACTTTTTGATTTGTACTCTATCGTCTTCATTACATCATATGTATACAATGATGTTTTGCGGAGCCCAATTTTCAAAAGGTTGTCAACGCATCTGGAACCCTAGGGTGTAGCAGATGTCCATGGGCGGCGGTATTCACTTAACATCAGTTGAACCGTCTGCTCGCTGGACAACTTTTCACATATAAAAAAACCTCTCAAATGGAATCATTTTGTCCCGTTTTTGCAACATTATTCATTTATGTTCCGCTGCTACTAGTCGTAACATCACTACATAGTATAAAATAAAGTCGTCCCGCTGCCTGTCTGTCCCTATGTATGCTTAGATATAAACTACGCAACGGATCTTGATGCGGTTTTTTTACTAGATAGAGTGATTCAAGAGGAAGGTTTATTATGTATAATAGATTGCACCCATGCGAAGCCAGGGCGGGTCGCTAGTTATATTATAAAGCCTGAAGCCTTTCTTGATGGCAAGTTTTAATAATTTTCACGATATTAATAGTCTTATTGAAAATTGTTTTAAAAACGTTTTTCATTTTTGTATTTCTGAGAGAACTTATATTACAATGTGAAACTGAAAAGGAGCCTTTTACGGTTTTTTCAAATGTCAAAAGTAAGTTTGACATTGACATGTTATTGCTTTGTAGTTTGAATCTGTCAAAATACACGGCATGAAGTCCATGCTGTTTTTATTAATATAACCAAATTATTATTTGAGTATTTATATTATTATTTACCTTTGTCATTGATCAAAAATGGTTAAAAGAGTAAGTATTCAACGAACATATTATCTTTTGAGAATGTTATAATTTGATGTACTTTTTTTAATTCCTATAACTTTTTAAAGGCCAAGACTACTTCTCTTTCCGAGAATGACGATGATTTATCTGTTCTAAATGAAAACGGTAAAAGACCGTCCGAAACAGAAAATAAGGAGGGAAAAAAACGTTTAAGGATAAAAAACTTGTATAGACAGCCGACCGTGAGGGAATTAAACCGTCTACAGGAGACCGAAAATTTATTTAACTCGAATCTGTTTCGTCTGCAAATTGAAGAAGTTCTCGATGAAGTCAAGGTCAAGGAAAAAACTGACAAACGTTTCACAGAATGGTTTAATACTTTCAAAGAACATTTGTTTGCCATATCTGAAGATACGACGGAATATGATCTTACCGAGAAGACATTTTTTAAACGCCTCGGTGTTAAATCACCAATTAGTAATGAACTAAATACGAAATGTATGTTTAAATTCCGTAAATTTCAAGATATTCAGATTGTTGGGTCATATGGTTTAGGCAATGCAATCAATTCAAAGCTCATTGTTGATGTTCAGATTGCAGTCCCTGCAGATACATACACAAAAAATGACTCTATAAACTATAGATATCATAAAAAACGCGCTGCATATCTGGCTTACATTGCCTCACATTTACAAAAGCTGGACATTATTGAAGAATGTGAATATACTTACCTAAATGGCGTGAAGACTAAGCCAATGATTGATATTAAGCCAAAAGGAAAATTAGGTAACATATTACTGGTCCGAGTTAATTTGACTTGTGACAATGAAGCATATAAACTGCATAGATTTAGCCCATTACGTAATAACTTGAGAGAAACTTGGTTATTCAAGAATGAGACTGTAGATAATGCCTCAGATGTGGGACCCCCTACACCATACTATAACAGCAGCATATTAAGTGATTTAACAGATGCAGTGAATAAAGAATTTTTAAAGGAAACCTTTCTAAATCATGAGAACTTAAAACAGGCCATTGTACTATTGAAAATATGGATAAGGCAGAGGAAATTGCAAGTATCGGGGTATATAATCAGCATGTTTGTTGCGTATTTGGTACAAATAAAGAGGATCAACAACATTATGAGCAGCTATCAGATAATAAGAAACATTTGGATTGCACTAAGTGAGTATAACTGGTTTTTCCATTTTTAAAATATAATTTAAGTAACATAACATATTTTATTTCATCGTAGAGACTATTTTTCCTCATGTTTATTGAGTGAGATTCATTATTCATTAGTTATTGGAATTGACTGTACATAAATAGATTTAAAGAGCTTTTAGAACACATTATTATCTACTATTTTTTCTGTTTAGAGTTTTTTTTGTGTTGTAAAAAATTTTTAAATATTATATTTAATAGATAAAAGTAAAAGCTGAAACTCTCTTCTTATAGAAAGTATTCCTGAGAAGTATATGATGGTAAACTCTCTACTTGTCCATAGAATGTGACATTGTAATATGTAAAAATTGTCTCTACGGGGACTATATTAATTTTGTTCTATTTATAAAATTTTTACCTATGCGTAATAATTTTCTACTTCAGAATCGTCAGAATGGGACACAAAAGGTGTTTCATTATTTAAAGGTTCTTCACCAGCACCTTCTTTGGAAGATTTCCAGCAGAACTTTCCTGTGATATTTGTTGACAAGTCTGGATATTATAATATTTGTTGGGATATGCGTAAAGGAACTTACAATGCACTGAGAAGAGAGTGCGGGATAGCTATTGATATGTTAGACAATCCGAAGATAAACAGTTTCATACCACTTTTCATGACACCAGTACATAACTTAATGCAGTTTGATCATATAATAAGGTACTTTCAACTATTAACCTTTTTCGTACTCAACTCATCTAGAATGTATGTTTGTGTTATTTCTTTATATAATTATCATTTCAGGTTTAAAAATCCCCTAAAACTCCAAGAGAGCGTCCTTAGTAGGATTCCGAATGCATCAAGGGTCAACTATGGTGTAAATGATCTAGCTCTGGTAGTGGAAACATTATATGCTTTGTTGAGTAGAGGTTTGGGGGACAGAGTAAAATTGATATTGCAGCTTGTTGAAGCAGACCATTCATGGCCTCTGAATGTGAAAGCGAAAAACAAGTAAGTGTAAAAACATATAAATCATTTTTTATAGAGAGGTGGCAAATGAGTGGATTGTAATTTGACCTTGGATTTTTGCAGCATTTGAGGACTTACAAATGGAATAAATGTTAGATATCTATTATTTTGTGTAATGTTTATAGATCGTGAAAAAATTAATTCATGATGTAAAAACATACTGTTACATCTATATATATATAAAAATTTCGTGTAACGATGTATGTTCACGATAAACTCCGAAACTACTGAACCAATTTTTATCAAATTTTGTAAACATTTGGAATTTAGTCCAACTTCGTCAATAAGGAAGTTTTTATCTCAATTATTGATCTCAATATTTGTTATTGCAAATTATTTCTTTATTAGATGACAAAGATCTATCTGTGAGTCCCATAAGATTTTAACAGATGGTGGTGTTAGGTAAATTTATTGGCTGGATTGAGTAAGTATCCGATAGGTGGCGCTATGCTAAAAGTAGAAACGTATGGACCCGGTAGAATAAGCGCAGACGAAGTTGCGCGGGCCAGACTATATATATTCACTATCGGCCCGTATCAATATTCAATCTACAGATAGATTTGGTTACCAGTGATAGGTATTTGACATTAGCTCCATAATGATTACGTCAAAGTTCTATCTGTAGATTGAATATTGAAACTGGCCATATATGTATATATTCTTTGCTTTTTTTCTTTATGTAAGAATATGGCAAGTGACCTGGCAGTTCTCCCAGTCTTAAATGATAACCACCATACATGGGCATTTTCAAAACTCGTATGGGCAGATGCATTGTCACCTTCTAATAAAGTAGGCCCCTCACTCGCCGAACAAATCAAGAAATGTAATACACACTTCCACTTCACATTGGACTTCTGTGAGGTTGTGGTACTTCCCCTAACAGACCTGACTATTTGTGCAACAGCAAAGACTTGCGAGGCCCTACCACAGTATACAACTTGTTAACACTTGATTTTCTTTTTCAGGGTTGATATTGATTTGGCTTTTGGTTTAATTTTGAACTCTGAAAATGTAATGAATATTGTGGATAGAGGACCACCAGCCAATCTTCCCGAATCTGAAGAATTCAGGTAAGGTTTATGGTATATTTTTTAATATGTTCCTCCATTATCATGTTTCATATTTGTGTTGAGTCCTGGAGAATTAATACAGGAAGTAATTATTAATTTAATTAATTATTACTGAGATAATTTTATAGCGCAAAACATTGTTTAAAGTGTTAAAATAAATGTAGATAAACCGTATTATTCCTACTATATAGGATTCTTTTTATTCGAAAAAAATAATTTAAAAAAGATATTTTTTTAAGGACTTCAACACGAATTAAGCCGCGGGCGAAAAGCTAGTAATAATGTAAACATGTTGAGATTGTTGTCAATGTAGCAATCAGCTATTTCGAGCAAAACGAGAATACCATATTTTAATGTTTAATCTTAAGTGTAGAATTAGCACTGAAGTAATTAGCACTATGGAAATTTAATATAAAAATTTTAAAAATATGATTACTTTCAGAGCGTTTTGGGGCGACAAGTCCGAGTTGCGCAGGTTCCAAGACGGCTCCATCACCGAGGCCTGTGTCTGGGCTGCGGAGACCATGGCAGAGAGGCGAGCCCTGCCCAAGCAGATTGTGGACTACCTCATGAGCTTCAAATATGGTAACCCGATCTTCCTCACACCTAATGCCCGGTGTACACATACTAACAGACTTAATCATGACTCCGTGGTGCAGCCGCCAATGTATTAGCCCCGACGCTGAGTTGGTATCGGACGTGAGTTCGATTCCCACACGAGTCAACTGTTTGTGTGACCCACAGATTATTATTTCCGATCTGGGTGTTTTTCCACATTGAACAGGTCGCAGTGGTCATTGGAACTTACTACCCAAACGTTTCCACACAAAATGCAAATACATGTATATCGGCCCGCTCATTTCGCAGGCGTGCCCTCGTCGCAGGTGTTCCACGTGTGCGACCAGCTGGACGGGCTGCTGCTGTGCAAGGCGGCCGGCGAGCAGCTGGAGGAGCGCTCCGTCCAGGTGCTCAGGGCCTTCGACGAGCTGCGCCGCGACCTGCGCGCGCTGGACCAGCTGCCGCTCGAGATCAGCGCGGTGCACGGTACTTAGACTCTATTGCCTTGGGAATAAGGTTCAATATTGTGATTCGCTTCTTTGGATAATAGATATTGGTCTTTGGATCGTCGCTGTGTACGGTACTTCAACTCTATTGCCTTGTAGATATATTAAAATATGTAGAAAAAGTGCGAAAAGATTGTCGCCGTTGTGGGAATCGAACCCACGTCTTCGGCATTCGCGGCGGTATTGTAGATATAGTTTAATATTGTGGTATGCCTGTGTGAGCCGATTTGCCGGTCATTGGATTAGCGCCGTGCACGGCACTTGGACTCTATTTCAATGCTAATAAGGTTCAATATTGTGATTCGCTTGTTTGTATAATAGACGCCGGTCCTTGGATCAACGCCTTCGACTCTATTCCCTTAAGGATAAGGTTCAATATAGTAGTGCGTGCGGTGTAAACAAGAGCCGCTAGCCACTTCGGCTTTACAAAGCATTTGAGGTACACCACCTTCAAAGTAGCGATGTGCAAATCGCGCCAATTTACAGAGAAGCCGCTTGCCTTATAGGCCTATTTTTTATGTGAAGCAAGTGGCGGTTCACCTGATGTTAAGTGCTAACCGTCGCCCATGAACATTTTCAACATCCGTAGGGTTTCAGATGCGTTGCCACGTTTTAATAAAGTGTGCCCCGGCTACCTCACTCACCATAGGAAACGCAGAAGTGTGACACTTCCCCGCGATACTTCCCCGGACGGTGCTGCCCATATATGCAACAGCGAAGACTGTCGCTTGGCCCTAGCACAGCTTAGGGTCTATTCGGCATGTTGCAGGCGTGTCCTCGGTGTTCAGCTACAGCGAGCCGCAGCCTGGCGGGGCGGCGCCCCCGCTGCCGGGCGCGCGCCGCAAAGGCGCCTCCGCCCTCCTCAAGGACGTGCCAGGAGCCCGCCTCCCCCCCTACACCCCAGCCACTACTGCCATCCTCGAACTAGGTGGGGCACCACATTTCATCTTAACGTCCTGGTAGTCAGTTTTGTTAGTCTGTAACACTCAGCTGCCCCTTTGAAGTCGTCCATTAACTAATTGGTGTTTTTCTTTAAACATTTTAACCCTCTACCCCTCTCCTGTAGGGATTTGGTGAGATTTAAGACTAAGATTTACAATTGAGTAAGAACTTGTGCATCGTACGTGGATTTGGGGCGAAAGTAGAAAAAAGCGATCGAGCGAGGGTGTAAACTAGGCGGCGATATTCTTGAACCACACCCCACATGCAGCCCTTCCCATTCAAACATGTAATTAACTGAGTAATATTCCATCGAATAAGTTTGCATTTTTAATGAAAATGGTGAGTTCGCCAAATTGTAATGACTGCGGTGTCGTTGAAGATGTACTCCATGCATTGACAGAATGCGTTCGTAACCAAGATCTCAGAATGTCTTTGATGGATTCCCGAAATTTTAATGTTGGTTTTGTGACCAGTATCCTGACTGTTCCGATATCAGATCAGGCTCGGATACTGGCCAGGATTGCCGAACTTAGTTTAAGAAAAACTTGATTTTGTAATAGATGTTAAGCAATGTTGTGTTGATGTACTATATTATTTTTTGTTAACCCTACAGGGCGTTGTTATCGTTCAGCGATAAAGCTCTTTCCTAATAAATATAAAAAAAAATAACTGAGTAGTGTTCAAGGGCAAACTTCAGAGTTCTGTAAAGTTGGGGGGGAGGGGGCATAGAGACTTGGTACTTGCTTGATATCGGGTAGTTTCCTTGTTATCTCCAAACCTGGACCCGTCCGCAGGCCATAGCGGCAAGTGGCCCGGCGACCTGGCCGCGTTCCGCTGCCTGAAGGCGGCCTTCCACGTGCAGATCGCCGAGCGGCTGACGAGGCAGCTCTCGCTGCCAGCCCAGCCCCACCCCGGCCACCTGGACGTGCTGAAGGGCGGCAGGGTGTTCCGCCTCCGGCTGGCCCACCCCAAGGAGCTGGTGCTGCTGCAGCGCCGGAACGACGCTGGCCTGCTCCGCCACCGCCACAGCGAGGAGAGTCTGGACCTGCAAAGGGACACGATGCTTCTGCCCCGGCTGAGAGGCGCTTTGCACGGGTACTGCTTTGACCTCTGGGCTTTTGAGTCGCTTTCGGTAGGATATATTTCAATTTGTTGATTAGATCATATTGTACACCGTTTTGGATGAGCCAACACAACACGAATTTTGCCTTTTTTTATAGTGTTATTTTGTGCTCTAACATAAAATTTAAACGGGTGTTGCAAATGCCAATGGGCGGCGATTATCCTTCTAATAAAATAATATATTTTTATTAACAAAAAACAAAACCGACTTAAAACGTATACAGTTCTCACTTACAATAATTTATTTCGTCGAATGCCCTCGAGTGTCTCTGGAGTCCAATGCCCAATACCAACGAAAACAGTACGGGACCACATGGTACGCATCTAGTGCAAAAAGAACAATGCAATTCTGAGGTGGCTAACGCAAAATTAAGAGAAAACCGACAACCTCCTTTTTTGAAGTCGGCTAAAGTCGAACGCCCCCGCCCGCCAGGCTGCAGCAGCGGCGCGGCGCGTTCGGTCCGGCCGCGTGCCTGCTGCGGCGCTGGCTGAGCGCCCAGCTCGTCGCGCCGCCGCACTTCCCCGCCGTCGCGGCCGAGCTTGTCACCGCCGCGGCCGCGACCAGCTCGGCGCCGCTCGAGACGCCCGCTCAGCCGCTGACGCTGTTCGTGCGCGCGCTGCGCCTCATCGCCGACACGGACTGGCCGCGCGAGATGCTCGTGCTCGACCTGAACGACGACATGACGCGTGAGTTTGATGAGTACAATAAATGTTTTAGGACACGTTTGCACGCGACGTTCTCTAGTCGTAACTAAGCAACGCTTGTACTATGGGTACTAGATAACTGATGAACTGATATTATTCAAGTTTAAAGACCCAGACAATGGAAAAACAGTATGTCATTCATTATCATACATATTCATATTCATTCATCACACATACACTTTTCCAGTAGTGGGGATCGAACCCACACACTGACGCAAGAGACAGGTCTTCAATTTACATATTGTCGTTAAAGTTCTTATGTACATGACGAATGCACCATAAGCTGATTGTTAATGCATACGGCGGATTGGACCTAAGTCGTATAGGCCGATTGGTCCTGTAGGACAGATTGGGAAGATTATACGATGAGCTAGCGCCGTGGTTAATACGTTCGGTGTATGATGTGTCGATTAGGCCAGTTGGTCCTTCGAACCGGATCTTTGACGGTTAAATTGACGTAGGACAGAGGGGAGGGGTTATACGGCTAACTAATCGTGTGGTTAATGCATACAATGAAATGTATGACATTTTATAAGGCAGTTGGTCCTTCGAGCCGGTTTTTTGACGATTAGATTGACGTGGTACAGAGCATTGATCCACGGTTCAGACGAAATTGAAACGTCGAATCCTCACGTTAATAATTGTCTTCATCACCGGAACTGTTATATATCTCCTGTGTCAGATACTTTAGATCAATGTATAAGAAAGCACCTCCGCACCAGGTGAGGAGGTGGCTGAACTGGAGCGAAGGTTCAGCGAGCGCGAGGAGCCAACGCCATACATGTACATAGTGACGGCGTACGACGGCGACCTGCCGTCCATCTGGACGAGGACCGCGCCCACCAAGGAGGTGGTGGTGAGGGTCCAGACCCTCGCCAGGGCCACCCTCGCGTACTTCGAGGGCGCCCTGCTGAAGGACTTCAAGGATAACGTGCTAGTGAGTTGGGCACCGTCGCCTCTAGTTTTAATTATTTTAATACTAAAACATTGCTCCTTAACTATGTAGCATAACATTATCCTGTGTTGTAAGGACGTTTCACGCGGACTCAGATCCCAACAAATTACTTAGGAGTCACACAGATAGTAGTCTCGTGTGGGAGTCGAACTCATGACCCCCGTCGCCGAAGCCAATACCTTGGCTACTACGTCACGGAGTCATCAGGTATTATGCTCGCTATTATGCCTTCTGCAACCTCGTGGAACTTTCCCAGGTGGGCTGGCCCATTCTTGTAACAGCAGAAACTGTTGCGTAGCCTTACCACAATTAATTAACTGGTGTTGAAGTACCTATTTAATCCCGTTTCGTGATTCAGAGCGACAAAGTCGCGGGCGTAGGCTAGTTTACTATCATCAGTGTCACAATCCTTCCCTTATCCCCAAGTGAGGGTCGTGATTATGTGAATCACGATGGCCATTTTGTTTACGACTCAACCCTCCTTGGAAACAAACTCAGATCCGGAACAATTTTCGCACGTCGCACAAACGCGTGTCCCGCGTGGGAATCGAACCGACGAGCCGACAACTTAGCTACACCACCAAAATTCCTAGGCTAGTTTCGCTCGTCTGATTGACAGAGCGCCTTCGTGCCCTCGCTGGCGGGATACGACGCGATAATCCACCTGGAGCCCCACGCCGTGGTCTACTCGGAGGAGGTGGTCGGGGCGACCCCCACCCCGAGGCCGAAGAAGACGGAACTGCTGGAAGACTTCCTGCCCGTGGTCGAGTTCGATCCAGTCGCTAAATACCTGGACGAGCTGAGGGTGAGTAGACTCAAGTTGGTACAGTCGTCGCTGATGTTTGTTCCACATCGACCTTTGGAAGTAACCATCAGCCAACTTTTACCTCCTAGAGCGTTCTCTAGAGCTCTACGGAAGGTTAAGCCTTTATAAAATCAGCCGATTGTCTCTTTCTAATGATCAATGTACAATATTTATCGATGAGTATTAAAATTATAAGACACGTTTGCTGTCAAGTAAGTCATCGTATCAGCACCGGCGTCATCAACTGCCTAAGGTTTTGTAAAAGTATGGATATAAAAGCTTCCGCAATACATACGGTACCGGTCTTACCGGGTTTTAGACTTTAAACTTTTCAATATTTTGCGACAAATTTTTAATGTATATTGCGAAAAAGTTTGCGACAGTTTAAAATGTACTCAAGCGATCCGAGTTCAAGCCCCGGCGCCGGTACCAATGTAATTGTTTTATTTGCAATTTTACGTTCTCAAGGTAAACAGCGCCAGGAAATGTTTTTAAGTTATGCGAAGTCCACCAATCGCCGTTGGGGTCGCGTAGTGGGCTAGCCCCAACACCCTCTGTACATATGAGGCCCTTGCTCATTAGGACAGGCTGTTACTTTACTATTTATAATGACTGTCTCCGATTACCGCGAGCAAAAAATTGCCCATATTGCCCATATTGCCCACATTGCGAACTTCGCAGAAAACGTTTGTTATTCGTCGGCACTGATGGAGCGACCACTTTCAGAGCGCCTTCGACCAGTTCGCGTTGTTCTTCCACGACCCTTACGGCGGTCGCGTCATTGGGGTTCTGTGGCGCCCTGGACTCGGCCAGCCGATGGACTTCCAGGTGCGTCTCGTGCTTATCCAGGACCCTGGAGACGGCACAGGACTGATGCTCCTTCTGAATGGACCCCGTTCCAGCTTGATGATGATGGAGTCTTGGTGGAGGTCGAGGGTTCTATTCTCGCATGGTGCAAGTAGTTGTGTGACCCACAGATAACTGTTCCGTACGGGGACAACATGTATATTGTATCTAGCAAGTCCTAATTCGTCAGAGACTAATTTGGACAATATGTAAGGATCGTCACCCTTTCATGCTCTCTCTGGTCTTGACTACTGCTGTGCACAATTTTATAACAGTGGAAATTCTTTTATAAATATAAATATCCATAAGTCCATATCCAGTACCAGTTCATCATCATCATCATCATCATCATCATCATTTAAGCCTGTTCTAGTCCACTGCTGGACATGTTTAAACGTCATACCAATCATTGGATTTTTTTTTATTTGAAACGTTGCCAAGCGAGCTGACGGTTCGCACGATGTTAAGTGAATATCGCCACCCATAGACATCTGCTACCTGAGGGTTTGTAGATGCCTTGACAGCCTTTCAAAAAGTGGACCCCGGCTACCTCACTCACCAGACGCAACGCCAATTATATAGAAGTATAACATTTCCACTTCACGCCGGTCTACTGTGAGGTCGCGATACGTCCCCGGATGGACCTGCCCATTCGTGCAACACCGAACAATGCTGCATAATTCTATCACAGTTTATTTTTTGCCATTAACTGTGGTAGTAATTTCAGCTCAAATTTGTCCTCGCCCATCCTGTTTGTGGCAGCCATTGCTAGTAACTCCCACACCAGACCCAATACCAGCCGGTTCCCAAGTCAGAACCATCGGCTCAACTCACGGAGCACATTGATCTCAGATCGCCAACGCAAATGCTGTTAAGCCGGTGGCCGTGGACGGCGAAACCAGGTACGTGGTGAACAAGGAGGCAATTCTCCAGGACTTCAGGATAATGGGGCGCGGCATCGTCAGGGACGTGACTGTACCTCAATCGATGGACGCTTGAAATATAAGTGTATTTACAAATGGTGTTGTGTTTTTTTTTTAACCAACCGCGATAAGGGATATATTGATATATTTGTAAGGTGTTGTTGTATGCTGTAAAAAGTGCACACTAGATGGCGCCAATTAGAAAAAGTTGCCAAACGAGCAGACGGTTCACCTAATGTTAAGTGAATATCGCCGCCCACGGACATCTGCCACACCCGAGGGTTCCAGATGCGTTGACAACCTTTTGAAAATTGGGCTCCGGCTACCTCACTCACCAGACGAAACGCGGAAGTATTTGTCATACTTCCACTTTACGCTGGTCTTCTGTGAGGTCGTGGTACTTACCCGGACGGAAATGCCCATTCGTGCAACAGCCGAGGCTGCTGCGTGGCCCTACCACCTTTATGCCATTACCCTTATTGCTAAATATGCAATAGAACGGACGTAGATAGATATCAAGATTTTCGCACTGTTAGGTCATCGGCCGCATAGCTTAGTCGGTAAAACGCCTGGGCGCGAAACCAGGTTCGAATCCCGCAGTGCCGGAAGGTTTTGTTCAAATATCTACAAAAAATTTACAAATTAAACGATTTTAAATATTCTTTTTGAAATTTGTATTCGCTTTAACTCCCATATAGTGCCATGTTAATTCCTTGGACTCCGGAGACGTCAATGAAATAAAACACGATACAATCCGTAAAATAGTTTAATTCAAACAGACTTTATCATTAAGTTTACGTTTACCCCAACATGTGGTTTAACAAGTAGTGAGTTTAAACACTTACAACTACGATATGTAGTTAGCAATAGCTCCTAGGAGAACTAGGAAAGCGGTGATGGTAGGACAAAATGCTGCATCGGCAACATATTCCTTGGCGCGCACAAAGTAAGGTAGGACGTCCAACGGCGCGGGATAGTCCTTAATCCAAATGGGTCCTACCAGAACCCTCTCAGGGTCCCCCTCCTCCCACCACAGCCCAGAAGGAAGGTAGACGTCCCTGGAAGTAGCTCCTTGCTCCAGCACCGGTGCCACTAGGATGTCCTCACCCCTGGAATTTAAGAAATACGTCTCTTTCTTAGAGCTTATAGGTATTTTAAATAAATATACTTTTCGGATGTTTGGAACACCGTTATATCCATGGTTAAAGGATAGGCTAAAGTTTTGTTTAAAATGTTTCTTTTTTCATTTACTGTCATGAACCGAGATAGACAGTTGAAATTTTCACAGATGACGTATTTATGTTGCCGCTATAACAACAAATACTAAAAAACAAAAAATATTTTAGTGGGCTCCCATACAACAGATATGATTTTTATGCCGTTTTTCTAGATAATCGCACTTGGCCGGTTTTTATGTCTAAAGGCTGCAAACTAACAGGCGGTTTATCTGATGTAAAATCATTATCATAGAGCGTGTTAGACCACTTCCTTGCCTAGTTTACGCTTATACCTTATAAATTTTACGCCATCAATTTACATACATACCAGTTACTGGGCTATGAGTAAGTAACACGTTCATGTCACGGTGTATTCAACAAAATCCCAGTTAAGGCCTATTTAACAGGTTTAAATTAAGAAAATTATTAAAGGAAAACTTTTTAAAAAGGGTTATTATGACATTAATGATAATAACCCCTGGGAATGAAATAAACGCCTCGAAGCTGTTTCTTAAAAAAAAAATGTATACTGTAAAACATAATAATAGTTTGAGGAAACAAAAATTACAAAAAGGCGGATACCTACACAGTTTCTTTCGCCTGTTTCTTCTCCGTCAGAGGAACCTCATTACGAAAATGTGAAAGATTTAAAAAAATGACTATCGTTAGATGAAATGTATATTGCTTACGCTGATAAAGGAATGATTTGCTTTTGATTTGAGATATTCTATGGTCTTTTACCGTCCCATATGGTGAGTGTCTCCTGGTCGTTGGGGTCCAGCCACCACAGTGGCGCGTTCACCGGTTTTCCCTCGTCCACCGACGCCTGCATTGCCGCGTATATGTAGTCTGCGTAAGCGGCGTGCAGCTCGGTGTATTTCTTGCTTATCTCAACTGTCTGCGACATATAATTCTCACTGCAGGGCCACGCAACAGTGTTCTGTTGCACGTATGGGCAGGTCCGTCCGGGTAAGTACCATAACCGCACAGAAGTGTGGTCGTGGTACTTACCGTAAAATGGAAGTGTTATTCTTCAGCGATCGTGAGTGAGCCAGGTAGCGACGGCCCACTTTATTGAAAGGTGGCAACGCATCTGCAACCCTATGTGCAAATGTCAATGGGCGGTGGTAATCACTTAACGTCAAGTAAACCGCCTGCTCACTTTCCCTTCTCATTAAAAAAAAAAAATAAGATTAAGATTCACATTGGCAATAAAACAGATATTGACAATTGACCGAGAATACTAAAAAATATTGTACTTAGTATAGTTTGATGACTCCGTGGTCCAGCTGCCAAGGCATTGGCTCCGGCGTCGGGGTTCGTGGGTTCGATTCCCACACGGGACAACTATTTGTGTGACCCACAGACGGTTGTTTCTCATCTGCGTAAAACGTTCTTACAACAAAGGATTATGTCATCCTAAAGTAAGGGCAATGTTTTAAAAAAAATTGTACATTAAGTACAGTGCAACAGTCACCTCGTTGTCAAAGTTCCACGGCACGTACGAATACTGCATGGCCGGTAGGAACGTGTTGGCCTGCACCCATCTTAAGAACAGCTCCTTAGTCGGTGTGTCCGCCTGTTCGTGGTCCAGGTTGTAGCCGTTGCCGCCTATCATGTCGGGCAGCAAAAACGTGTAGCCGGCGAGATTCATCTGGAGGGCGGTGGTGACGACCGTCGACAGGCCGTTGTTCAGCCCCCATATCGAGTCGCGGTCCACCATGCGCACGAAGATCGGCAGCTCCTGGGTCCTGGGATTGTCCAGAATCACTCATACCCGCGCCTGACGTCGCCAGGAGTGACGTTTTAAATCATTAACTTTACTAAAGCCAGGCAGCCACTGTCGCACTCCTATCCGTGTCTGACATCGCCAGGGCTCACTTTGAAAATCATTAATTTGAATGCGGTAAAGACACGTCTTTGCTGTTGCAGGAATGGGCTGCTTCGTCAGGGAACATCATAACTACCGCTGTAGGTAAGGGCGTGGCATACTAGCGTTCATCGTATTGACCTTTATAGTAAGCCCCGGGTGGCAGGCATGGGCGTAAATATTGCTCGTGGAGGGTCGTGTGTTAATGACCCCGCTCAGGACCATATGACCGGACATGGTGCCCCAGCACCCGGGACTGAGTAGGCCTTGGTTGCGGAACACTGTGTCTACGTGTACTCGTGCCCCCCGTAGATGCGATAAGATTAGAATTAGATTAAGAATAAGCGTTGACTCCAATAGGGATTTCATGTAGATAAGTTAGCTAAGAAATTGAGCGCGGCCGTCTTTGGCATACGCGAAATCAGGCAGCTAACTAACGAGGAAACAGTTAAATTAGTTTATTATGCTTATTTTCACAGCATAATGTCCTATGGTGTCTTACTTTGGGGTTCCGCATCCGGTTTAGACACAATATTTGTATTACAAAAGCAGGCTATACGGGCCGTATGGCTTAGGTCCACGTGAGTCGCTACGGCATATATTTAAGCAAATAAACGTTTTGACGCTCCCGTCGCTTTACATACTTGAGAACATCCTGTATGTACATAATAATATCCACCTACGAATCCTATCCTTTACGAAAAAACAATCCACATCGTGTCGAGGCCGTGGTGACACTCTGGAAGTACCGAGGTTTAGATTGGCTAAAACCAGAAAGTCGTTTCTTGGAAGATGCATCAAATTTTATAATAAAATAGATGACATCCACAAACAACTAAGTATAAACAATTTCAACAATTTGTAAAAGCTACCTTAATGGCAAGGGCCTACTATAATATCCAAGAATACATTGAGGACAAGGATGTTTGGAAATGCCTCTTGCTCTGCACTTGCAAGACCCCTGGCTGCTGCTGATTTTATACCCAAATAAGTGTGTATAATTGCATGAAAAAAAATATATATAACAAAAAGAACAAGACCGCAGAGTTTCTTTCCGGTTCTTCTCTGTGCAGGTCTAGTTTAGTGAACCGGTGGTAGATTTTTTGTTGACGTTCAATAAGAGCTTAAGTTAGGCCTATATTGAATAAATATACTTTGACTTTGATAAAGGCGGGTGCAACTTAGGTTTTTAATGGGTGCCCGTTTTGAACGAGACTTCCATTAAACGACCACTTCGCGATCCGTGGTAGCCATAATGGATTTTGCTCACGCAAAAAACAGCATGGTTCGGGAAATAACTGTGGTAGTCTTCTGCTATTGCTCGAATGGGAAGACTCGTCCGAGGAAGTACCACGGAAGATCGGCGTGAAGTGAAAGTATTAAACTTTCTCATTCTCAACATACTCGCACAAACCTGTGTGTCAGTCGCACAACTATTTTCCACATCGATGGCATTCTGAAGTAATTATAGGCCTTAACTATTGATTTACCAATTCCCCTGCACCGCATCCTCCCTGGTTTTTCATAGGCATCACATTTACATGCAAGGGTGTATTTGTGAAGACACATTTACTTACTGGAACCCGGCCCTCACTTCCACCATGCCGCCAAAACGCGCCGCCGTGCGCGCGTACGCCTGCACTATGTGGTGCGGCTGCAGATCGATGTCGCCCGACTGTACGGCGACCTTTGCGCGGGAATTTAATTTTAAATATCGAACACTCAGTGCTTGTATAGTTTTTTAAATCTGTCTCTTAATGAACGCTGCAAAGCATCGGATACGTTTAGAATTAAAATAAAAAAAATTAACGCAATGATTCTCTAAATACAGTTTTATTTTGTATTGTGTTGCATATAAGTAAAAAATAAAAATATCGAGTACTTTGAAACTAATTAAAAGCGCAAAGAGCTGGAACAGACTACTTCCACTTATTTAACCCATAATCGAAATGTGATTACTGATTAGAAGTTCTTTTTTTTATGTGATAAAGTGGTAAACGAGCTGCCAGTTCATCTAATGTTAAATGATAACTGCCGTCCACGTACATTTACAATAATCTGAGGTTTGCAGATGCGTTGCTACCTTTTAATAAAGTGTTCCCCGATTACCTCACTCACCAGACGAAACGCTGAAGTACAATACCTCACGTCGGTCTTACCCGGACGGACGTTCGAGCAAAAACCAGGACTGTTGCGTGGTCATACACAGTCAGTTGGCATAATAAAGATCTTATCAGAGCATGGAAGCAAGCCCGATTACATTGCAAAAATAATTTTCCATCATCACAATTTTTTTTTATGCGAAAAGTTGTCTAACGAGCAGACGGTTCACCTGATGTTAAGTGAATACCGTTGCCCATGGACATCAGCCACACCCGAGGGTTACAGATGCGTTGACAACCTTTTGAAAATTGGGCTCCGGCTACCTCACTCACCAGACGAAACGCGAAAGTATTTGTCATACTTCCACTTTACGCCGGTCTTCTGTGAGGTCGTGGTACTTACCCGGACGGGCCTGCCCATTCGTGCAACAGCCGAGGCTGCTGCGTGGCCCTACCACCGTAGTCACCGTCACTTATTACGAAACCAATGAAAAAGCAAACAACCTAAGGTGCTTTCACTCACCTCTGGTGCAAAGCTGCTTTCGCCAGCGTCAAACTTAACGCTGTCAATGTCATATGTGTCCAGCAGATTTTTAACGCGTTCGTACCACCATTCCGCCGCCTCCGGATTGGTGAAATCCACGTAGCCAGGCACCGAGCCGTTATTGTTCCACCAGGACGTCGCTGGCTTACCAGCCTCGTCCAACACCAGGTATCTAAAGGGATAAACTTATTGCTTTTAACATTGAGACTCTCCTGATATGACTATAATTTGATATTATTTTTTTCTATTCCTTCATATGTTTTTCTTTTTGTTTTATTGTTCGTAATTTTTACTTTAGGTATGTTGGTTCTTTGGTCTCGTTGTTTTACTGTAGCTTTTTAATTTTTGTCTTGTTCAAATTACTCGCTCCACTTTGTTTAATTTTGCTGTATTTAGGCATTTTTAAAATTAATTAGTTTCAATTAACTAGCATTGTAACTGCCTGTAAATGATGTGTGTATCGATAATGGGCATACATTATTAAAGGTAAAGGTACTACAGGTTTTGAAATTGTGTAAAATGTGATTTTTTGTAAATAAATGGTCAATAATAACGCAGTTTTCCGATAGTTTTTGGCCGTTTATGAACAAAAAGAAGAGTTTCATGTTAGTAATAAAATTAACCATAAATTAGTAGTCACATCAATCATAAAGCAATAGTTTTATCACTCACCCACTGTTCAACGCCTCAGTGTACAGCGGCTCGCAGTTGTTATTTATGAACGGGTGCACCCAAATGGTGACTCTAAAGCCCATCGCCTTCACATCGCGGACCAGGCTCGTGAAATTCGGGAACTTGTTCTCGTCCACCGCCAGGGTCCCGTAGCATGTCTCCCACAGATCGTCGATCTCCAGCTGCGAATCGCTGAAGCCGTGCGCCCTGATCTGTTCCGCGAACTCTAGTACCTTGGCGCCGTCGACGTCCCTCGAATACTGCGCCCAGGTGGACCAGATCGGGTGCTGGACCATCCTGAAGTCGGGGACATCTGACGGCCTGCCCAGATAGTTGGCGATTGCGTGCTTGTGTGCCTCCTTCACATTGGGCAGCAGCCACAGGTCGTACGACAGCTCGGTGTGGGTCCTCCTAGCGGAGTACGGCTCGGAGAGCTGGGCGCCGAAGCATATGTGGTCGGCCGCTATGTTCCCGTAGTCGACGAACAGCGGCACGTGGGCGTGCACGTAGATGTACTCGCCGTTCGAGTTCAGCCAGTACCTCTCGACTATCGCCCCGTTGTCAGTCTCCTTCGAGTAATACGGCGAGTAGACTTGCTTCGCTCGCTCGATCGGGTACAGCTGTTCGAGCTGCATCGGCCCGCCGTACCAGTGTTTTGTGCCTGCAGATTGCACGTGTAGAATAAGGCCAACTTCAACGCTACCTTTAGATATTCAAATCACCAGTGTTATTGTAGGTAAATTTGTAAGCGTTAAATAGGAGCGCGTGTTATGCCTCACCCACTGGAAAAAGTATTTATATTTCCCCGCTGTCCGTTTTCTGTGAGGATCTAGTACTTCTCTGGTCGAGTAGTCCCATGAAACATTGATATAGTTCATACCACCCTTCAGAACTGGGCTATGATATCGATAAACTAACAAAATCATAGTAATTGTGTGAACGTATTACGTGATCCATCATGACTTCATTCAATTATTGAACGAGAAGTCAACTCTAGGTGACACTTCGCAGGTTCGAAGTCTATGTCGATATCTTCGGTTTCTGTTGATAAGTTTTTACTAAATACTGTTCTGTTAGATCTCATCTGATACTCGCTATCTAATTCTTGAACTGGATATTATGAGATTTAATGTACAAGCTTACTTGGTGTAAATTTCCATTAAGTATTATGTTGTCATTTATTATATCTGGGATGTTCCGCATACGGCAGACGAGTGTTGACATGATGATGAATTAGTATCTTGATGAAAAGTGCTTTAGATGAATGCCGCCAGAGTAATAATTATAGTGTCACATCTAAAGATTACACAACTATTGGCTTCGACGCCAAGTTACGTTTGTTCGATTGCCGTACATGAAAAGTATTTGCGTGTCACTAAACTAATTGCTTCGTATTCGGGTGTATGTCCCAAGAAGGGTTAACAACCAATGCCACTAACAGTATACTACACATTATGTGACCACAACTAGATCTGATAAAGACTAAAGGATAATGATTATGATTTAAGCTTATTCTAAAGTGTTTTCACGATACCAAAATCGAAGCAGTCCTCCAGCCGTAAAGGCGTAAAGGAGTTCCACTTGATCTTGATCCCCCTGGCGTCCAGCGCCTCGTCATATAACGTGTTGATGGTCAGGTTCACGCCGCCGATGTGGATCTCCATGCCACCTTCCACTTCTTCGGCGGAGTAGGTCGACACCAGCGTTCGGCCGATGTGACCGTACACAGTGCGTTCGCCGTCTGTGGGCGTTTTTCAATATTTAAGTGAGGTAGGGCAACGAAGCAGCCTCGGCTGTTGCACGGATGGGCAGGCTCGTCTTGGTAAGTACCACGACCTGACATAAGATCGGCGTGAAGTGGGAGTACAATAAATACTTTCGCGTTTCGTTTGCTGAGTGAGGTACCCGCAGCCAACTTACTCCACTGGGAAACTATCCCCGTGTTGTGGCGGTTTACAAAATACGCCTACACTCGAATCAACTTTTTCGCCACAACGTAATATGAATTAGTTGCCAGGGTGACCATTTTATTGCAATAATCATGAAGTCATCGGACAAAGAAGAATAACATGCTTGAAGAGAAACTATACTTATATATTCAACAGTGTATTTAAAGAGCTCTCGCTTTGTATTTTTTTCTATTCAGTTCTTCACCATAGGCGGTGTAGTTCCCGTCTACAGAGCTCTTAGAATTGTTGTTAAAAACGCACCTTTGACAAGGCTGAGTAGGAAGCCACCGGTAAGTTGGGGCTCCAGGGAGAGCGCCACGTCCTCCGTTCGTGCAGAGGACAAACCAGCAGTGTGGGCGCGCGCGCCCAATGACAACACACCTGCCATTCACAATAACTGTAATAACGCACTAATAATCTGTTTAAATATCGCAAAGTAAAGTTGGACTCACCCTTTTGAGGACTCCTTGGCGCAGTTGCCAAGGTATTGGCTTCGGCGTCGGGGTCGTGGGTTCGATCCCCACACGGGACAACTGTTTGTGTGACGTACAGATCTGGGTGTTTTGGTTTGTCCACGTGAAATTTATGTTTGTAAGTTCGTCCTTACAACACAGGATAATGTTATCCTAAAGTAAGGGCATGGTTTTTATAAAAAAAAAAACAAAAAAACTTACCGAGCAGTATCTTTAAAGCGGCCATCGCTGCCAGCTAAGTGCTTTGCCTCTCTGATACTGTCACTTTGCATCCGATATCGGAGATAAATCATACACTCCGTCTTATCGACACCTCACAAAGTAATCTTCGCCACTTGTTTCTGATAAAAATGCGTATCGATTCTAATTCTTTTAACATTGCTCTTCCGAATAAGATTTACATGGACCTGTTACCACGTAGTTAACTTTTGTGAGACGGAATCGAATAAGAAATCATTCGCTTATTACAAATAAATAAAACAATAATTAAATATTTTTACACAACTTTCTCTAGTCCCAAACTAAGCAAAGCTTACTATGGCTATATTTTCCTTTTATAAATATACAGCGTGTCGTTACGATCGCGACAATAAATGAACACATGTCTAACGCTACTTGCAAATAATCTTAAAAATCCATAATTAAAAAAAATATATTTCAAACTAACTAATTAAGTAAAAAAGAAACAAAATTTGTAACATCCTATACAACTGCATCTGACTGATTCATACATTTCGAGACTTTCATTCGTTGCCACAGCGTCGCATTACAAGCCTCTCCTTCTAACAATATGTTTTGTCTCTTTTAAATTCATTCATATGCTTTGTGACCTTTACCTGTCGAACTTGAACCGTTGACCGTTGAACTTTACGTAACAGTTTTATACGTAAGGCTGTTCTAAAATTCTTTGTTATGGAAAATTTTATAACTCTGTAAATATTGATGTTTAAAGAATGTAAATGTTTAATACAATTTTAAAAAGTTATCCTGTATATGTGTGTTCATTTATTGTCGCGATTGTAAAGACACGCTGTACACATATTTAGACACTCAGACGCTGGCAAAACACTATGTTCATCATACAATATTTTTTAAATAGTAGAGATCGAACCCATAATAATAGCCATAAACCCATAAGGAATGCATTTGAAATACATATCTTTCTATTACTTAATGAATATTTAAATAAATTATTTATTTGATGTGTGATAAACTAGTGGAGATGGTGGTATATCATATGCTGGTCCAAATAATGCCAGATTTCCTGACTGTATCATATTTTGAAGCAACGAATGAAGAAATAGTTTACCACCTTTGGGGCTCAAGTAAGCCCAGTAAAAGACCGGTAGTGGAAAGTAAACACATGAGAAGGTGTGTGTATTCTAATTTAAAATGTATGTCGAATTCTTACGCGTCGGCAATCGACATCTTTACAAATTAATTCAAAAAAGGAGAAGTTTCTCAATTCGACTGTATTTTTTTATGTTTGTTACCTCTGAACTTTCGACTGGGTGAATCGGTTTTGATGATTCTTTTTTTATTTGAAGGCTGGTGCTTCCAATGTGGTCCCTTATTAATTTCAATGGTATTGGATCTTGCGCTCCGTAGATACGCAGGGAACTCCTGAAAATCGATAATAAAATGAATACAGAGTGAGATATTAGAAGTCGGTTTTGTTTTTCGTTAGTAAAAAAAAATGACTTGTTTAAATAATTAGACGCAATTGTAATTTTGAAATGATGTTGAAGCGTTATTTGTTAACAAATAAAAACTAATGCTCATGTCATTTATTTTATTTGTAACTAAGGAAAATTAAACTATTTATTGAAATCTATTGCTTTCGTTAGGTTAACATATTTATGTAAGTACAGATAATATTGTATAAGTTATTATTACAACATGAAAAACCTTTGCCTTTTCAAAAAATTTGGAAGTTTCTCAATTCGGTTATATATATGCTTATATATTTTAATTTTAACCGTGATAGCTCAGTGTTGGGGGCCAGCTTTTAATTCAATATACTCGAGCAACCTGAGTTCAAACCCCAGTGTCGGCACCAATGAAATTGTTGATTTCAAGTGCTGAATTATCACGTGCTATGCGGTGAAGAAAAGCATCTTGAGGAAACCTACATATTTTCGAAATAATAACAAAAAGAATATTTAGAAGATATGTGAGGTCCGCTAAACCGCAGTGAGGCTGCGTGGTAGACTACGATTCTCTGTAGAGAGGAGGTCTTTGCCCAGCAGTGGGACATGTATAGGCTTTAACTTTATATTTAACTTAGAGCCGTAATATCTCAAGTGTTTCTAGGTCGTAGGTACTATTAATTCAACATACTCGAGCTACATGAGTGCGATCCCCGGTGCCGGCACCAATTAAATAATTAATTTTGTGCTGAATTATCACGTGCTCAGTGGTGAAGCAAGTCATGTTGAGTTGACTGTATTTTTAGAAGGGTGTAATTTATCGATACGTTTTCCGTCGACGACCTTACGGCGACGTCACTCCTGCATCATGAAGTATGGCACCGGGTACACGAATCAAACAAACTAGCGAATGTTAAAGTGGCTCTTTATTTGAAATTGTTTGAACATTTGCGATGAAATCACAGCGACGTCACTCCTGCAGCAAGAAGTAGGGGAGGGTGTCCAGGGGCGCTGGGTAGTCGCGCAGCCACGTGGGGCCCTCGTAGAGCGTCCCATCTGGTGCCTGCCACCTGCCCCTGGGCAAGTACACGTCACGGGACTCCGCGCCCTCCTCCAGAACAGGCGCCGCCAGCACCTTCCCCCCGAGCAGGAACTCTGCGGGATTTGGGGGCTTATTGACCGACTTCGAAAAGGAGGCTAATAGTCCGTGTGTTTTTTACGTTTGTCACCTAGGAAGCCGGTGGTGTATGATCAGATTTTGAAATTTCTTTTTGGATTGGTTTCGGTTTATATTGGTTTCTTTGGTATTCAAGTTAGAGATTCGGTTGGTATTAATTTTTTAAGTATTAGACTTGATGACACCTCACGGTTCCTCAAAATGAATGGAAAATGTATGAGTAGTGAAAATGTAATGTGTGTGTAGTTGGTTTTGTTTATTGTCTCTAAACTTTTGTTTTTCTCTAAACTCTAAGTGTTTTGAGAGTTTTTTGTAAAGCGGCGATATAATGCAGCCGCTATGCAATGCAGGTGAGAACACAGCGTTCTTCATGTGAGAAGGTAGCAAGTGAGCTGGCATTTCACCTGATGTTGAGTGATAACCGTCGCTTTTGGATATTCACCAACACTATAGGATTACAAGACTATTGCCACCTCTCAATAAAGTGGGGCCCGGCTACCTCACTCACCAGACGAAACGCAGAAATAATAACACTTCCACTTCACGCCGGTCTTCTGTGAGGGCGTGGTACTTCCCCGGACGGAAGTGCCCATTCGTGCAACAATAAAGACTGTTGCGGGGCTCTACCATGGAGATAGTGTAAGTAGCTCTTAGAGACAGCATAGTTTTGAGCCGCCGCACCGTCCCACACCGCAAGCGCCTCCTCGTCCGTAGGGTCCAACCACCAGATGGGAGGGTTGACTGGTTCCCCGGTCTCCACTGCCTTTTGCATCGCTTCAGCTATCAAATCAGCGAAGTCCGCATGCAGCTGAGTGAACTTTCGGCATATCTCCACGGCCTGCAAATGTTGACTGTGTAAATTGCTCCTTCAACAGACTAATTCGGAGATCTGACACGGACGAAAAGACTCGTGGATAAGACAATTTAGAAGTAGGTGATTTTAGAGAATGCGGGTAGGAATACATTAGTTAAATCCTTTCTATCGATGACTTGGTGACGCCGTTGCTAAGCTAGTGGCTACAGAATTGGAGTTCGTGGGTTCGATTCCCATACAGGACAAGTCTTTCTGCGATGTACGGATTATTGTTCCGAATCTGCATTTTTGTTCCCCAAGGAGGGCTGACGTCAGGCAGGCTGCCGTCGTAACAAAGATAGCCAAAACCACTTACAACATGGTTCAGATGTTGTGCTGATCCAGAAGATATTCAGAAGTATAAAAAATCCAGTTCCCGCACGTTTCCTGTGACTGTACTCCCCTGTAGCGTAGCCTGCTGCGTAGTCCACAGTGAGAGCTAAAGGCCCCGGATTCTCTAAGCAGCTAAGGTCTAGGAAGCTAAGGTCGTGTGCAAGCGGTACCTCGGCGTCGTGGTCCCAGGGCACGAAGGAGTACTGCAGGGTGGGCATGAACACGTTCGCCTGCAGCCAGCGCACGAACAGCTCCTTGCTGGGCGCCTCGTTGTAGCCGTTGCCGCCGATCATGTCGGGCAGCACCAGCGGGTAGCCGTTCAGGTTCATGGCCAGCAGCGTGGTCACCAGCGTCGCCAGCCCGTTGTCGAAGCCCCACAGCGTGTCCTTGTCCACCATGCGGACGAACACGGGCAGGTCCTGGGTCCTGTTCACGACCGTGTTCAGGACAGCTGTTAAACTCGTGACGAACCTCTTTTTTTTAGTTATTTTTATTTGACATCCGTGATGAACATGGGTTCAACACGGTTGGACAAGCTGATCTGGAGACCTATTGGTCTAGCCGTAAGACACGCACAGTGCTTTTTTTGTTATAATTATATGAGTGTTACTATTGTGTTAAATTATGTTAATGATTTTTCTATTATTTTCCTAATACAGGTTTCTTTTTAGTGATTAAGGAAGCTGGTACTTAGTTTGTTGTATGAACATCTGGAAACGTTTTAACTGTGGTAGAGCCACGCAAAAGATTCGGCTGTCGGACGAATAGGCAGGTCCGTCCGGGTGAGTACCACGACCTCACAGGAGACCGGTGTGATGTGGAAGTGTATACGTGTGCGTTTCGTCCGGCGAGCGAGGTAGCCGGGGCCCACGATATTAAGAGGAGGCAACGCATTTGCAACCTTACGGGTGTTGCTAATGTCTATGGGCGGCGGCTATCACTTGACATCAGGTAAACCGTCAGCACGCTTGCCACCTTCTCACATAAAAAAACATCTAGTCAGGAATTCTGGTGGAGTATAAGTATAGTAAGTGGAGTATAAGTTGAAGAAGAGGCCAAGACCCACAAAGGGTTGTAGCGCCAACGGTGGTAGGGCCACGCAGCAGCCTCGGCTGTTGCACGAATGGGCAGGCCCGTCCGGGTAAGTACCACGACCTCACAGAAGACCGGCGTAAAGTGGAAGTATGACAAATACTTTCGCGTTTCGTCTCTGGTGAGTGAGGTAGCCGGAGCCCAATTTTCAAAAGGTTGTCAACGCATCTGTAACCCTCGAGTGTAGCAGATGTCCATGGGCGGCGGTATTCACTTAACATCAGGTGAACCGTCTGCTCGTTTGACAACTTTTCGCATAAAAAAAAAAAAAAAAAAAAAGAAGACGAAGGAGTGAAGTAAGTATTTTGGATTCGCACCTCATTCCAGATCGGATCTCGATCATGGGCCCGAATTCGGCGACCGTCCGCACGTAGTCGCGCACTATGTTGCCCGGGTGGAGGTCGATGTCTCCGTTTTGTACCGGGATCTGATGAGCGTTGGTAAGCAAATAAGGGCCCTCCAGATCTCTATCAAAATGTGTAATCCTTTTGCCTTTCGTATTCCGAATTCAAATGGTTATTTTCATAGACCTCAGTATATGCGTATCTTTTTGGAGTTTATACTCCTTTTGGCGCGTTTGGAAAAAAAATTTGAGAGTAAAATTTTTACGTTGAGTACGCTCACCGACAACCAAAAAGCGACATGATGCAGTTGGTTGCACGACGAATACATAACTAAAATTATGGGGTAGACTTCACACAATTTTTAAAAACTGACTTAACCATCCGATTCGACACTCATCATCAAAAACCACCATCATTAAAAAAATAGTATCCAAAATGTTCAGACCACTATCTCAAAGAAATACAATGTTCGCCATAAAATAAGTTTAAAAAAAAATTGGAATTGTTTGCTGAACTCGCTAGTTTTACAGTAGCTCTATGTAGCAACTTTTGAAAATTCGTCCAATTACGTGTTAAATGTGGTCGACTATAGGTTATTACACTTGAAAGAGGAAATAAATACTATATATTGAATGATAACCAGGCATTTCATGCATTTAATATAGGTTATTGTTTGTTACTTTTTGTCAAATTCTGTTAAAAAAAAATTAAAAAATCTCTTTGGCCCGTTCTCAGTGGTTTTTTTTCGGAACCGGTAGCAGCGCTTCTCGACAATCAGTAAGTAAGTCTAATGCTTCTATATTGAATAAAGGATATTTGAATTTGGAAAAATGAGCACAGGCCTCACCTGCGGCGACCAGCTGGACTCCCCGGCGTCGAACTTCAGGCTGTCGATGTCGTAGGCCCGGACGAGGTCCCCGATCCTGGCGGAGTACCACTCGGCCGCCGCGGGGCTGGTGAAGTCGATGTATCCTGGCACCGAGCCGTTGTTGTTCCACCACGTGGTGTCTGGACTGCCCTCCTCGTTCAGCACCAGGTAACTGTCGTCGGAGGCAGAGTCAGTAATGTATCACACGGTTTTGGTCCTAGAGCAAAAGCCTCGTCTAAATAGTAAGGATTTAGGCTTAACTAGGCATTATTAAAAGGTATGCGTAATTAACAAAGCCTGTGTCTTTAGAAATCAGTCTTTTATTATTTCTCAGGGATGAAGTGGATGGTTTTTTTTTCACCTCAGCGCGTGATAAATTTTTTGTTAGTTTGTGTTATTGTTTTTGATTTCTCTTCTTTTATTGCATACGTATGTTTCTTTCGCGTTATATATTCTAATGAGCAACATTTATTTACTTATTCATTTATCAGGTCTGCCAGTAGTTGTTAAATGCTTAAAATGAAATGAAAAAAATTAAAGTAAATTGAAAAGTATGAATAAAATATTGTTGGGCTCACTTATTAATAAATAAAAAAAATTATAATGTTTCCAAGACAAAAAGAAAAAAATAGGGTGGAAAATCTATCAAAGAAAGTTAAATTATACGGTCCATTGTATGGTTTTCAATGTGAAATATTAGGTTACTTGTCAACATCAAACAAAATACAAATAACTTAAATCTTAGCTTAAAATTTTAAGAGCTTCTTGTTTTAAGGTGTTCATTTATTTTACTCCGAAATACTTTTAAGGAGTCAACATGAATGTCAACGGTTGTAGTGCATTCATTAATTTTATCCAAAAACAGTGCGTTTCGTTTGCGTAGCTAAGAGAGGGATAGCTTTGCGGGCATACTTGCCCGGCATAAGGTTGATCAAAAGAGCAATTGAGTTAATTTATCTATAATACTCATTATGTGCTTTTGATTTAAAACAATAATGAGTGCTGTCCTTAAATAAAAAAGCGGGACAATCCGAATTTCTTCAACCTCATTAACGGTTTAAGGCGTCACACAAATACGAAACTAATTTCTGAGTAATATTAAAAATCTAAAAAAATCATAGGAATAAAACTTATAACGTTATTAACTTACCCTTTGTCTAAGGCTTCAGAGTACCACGGCTCGCAGTCCTTATTGATAAACGGGTGCACCCAGATGGTGACGCGGAAGCCCAGACCCTTGATGTCTTGGACCAACTGCTTCAGGTCAGGCAACTTTCGCTCGTCGACAGTCAGGGATCCGTAGCAGATCTCCCATAGGTCGTCTATTTCAAACTGGGCGTTCGGGAAGCCGCTATCGGCGATCTCGTTGGCGAATGCCCAGAGGCTGTCCTGGTCTATTTCCCGGGAGTACCGCGCCCAAGTAGACCACACCGGGTACTGGATCATGCGGAAATCGGGGATGCCTGACGGCTTCCCCAAATACGTGTCGACGGCGTGCATGTGGGCTATTTTCGGATCGTCGAAAAGCCAGATGTCGTACTTGAGGACGTTGTGGGTCCTGCGGCTGGAGTAAGGCGCGGCTACTTCTGCCACGAGGCAGATGTGGTTCTCCAGCACGTTGTGGTGGTCGACGAAGAGGGGCACCTCCGGGTGCACGTATATGTAGTGGCCGTCGGAGTTGAGCCAGTAGCGCTCCGACACGGCGGAGTTGTCTTCCTCTTTGGATATGATGGAGTACTTCTGGATTCTGGACTTCTGGATCGGCCAGTACTGCTCCTTCTGCTCAGGGCCGCCGTACCATTGCTTGGCACCTGTTAATAGGACGCGCTAGTTTCAAATCAAATCAAATCGTCTGATAATCGAAATGTATGATTCTTCATTTTATTTATCGGTAGTCGATAATTTAACAGTTTCTCTAAAGGGGAAAAGTTCCTCTAAACACTCCAATAAAGTTCGCAGGTATCCTAATTAATCAAGAGCCGCGATAGCTCAGAGTTCTGGCGTTTGCTTTTAGTGATAATAATTTCAATATACCAATATAAGGCCTATACTTTAAGACATAGTTCACCACGCGACACCACTGCAAACGTATTCTTCGAAATATTTATATAAATACCGATAGCTCAATCGCAACTCTCTTTTTTTATGTAAGAAAGTGGCAAACGAGCCGGCGGTTCAGCTGACGTTAAGTGATAAACACCGCCCATGGCAATCCACATTTGCAACACCCGTTGCAAGGTGGCAAATGCGTTGCCACCTTTAAATAAAGTGGGCCCCGGCTTCCTCGCTCACCAGACGAAACGCAGAAGTATAACACTTCTGCGTTTTTGAAGTGTAAAACTTTACGATGGCCTTCCGTGAGGTCGCGGTACTTACCCGGACGGACCTGCCCATTCGTGCAACAGTGTTGCGTGGCGCTACCACCGAATAACCCGAATAACTCTCACCGAAATCGAAGCAGTCCTCGAAGACGCGGTCCGGTGGGCCGTCCCAGTGAACGGAGATGAGATGGCCGCCTCTCTCCTGGTCGTAGCTCGTTTTCAACTCGAAGATCACTTCGCTGTCATCGTTCGAAGCCTTGCGTCCGATATGCCCTAAGTGCTCCACGCCCCTATCTGCCAGGGACACAAGACACATAGGACCAATCCAATTCAAACATCATATCTATACTTATTAATTCTCAAAGGTATTCTTTACATACACAAAAACTTCTTGTAAAGAATGTGATAATACTATCTATTGACAATTTGATCAAATGAAAGATAGCGCAATAGACTTACGGCCGGTTTCAATTTTCTATCTGTAGATTTGATTACTGGCTACTAAACGCTAGTAACCAAATCTACAGATAGATAGAATATCCAAACAAGCTGTTAAGGACGTGACTCTTTAAAATAAGATACCTTTCAATAATAAATACATAATTACCCATTATTAAAGTACCTTTTATCACAGTATTGTGCGACTAGTTCGCACTGGTCGGAGTCGGATATGAATGAATGAATATTTTATTTATATTAACAATTAAAAGAAAATATAATTAACTCTATAAATAGATATATACTCGATACGCTAAATACATTTAAATATAGCTCAGCAATTTAATACCCGTGATTTGCTGTTAGCTATGAGCTTCGTTGAAATAGGTCTGCGGGTCGAGGCCTCACGCCTAAACCACTTAGTTCTTAGCTGATTCGACACCGTTTTTTCGAATCTGGGTGTTTGTCCACGTCACAATATGTAAAACGCCCTTAGACATTATAATGTTATATTACAGTAAGGCTGCAATGTTTTTTAAAATGAAAATAAAACTCACCCCCAGTTATGGTAAGTACGAACCCGCCATTTTCGTGCTGGTCTATGGACAGGTCGCGATTCTCTTGGACCGCGGCGCGGCGCTCAAAGCGAGGGTAGCCCCTGAAACGCGAACACATTATGTATATTTTTTTCATAACAGTGTCAAGCTAGCAGGGGGTTCTCCTGATGTTAAGTCACCCGTCCATGGACATTGGCAACAACCGTAGGCAACGCATTTGCAGCCCATCAGATATTGTTGATGTTGGCCACGCAACAGTCAAATTTTATTACCAAACCCCTTTATTACGAACGGGCAGGCCCGTCCGTGGGGGTACCGTGACCTCACAGAAGACCGGCGTGACGTAAAGTGTTACACGCTTGTGCGTTTCGTTTGATTGTCTCATTTTTCATTTGTTTTCCTGATCGTTTATTTTATTAGCAATCTATGTTAAACTGAGTTCTCGTTGACGTGGGGTTCAACACTTAAACATATCTAAAGTTCATGTCTCGGCAAACCTACAAAGCAATCTCAATCCACGTTGCATGTGATTGTATTAAGACTAAATTCTTAACGTAGCTCAAAATTCTTAGGAAGATTCTTTAAAGATCACCTTGCTCGGGATCGAGATAGATCAGTTTAAAATTGAGATTAGAAACTAATCTATCTCGATCCTTGTAATGTTTTTATCAATTGTAAATCGACTTATCCTCACCTGCGAGCAACAAAAGCCACTTCATCGCGGAAAACGGCGACACTTTACCATCAATCAGACGTGTATGAGTTTTTATTATTCCACCTATCAACACTTATCTGGTGCCGATTTCTCCGCTGTAACATGGATAACGTCAGATATATCCGTCTAAATCCCCCGTGAACATTACATAGGACGTTGCAAAATTCACTGTTGTATCACATAACATATGACAAAAGACTAGACACTGTACCACATTTATATATTCATTCAAGGCAAAAATGAAAAAGTATCATCTGCGCCTATGAATAATGATGCAACTGGTTCTTGCATTAGTAATTTATTCACGGAATCGCATATGTTTTGCATTTAACATCATAATAACATAAGGACTTATCGTTTTCTGAATACGCTTAAGAGACATTGTATTTTTTGTTTATTATTAGAATATAAAAAGTTAAAAATGTACTTTATATGATAAAGATAAAATTTAAAGTTAGTATTTTGTGTGATTTAGCCAATAGTCGACTCCAATCATAAACATAACTATGTATCTACGGACTGTGGTAACTCGTCCATGAAAGTACCATGACCTCACAGAAGACGGGCTCAAAGTAGAATTGTTACACGTTAGAGTTCCACTTTGTTAGAAGATAGCAACGCATCTGCAATCCTACGGATATTACAGATGTGTGGTGTCACATGGGTAGAGTTTATCACTTAACATAAGGTGAACGAACTTACTTGCACCATCTCACTAAAAATAGCGCTAAAAATATTAATATGAAGAAATAACTGTTGCATAAAAATACATCCTATGTACTAACTTTTATGGTTCCAACGATCTTATTTCAGTTTGGGATTCGAGAAACTGTTTGTACAAAACGAAAAAGGGTTTCCTTATCATGCCTCGATAAGATACGGTCATTTCGATCGAGTGGGTTATTTATCTCAACATAATATATTCGCTAAATACAATCGCTGTAAGTAAAGTCACTTCCTTTAAAAATACGTCTACACATATTTGCGGTTTACATCATTATCAATTATAATATAGGCTTCGGTGTGGAGGATCGTGGGTCCGACTACCATACGGGACAACTATTTTTGCGACCTGCGATTTTTAAAACCATTGCCCAATTTAGGGCTAACGTTATCCTCTGCTGTAAGGACTTTTTAAAAACATAAATTTTACGCGGGCAAGCACCCGATGTTATTTTTCTTCCTAAATCCGAATCTATTTCTTATAAATCCCAAAGACGACCTTCGAATTTTAATAAAAAGATTATCGTCAACGAATCAGATGACGCTCCAATTCTACTAATTAATATTTCTTATATACTCCTTTCCGCTTAAATTATATATTTTAGACATAAAAGTATATAATCAAACAAGATAAGTATATAATTAATCAACTGCAACAAGTATATAACTAATCAATGCCTTTCCGCAAGTCATCTCCACCTGTAAAAGAAGAATGGATCCCAACAGTTAATTTCTTCTCCGAAACTCGTTTGCAGACATTTTTTTTTAATATTTCTCACGAACCTTTGAAATATAATTTTTGTGGTATTCTACTGCATTATTCGCTGGCTGGGAGCGGTGAGAACGATCCTGGAACGAGGGTGAAACTAGCGTACTCAGTGGGTCCGTTACAAAGTGCTCGCAAGCGAGTCGGACCTAGTTTGTTTTGTTCGTTAGTACTACGCCTGTCTGTCAGGGTAAACTCCCAGTAGTATTATCATTCTAAACTCCCAGTAGGGCCCGCTTTTGTCCTCTTACTCGACCGGGTCGATGGGGAAGTCGTGCGGAAGAGTAAAGTGCTCCGTTATAAACACAACAATACAAAATATAATATGCCTAAAATTACGGTACACACAGGACTTGTAACTCTGGGTTTCAACGTGGGCTTCTTAACTTGCCAATTCGCTAGCTTCGCGAGCGAAAGAGACCCCGCACGAAAACCGTTGTTGCCTCTATCAATATTCGCTTCATAGATTTTAATCACCAATTTGAAAAATAAAACAAAACGTAATGAATTGAAATTACATTATTTTATACTGATGGACCAAAAAGGAGAAAAACTTTACTTGGAATCAGCGTCTCCATACGTATATCAAGAATTACCGTGTTGCAAGAGTAAAATTACGGTGTTTCTAGACAAAATTACGGTGAATTACACGGTAATTTACACGGTACATTTTTAGCGGATTTTTCAAAGTAAAAACAACATTTGGAACCAAATGAAGTCTTGATTAAATTTCTTTTTTAATTATTACACAAGAAAATTTAATTAACATATAAAACATTGAACTCAACTCATTCACTCAAAGAATTAAAATCGCAAAATCTCTATCTATTAATTTTAAATTACGATTATTCTAAGATAAAAGCTTGAAATTGGAACAGTTCGTAGATTTATTAACGCTGACGCTGCTTGGAATCTAATCTCTGTTGATGTATTAGCTTACAAAATAATTCATCGCACCAATTTATATGTAATACAATATGTAGAATTAATATATCTAAAACATTACATTTTTTATTTAACGAGTTAACGACCACAGATCAATATCACTTATCTGACTCCTTAACTATTCGTATTTGTTTGTAATTGTATGCGGTCGTTACGTCAAATCGAATTGTCATGAAAAAAAACAAAAGAGAACTTTTGTGAAATACGGTCATAGTTTAGGTACTTAGCATTATATTACTAAAAATAAAATAATATTACAATTCCCTCCTTGCTCGAGCCTAACAGAACACCAGTTTTACACACGCCAACACACATCACTCTTCGACAGTAGCACAGCACGGCATTAAAATAGTCTGTGATTTTCAATAATGGCAGATCCCCGCATTCGGCAAATTAAAATTAAAACCGGCGTTGTCAAACGCATTGCCAAAGAGAAAATTGTGTACGAAAAAGAAGTAGAACAGCAGAGGAATAGGATACAAAAAATTAAGGACGAGGGTCAGGACGAGCATAACATTAGGAAACAGGAGGAGGTTTTGCAGGAGTCGCTGATGATGGTTCCTGATTGTCAAAGGCGGTATGTAATACGATAGAAGCACTATTTTAAAGATGTCACATTAAAAACTGTACTAAAATATTATGTTATAGATGTATTTATAGCAATATTGTGTAGTAAATTTACACCTGTTTCATAGGTTAGGTATGTCGGGACTTGTTTTTCTTTTTCCAATCACATAATTAAAATAGTATGTGGATTAAAACGATTAAAAAACATCCAAGTAAAGAAATTATGTTTCAAATTTAATTCTAATGTAAGCTTATTAAAATAATCTGTTTTGGTATGAGTCATGCTTAAATTCTTTGTTCATGTTTGCGCTTTCATGTTCATTAATATAAATGTAAGAGTTGTTTTTGTTTATTTGGCAAATATGATATTATTTTAACTGCAAGATTTCCTTTTGAAATTTGCACACAATAAAGGCAATGTATCAATAATAATATTTTTCTCTTTCACAGATTAGTAAAGGCCTTTGCAGATTTAAAATCAACACTAGAGACTGAACAAGACCTTAAGGAGCACGAAGATTACATAACAGCTGAGCAAGTCTTAAAAGACGCTGAAAGTCAGCTGCCTGAAACGGACTAGTTGATAATAACACTTTACACTCACATTTGTATTATTTTTTTTATATTAACCAAAATCATGTCTTATAATTCTAATTTTTGTAATAATTTTCCTCATAGTAGTATGTATGCATTCCATGGTAACTATGCACCTGTTCCGCCAAGTAACTTTTGTGTTCCCCCGCCGCCAATTCCGCCACCCGTGTTCATACAACCGTGGCTTAGCCCACAGCAAGCAGACCAGGAATTTGTCAGAAGTTTTGAGAAACGTCTCAAAAAAGAAGCTGAGTACAGGGGCCCAAAGATTGTTTCCATTTCGGATGCACGTGAAAAAATTACAAACCTTGTGCTTTCACTTGACGATATAAAAAAGACAGAGAAGACTTTGAGGGAGAATATTGAAACACTCCCAGAGGAAGAGTGGAACATGCAAATGCAAGAAGTGGGAGCTAAGAAACTTAGGATCAAAAATGCATTGTTCGGTATAGGAGGGTCATTTTTAGATCAGATGAAGAAGCTGCTTGCCAAGAGGCTCTCAAAAAGGTTGCGATTAAAAAGAGTGAAATTGGAAAGAAGAAATGAGAAAAAAGAACTAATAAAGCAACTGCAGGAAAGGTCAAGAAAGATAGATGAGAATTTAAAAAAGATTCAGGATGATTTTTTAAAAGCCAAGCAGGTATGAATAACTGATAATTACAATTCACCAGCAGTCATAAAAGTAAAGTAACAGCCCATTTATATCCCACTGCTGGACAAAAGCTTCCTCTGTACAGAGGATATTAGAGCAAAGTCCACCATGTGACTCAACTGGGGATTATAGCAGACATATTTCACATATCCTCACAATAATTCCCCTTGTTATTTCGAATTTTTACTGCTAAGCATGTGACAAGTCAGCACTTAAAATTTCATTAGTGGGGACAGCACAGAAAGAACTCTGGTTGCTCGAGTATATTGAGTTTAAAGTGAGCACCTGGACAATGAGCTTTCTAGGCTCTTTTAACAGCAGATATAACCTACTGTAAATGTACTGTGTGGGCTAAGTTCACAAATGTTTGAAATATTTTCTATATGAATATTTTCTATTTGAATATGTTCCTTACATATAGATTTTCTGACACAGCTTCCCTGCACTTGAAAGAAAGAAAGAGTATGTTCAATTGCATGAAACAATTTTATCGCAGCTAATCTAAGCATTGGGCTCATAAAATCACATATCTCAAGTATATTGTTATGTTTTAATGACTAAAATAAAAAATGTTTTGATGGCAGGAAGCTGAAGAGAAATTGCACGCTGATGCAGTACTCAAAGACGTTCTAAGGAAAAAGAGTGATGCAAGAAAATGCATCGCAAAGCTTGATGGCTTAATGACTCTACGTAAGGCCCGTGTAAAAACAGCTAAAGGCAGAGGAGACTCGGTGAATATGAGCGAAATGATTGCATTCAAAAATAACATTGGTGAGAATTTTGTTTAGATTGTATAGACTAAAAAATTATTAGTCAGCTACATATTAATTTAACTTGTTACAAGTGGAAAAAATATTTCAAAACACCAGGCCAGATAAATATAAGATGCATAGTATTATGTCCAGAATAATAATAAAAGATTTTAAGTATGTACTATAATGTAATTAGCTAGGTAGCTTAACACAATACGTAAATTGTCTGTTGCTTTAGCTACTACCTTCACTTATTTAACTTTATTTGACAACAATGTAAAAAGTACCCACATTTAAGATTACACATATTGGAACATGACACAGTCAGAAGGGATCTACAGCAATAGGCAATAGGCTTTGCTTTTGTAAGAATGTGTCCGACAACTCTGATTTCCAAAATGCCATGAAATCAACTTAAATCATTAAATTTTTTACACATCTAAACACATGATGACACATTTTTGTGGCCATTTTTTTTTCTTATTTTCTTATTATTAATTTAGGGGTTAAATATCATTAGATGCATTTACAAATAATCCTTAAACGATAAATGAATAAAAATTATTTTATTTCTATAATCTTTGATACAATTTGTTGCCAAATGTTCCTGGTAAGTAGTCATAGGCACTTGTAATGGGAATAATATCTAAAGAATTATATTTGCAGACAAACTAAAATTACTCTGGACTAAAAAACTAGAGCTGTACGAAAAGGAGGAAAGCGAACTACGGGCCACGCTTAAACAGGGCACAGAACAGAAGGAAGTTTTGATGGAGACAGATAATGATATCATTACAGATTTGAAAATGTGGAGGCAGCAGCTCTTTGGAGATTGCCTACCCCAAGCTAACTTCAATGGGGATGTGAATAAATTCATTGCCACAAGGTAGAGGAGTTTGCGCAGTATAAAAATATATTATTAAGTTATTAAACATACTATAGTCTGCCACAGATCTTCCATCAAAAAATATGTTACAAAATGGAAATCAAAAGCCACTGAGGAAATATAATAATAATAATATAGCTTTAGAACTTTTATATTCAACTCTTCCATTTTTATTTAATATTTATCCATTATGTTAAAAAAAGTTATATATGCATACAATCATATTTCTTGTTGGTTCTTGTGTGTCCTATCCACTGGCTATTATATGTAAACATTTTGCAAATCTCGAAATTAATTCCTTATTAAGTACATACTAAGTTTACTTGTTTCTAATAAAGATAATTTATTTTTGAAGATGTCTTTATGAATATCTCACTGGATAGTTTGTCGAAAACAACCCTTGTGTGTGTAATTTATTTTTCAGAACAAAGTGGGACAAGTTTGTGTGCAGCGAGGGGTCAGCGTTACCGGTGGGATGGGTCATTCCGAAATTGGAAGATTGATTTGTTACTAAAGATAATTATCACTTGTATGTTTGCGACTATGACGTCCGCGATGTACTTTACGAAGTTTGCATTTACAGTGCTTCTGAATAAATTATTTTTTGTGTACAAAACTTTGTTATTTTGGGTTTCTTTATTTATTTATTGTTCGTGTTACGTCAAGTAAGTAGGCTCAGGCTCTAAGAAGCATTTTATTCTTATCCTGCACTAACCAAACACTAGTGTAACTTCACTTGTTATGGTTGCTAATTGTTTTTGTGTCTTTTTGTTATTGCTTCTGATTGTAAATGTTAACAAGTGGTTAAAATAATTAATATACACAAAAGGAACTTTTTAAAAGTTTAATCCGGTAATTTAGTAACATTACTTAGCAATTAACATTAATAAATTACCGGAATAAACAAAACTAATACATAAATATACCAATTCCTAGCTTAAGTTACATGGGATAAAATAAAAGACGGTAAATTGTTTATGAAGTCTTATAATCTTGCACTAAAAACCGGTAAGAAATTGCACAAACCACCGACTCACTGACCGACATTTACCATCACATTGAATAATTATTTCTTACGGCAGAGAACATTACGTTCCGTTTATTCAGTTTCTATTAGGTACAGCGCCATCTGTCATTTGCGGGGGATACTACGCTGTACGAAACCGAACACTCATTTTACTTAATTACACCGCGTCTTATTATATTTGTAATGCAATGATATTTTATACTATAGATATGTTATAAGCAAAATCACCGGTCGCATGTGTGCGTATTTCCAAACAGGTACACACATTCACGTTTCGTTCATCATAACTAGCACACACGTCGAATGGCGTAAAAAGGATAGCGTAATTAAAGCAATAAGAAAAAAGAGGACGGCGAGTGTTTGTCACTTTAGCGTAAGTGTAACAATCCCCTTATTAAACTTATCTTTTGCCATTTCTTTATATGCTAACCTATACATTGAAATATTAGAAAAATAATTGGAATATACCAATAGATCTAAGATATTATATTGCATCACATAATGATTTGAGATCCCAATTTTGTCACCTCGAGTCGTACTTGGTACGTCCCGTACACACACGACGGTATATTTTATATCATTGTATAATTTTTGACACCGTCTTAGGCGTCTTACTCACCACCCTGTCTAACGTCAACTAAAGACGAGACGTCCCAATTGGCACGTTTTCGTGGCTTCAATTCGGGCGCGTTAACACAATATCTATAGTATAACATATCATTGTTCGGATGCTTATATATGACCAGCGTTTGAACTGACAGTCGTGATTTGTATAAAATTGTTCTATTTAAAATATAAACCGTGTACCATCTTAGCCTGCAAATGCCTTATTATAGCAATTAAGATAGTAATTTAATCACTATTCAAGTTTATATAAAAACGGTCTACTCAATTAGTTAATTCAAGGCGTTCAGAGAAGTCAATTTAGTTTACTAATATTAAAGTAGTGTCTTCGTCAAGAGTAGTCTTAGTATAAAGGCTGGGTTAATCGATCTCTGAGCACGGACTAATCTGGCATTTGATTTAATGATCGTTATGTACCAAAGTACATAAAATTTAAATGCCACGTTGCGAAACGTCAACTATTAATTATAGAAGCGAAAGCTATTCGACGTGGAAAACAGAGAATATAACCACTGGTGGAAAACGCCTGCCAAGTGCCAACCACTTTGTTGGCTTTATGACTGTCAATCCAAACAGGCGCACTAGAAATGTATAGAACCGCCAAAGATGGTGTTAAACCATGGGCGAAATACAAAGAATCTAGCGATCTAAGCGATACTAATCTCCGATATGTCATTAAAATGTTTAATACAAATATACCAAATATTTTACCTTCACAGTAATGTGTTTTCCTTAATAAATTTTTGGGTAAAAATTCAATCTCAAGTTTTCACATTGGGTTGCTGCTTAAGACTTTCTCTAGAAACTCAGTGTGAAAACCTTAAATTTAAATTTTATAATCCTTACAAGCAAACCGCTTTCATCCAGGCTACAAAGGTACCACAATAGACCTTACGGGCGTCATAATGAGGTAGTATGGCATCTTAAATAGTCATTAGAACCAGACTTAACTATAACACTAACCTTGCATTCCCCCAATCCATTTTATGATCGACTCATACGGACTGTCGAAATAACTAGACTAACATTCAAAGGATCTATATCAATATCTAAGAAGAAAAATTCTCTCACCTGGTTCATTTCTTTACTTTAGTTTTTTTCTTGTTACTGTCTAATTTAGAATTGTAGAAAGGGATGCAGAATTCAAGTGGATAGCCATGGTTCTAGTTCTCAACTGTCATATTCAAAGGTTTTGATTTAATGCCAAGAGTGGTATGTGCTTAAGCATATGATATATAATAGATGTTAATAGCTTTTATATAAAAATATTTTTTTTTCTCCTCACCTGCTAAATATTGACTATATAATTTGTCATTAAACATAATGACATCTAAGAGTCTCAGTACTCAACACTGATGATACAATTTAAGAATTATAAATGAAATTGATCCTAAATAGAATACAATTTCAAAAATGTACAAAGTTAAACATATAACATGCATGTCAAAATTTGTACTCGTATTATATCTTTGAACTTGCAAACGCTCAATACTATGGTAGTCATTAAATTTGGTCTTTATATATTCAGCCTAAATATGTTTCCTACGGGCTATACTATTCTTGCTTCACATTAATGTAGCGAGTTGATCAATTTCACATTGATTTTTAATAGTAGATGTACATCCGATTGGCGTGGGGAGTAGTGAATGTGCCTCTTGCATCAGAGGGTGTGAGTTCAATCCCCACTACTGGGAAAATATTGTGCGATGAACATAGTGTTTTTATAGTGTCTGGGTGTTTATAGGTGTATAATATGTATTTATTAACAAAAGAAAACTATGTTAATTACTTTTCTAGTACCCAAAGTACAAGCGTTGCTTAGTTTGGAACTAGAGAATGTTGCGTAAAAATGTGTCCGCTAATATGTAATATTTAATTTATTATGAAAAATTTTATTCAACAACAAACAAACCAAGATTTCATTCAATTAGGTTTGTGTTAAACATAAATGTGTACTAACATAATTAATAACTTCATTAAAAGTTTAATCATCTGCCATGATATTTATATAGCAATAGCAAGTTAATTGTGTAAAAAGAGACAAGAATTTCATTGTTGTTATTAGTTCTGCATAATTTTCATTGCTTTTATATTTAATTCAATAACTTCAGTACACTCCTACTATTCAGGTTATACTAGAGTTAATTTAGTGTGAAGTAAACTGACCACAGTTGTTGACATATCACTGATTGGCTCTTAGTAGATAAGTGTTCAGTGAACAGAAATTACATTTGATGACATATGACAATATGATTAAGGAAAATCAATAATAATATTTACAAAATCATTTGTAACTAAGTAATATTTAGACTATTAAGAATACTTGCCATGTGTAATAAAAACGTGATTAACACCTAACATGTTATCAATCACTCAAATGCAGTGCATTAATTAAAAAAAAATTCTAATACAACAACTTGTATGTTTTGGTGATACAAAATCCGTTTCAAGTGTAATACTTGTGTTTCACGGAGAGTTGAAGCTTTCACATTTCGATACATTGATCGTAAGCACAAATATCTATATCGGTTGGAGACACCTGTCGCTTACATTATACAAAAACATTATACAAAAAACGACTACTCCTCTTGCAACCGGAGCGTATCCGTTATACAGATCGCACAAGGCGTTTTCGCCAGAAGGAGGTGGTGACTATGTTTCACGAGTCACAAGCACGTTAGTCGCGAAAGCCTCTCACGTCACGATTCGTTGATGCTGACTACACATATTACACATATCACAAAACACATTTATCATGAGTCTGTACTCCATCGGGTCTGTTGACACTGACTGCATTTGGTGGCAGCGGTGGCAGCGGTGGCAGCGGTGGCAGCGGCGACCGTCACTGCCACAGGCCCGCGTAGTTGCCGATGAGCGGGGCGGGCAGGGGCCCGCCCGCGGTGAATATGCGCGTGCCGCTGTCGTCGTAGCAGTGCGTGTAGATGGCCGGCACGTACTTCACCTGGTTCAGCCCGTCCGCCTCCTCGTCGGGGAACTGGAAGCGGAGACTATATTACACGGGGAAGTTTCATTACACGCTCGGAAGGCAAGGGCAGCTGATAGAAATAAGGGGGGGGGGGGGGGGGGGGTGGATTCAGTTGGAAAGAGAGGTCTTAAGTGTAAGGTAAAGGTGCACCAGTATCAAAGCGTTGGAGGGGCCATAAAAAGTATAAGGGTCATTTATACAGGGTGGCTTTTCTAAAGGTCCCCAAATTCACATAGGAGGTTCAGACTCGGTAGTATAATCGTTTACACTTCAAATTTCAAAAAAATGCGTTTCTACGCCCTAAAAAACAGAACTTCCTGACAATGCGGTAGTCATTCATAAATGCGTCGTATACTTTTGAAACGAACTTGTGTGCGTGTTAGTTAAAAATGATTGCGCGTAAAATAAATGAGTTGCCCATAAATCACGCACTTTTTGAGATAAGTTAAAAAATATTTATATTTTTTTATATAACATTATTTATGTCTAGAATTGAATTAAAAAAAAAATGGATACGCTTACAAAAGCCTCCCTGTATGTATAGACAGTTGTTAAAGGAAACTGTGATAGTTAATTTCAAATTAAATTGTCTTCCCTCAACTTGACTCACCACATAGCCTCTGGAAGCCTTCAGAGTGACGGTTTTGGACGAGTGTATGTTGCTCTCGAGATATTTGCCAGCCCTCACGTCGTAGAACATTAGCAGACCTGGAATAGTATTGTACGCCATTTTTGAACTATCCACGTCAAATTGCATAAATACTTGAATGTTGAGTTGAAACTAAAGGGAACATTAGAACAGGAAAAAACATAAAAACTTCGAAGATAAGTGAAGTCAGCCAATCCACATAGTGTCCAGCAGTAAGATATATAAATAAGTTATAATACAATATACAAGTTTTTTTACAATTATTATTATTAATTACACTTTACAACCACTTAACATTGTGTGAATGGCCTCGTTTTGCACTTTTCTTTAACAGATGTTTTATTTGAAAAGCTTTTTACATCCGAGTGAAATTTTAAAATTTGTAGTAAAATGGACGAAGTTTTTCGCCGCTCCGAGGATTTGAACTTGTATTCTCCGGGATACGCCCCCGTCGATCTTGAAACTGAGCTAAAAGGCTTAGCTTTACACCGACACAAACCTCAACGTAATTTTGTCTATTTTGCTTTTTATTACATTTTTAAGCAATAGTTATGTAATAAATTTATTTAAAACTTTCGTGTGGCATTATTTACGTAACAATAAGACGGCCAAACTCGCCCTTGTATATTACACAAATATTTATGTTATCTAGAGTTTTATTTTACAGCAAGCGAAAACTTTTTCACACAAAATTTTATAGTGAAATATTTTAAACTAGACGACAGCTTTGCCAATAAAAGTTTTTTCATCCCTGGTCGAAAGTCAGCGATATGTCTCACCCAGTCCGGTTCCGATGGTGAGCATCTGTCCGCGGAAGCTCGCCGAGCGGATGCCACACCCGTTGTACCTGGACGTGATCTTCTTGATCGACTGCAGGGTCCTGCAGTCCAGCAGCAGCGTGTAGGACTTGCAGCCGATGGCGTACATGCCGCTCTCCTGCTGCGACGTGCAAACGGTCACAATCAGGGTCAAAGTCAAAGATTCTCTATTCAATATAGGCTTAACTACCACCGGTTCACTAAAGTAGACCTGTCCAGAGAAGAACCGGCGAGAAACTCCGCTGTCTTGTTATCTTTTCTTGTACTTATATAATTACACAAAATACGTAAAAGTCATTTTCACACATTTCCTTCAAAACGTCGAAAGGTGCTGCTACAGGTCGCTGAGAGCTAAAGTATATTGATGGGAAGCAGTGATGTGGTGACAGGTTAATATAATGGCACAGCGGACATTATGTCATCTAATTGGGAAAATTAAATGTTGAAAAGGACACTGCTAGAGATCACTCGAGTGCACGGCCAGTTTCCAGACAAAAGAGTAGTTGATTTTATAATAATAAGTAATGAGATATTTTAAATCTTATGACATATTAATATAAAACCGTGCCGGTCTTCTATGAGGTTGTGTTACTTCCCCAGATTGAACCAACGACCCCCGGCGCCGAAGCCAATACCTTGACAACTGTGACATGCAGTCATCAAATAAAAAAAAAGATCTTTATAGGTCGCAGTGGTAATTTAGACTTGCTACCCAACCCCTTTCAAACGAAATACAAATACAATATAAGATGTCACCTGGGTGGCAAGGCAGACCAGGTCCTGGCACGAGGGCAGTTTCCTTGACAGCGTCTGGCGGAAGGTCTCAGCGTTGAACACGTGGATGTAGCCGTTCAGGGTCAGGGCGGCTATTTCCCGCCAGCGTTGGTTGAATGTCAGCGCTCTCACCTTCTGACCTAAGTGGACAGACAAAGTTGTATTCGGTTAACATTTCATAATGGCACGGCCAATCAAATTCAAATATCTTCAGTCAATGTGAGAAGTGTTACACTCGCTTAGTGACAGTCACAATACTACCGCCTACTACTAACGTTTCGCTTAATTAATCGCTAATATTTTGGTTTTTTACCAATTTAAGCTATACTAATTAATAATTACGAATTTAGCAACTGATACATTTTTAACATTTTCTGGGATTTTGTTGCAGATACATATAAAGTTAGGGCCTTGCAATAGCTTTAGTTATTACACAAATGGGCAGGTCCAATGCAAAGCATGGGCGGCTGTTATCACATCAAATGAATTTTTATTGTAACATATTTTTTTTGTAACACACTTTATATACTGTATTTTTACTGTATTTTAGTTTAAGGCTTGTATTATTATAATGTTCGTATTTCACCTTTAGTTTTGTAATAGTTTTTTGGTTTTGTCTCTACTGTCTGTTAGAAAGTAGTTTTTACGTCTAATTAAGGTACCACTCGTCACTTTTTTGCAAACCTTGTTTATTTACTCTGTTACGGTGTGTTCTTTGTTGGTGATAAATAAATAAATGAATTGCGAGCTCATTTGCCACATAAACAGTCCTCTGAGCACAGGATAATGTTATGTGTAATACTAGCGACCCGTCCCGGCTTCGCACGGGTGCAATGTATTATACATATAAATAAACTACTACTAATAAAAAAACCGCATCAAGATCCGTTGCGTAGTTGAAAAGATCTAAGCACACATAGGGAGAGATAGATAGCGGAACGACTTCGTTTTATACTATGTATGTGGCGATGTAATTATTATAAAGGCGAAAGTGTTTATGTCTGTCACCGAATGGCTCTCACCGGCGCGGCAGTCGCGCACGGCCAGCGGCGCCACGTAGCCGTGGCGGGGCGCAGGCCCCTCTTCGGCGCCGGGCTGCGCCCTCCACAGCGCCAGCTTCGAGTCGCGCGACCCCGTCACCACGAACTCGTCGTCCAGCCAGCACATGTCCAGGATCTGGGGGCGGACACCGCAAGAGCTGATCATTCATCATACGTGCAGACACTTTGTCCTTTATGTTCGACGAGGGGCTTTCTTAATTAAAAACACTGCCCTCACTTTAGGATAACATTATCCTGTGTTGTAAGGCCGTTTGACAAACATAAATTCCACATGGACAAAAATCCAGATCAAAACGAATCGAAACAACTATCTGTAGGTCGCTCAAATAGTTGTCCCGTGTGGGAATCGAACCACGAAATCCCTACGCCATAGCCAATACCTTGGCGCCACGGAGTCATCAAAAATGTTATTATTATAGATGGAAATTGACCCAGTGGTTAACCATGTGTTAATTGATTATTGCAGCCACCCGTTAGGTTGTGCAGTTCCAACGTTTACGAGACACGTTCTAGCCCTGGTTACCTTACTTCCATCAGATGTTGCTCTCGTGCGAGGTTAGTGCAACACGAAAAATTACCGTGTGACTCTACGACATTGTAGACTGAACGGAGTTGAATAAAGTGAAATAATGACGTAACATTCACCGTGAGGTCGTGGTACTAACCGGACGGACCTGCCCATTCGTGCAACAGCGGAGACTGTTGCGTGGCCCTTCATAAATCTGGTGGCTGGAAGCCCCAATACCACATACAGCACCTTACCCAGTCTTTGTGCGCTTCGCCAACGCAGACCGGATCGAGCGTGGGTAAACTGTATATGGCAAGCTCGCAGGAGTTGCGCGCACCGGTAGCCAACAGTGTTCTGGAAGGCAAAATTCAACAATGGTACACACTTCACCATACATAAATATTGTGGTGGGGCAAGCAACAGTTTGCTGTTGCTTCAATGAGCAGGTCCATCCAGTTTCCCAGCAGTGGGACATATTGGACTAAAATTCTTTTGTACTTTGTTTCATGATTTTATATAAATTTGTACTGAATGCTTGAAGACTTATAAGGGATCAAATGAGTAGACAATTGACCTGAATATCATATATATACGATATTCACTTGATTATATAAATATATAATCAAGTGAATATCGTTCATGGAACTGCATTTATCATGTACTCTACCACAATTCAAGGGTCCTATGACAGTATATTAGGTATGAATATGAATTTTATTAGGAGTTACGTTTTTAAACTTTAAGCTAACCATGCATTTTACTGAAGCCTCGTGTATTAACCATTAAAGGGTAAATGTACGCTGATTCTTTCAATTATTCACGAAACTTTGGCACGGAAGCTTTCTGATCTATAGCAACTACTACTAGGTACGAACATTGAATTCTTTTGTTTATGAATATGGAATGGACGTGATCGCTCATTGTCCAGGCGCTCGCGTTTAATTGAATATACTCGAGAAACCCGAGTTCGATCCCTGTTACCGGCATCAATGAGGCGGCGAATGAAAACACCGTGAGGAAATCTGCATATTTTTGAAATAAAAAAAAAAAAAGTAATATTTCGAAGTTATGTGGAGTCTACCATTACGCAGTGGGGCCGCGTGGTGGACTATGCCCTGATACCCTCTGTACAGAGACCTTTGCCCAGCCTTTCCTTTTATGTGGAATGCCTTGTATGTGTTATTTGTCTCAAGTTATCACAAGCAGAATGGCAGGGATGATCTAGTGAGTTTGGAGTCTCAGTAATTAGAGATTGGTGTGTAGGAGGCGTTAGGTGGCAAGACCTGGAGGGGTTGATTTGCAGTGCATGGATCCCAGTCTGGTGCTCGGCACCAGGCCAGGGCGCCCGGGGCCTCAGGGTTGGGATCGCGTCCAGCGACCTTGACCGCACGTCGTACACCATCAACTGAAATGGGAGTAGTCCACTTAAGTCAAATATCAATTTCTTTTTCCAATACTGGAATTGAAGGGCCATGCAACATTTATTGAAAACCAGTATTTTTAATAGGTAAGATGATTTAATAGCGTTAGATAGTATTACATACCTTATTGCACTTAGTCCCAAAGACGACCTGCCTGTCGGAGAGCCATTGTGAGCAGAAGACCTTGTTCATGTTGCCGAGACTGACAGGTGTTTCACGGAACATGTCATGAGTGAGCATATGGCGTGTCGCGTATGACGGATCAACCGAACGCGGCTGAAAAGAAATCATACATGTATTGTTCAATATCACTAATTTATGGATATAAATTTATCAATAGATAGAATAACTCTTGAAGTAGTTCTGCAAAGAAGTGTACATGTTAATGTAAATCAAACATCCTTGGTACTAATCTATATTATTTGTTATACAATTTGGATAGCAATGTTCATTTTAATCTAACTGATATTGATGATTTATAATATGAGAGGTAATTTATTTAAATGCCAAGCTTTTTCATAGTTGTTTAAGTCTCCTTAATTGAACATCTATTTAGGTTAAAGCTGACAAATTTGATAATTCTTGTGCATTCATTGTTGTTTTCCATAATAATTGCAAAATTTTCATAATTATAATATGCAAAATGACATTTTAGTCTAGATAGCAGTGGTTGTTTGGGACTACTCAACCTCTTTTACATAAATCATGCAATTATTATGTTTGATATATTCTGACATGGAAAAATTACTGTTATTTAGATTTGCATACCAATTCAGAGACGTCATGCCGCAGCATGCCAGTTTTGTACTTAACTCGGATGACCTTGTGCTTTTCTTGTCAGTGAAATAAATATGATGAAAGTTATATCTGTAACTACCTCAGGTGCTTGGATTTCTCTAGAGCGAACATAGTCCACAAAGTTGTATGACGTGGAAAGTATCCGATGCTGTTGTGCTGGGGTCTCCTCTTCGCTATCACTGTCCGAGTAGCAGACAAAGTCCTCCGGCTTGTCTGGCTTACTTTGTTGTTGTAGCCTGAAAGGTGATGAAAAATGATTGCCTGAAACTGTAGGTTCTGTTTTACCTGTAACTGTCAGGTATTTCTTTAATAAGTGAAGACATTAATGAGCAAAATTAATTAAATAATACAAGTAATTTTAACCGAAAAAGAAACTAAATAGTAGTATTGATAATTAAGATGTAAGGTTAGTAATGTAAATATGTAAGTGCAAACTTTGTATTGATTTTATTGAATATGTTAAATAAAAATGTGATTGATTGAGTCAGGTATCAATTTTGAACCAGAAGTACATTTTTATTTTAAATTTATATTTAGACTTAAATAATATATATTTTTATGATTAATAAACAGCAAAAAACTTGTTGATCCTAATGCTGAGAGATTTTTTTGATTCATTAATTATAGGCCTTTATCATATGACTTTATCATATAAAAGTTAACTTGACTATATCAATTATATAATATATACAACAAAGAAAATTTTCTATTTTTCAATCATAAACATGCCATTAAACATATTTATCAAAATGACAAAAATCATAAATGTTCATATGTTGTGATTATTGAATATTATCTGATATTCTACTGATAAACATGATTATCACCTAATTCTTTTCGATTTAACATTCCTTCACTCATTTAATGTATATATAATATCGACAACATAGCAGTCACACACACAACCAGCAATTAGCTTTTGTTTACTAAGTTAAAGACTGACAAAACTGTAGAGAAAATTATAGAAATATTTATTTTTGGGATCTGGAAATGAGAGCAATACACGTAGCATATTAATAAACAAAACTGGTTTACCTCAATGCCCTAGCTTTCGCTCTTCTTTCTTTAATTCTATTTGGTAAATAGCAAGACGGATACCGTCCTTCAATGGCACGTCTAACAGTCTGCGACATTTTTCCAACGCGTTACGAGTATTCCAGCCAGAATATTAAATATATAATTCACGTACAACTAGTCACTTTCGTTTTGTTCGGTTGTAAATGGATCCATAACGGGAAGACATATAGTACGAGTTTCACCATAAACACACAACAAGGCCCCTTAATGGGTTCCGAAAGTTATAATTTCAAATTTGTAAATACTTAACACCAGAGTAAATGACATCGAATTTAACGAAGGAGTAATTTACTCCAAAAATTTAGGGTATTACAGTATAGAAGAATAATAATAAATTACTGACGGAAAGCTGATTGTCAAGTCAGCTTGTCAATAGTGTTACTAGTTTTAAAATTATTTCGTTTAACAATATAGCAATACGTTCTGAAAATTAAACAATGGCAAATAAGCCACTTTCGTATTCCCTACACGTAACATAAAAATTTCCATGCTTATTAAGTATAATATAATTTATTATAGTCAATATAATTTTTTATAATTACAAGGTTACAATATATATTGGTATGAAAGTAAAGTAACAGCCTATACACATCTCCCACTGTTGGGCAAAGGCCTCCTCTATACAGAGGGTATCAGGGCATAGTCCACCATGCGGCCCCACTGCGGATTGGCAGACTTCACATAACTTCGAAAAATTTTTTTTGTTATTATTTCGAAAATATGCAGGTTTCGTCACGATGTTTTCCCTCACCGCGGAGCACGTGATAAGTCGGCACTTAAAGTTAAAAACTTCATTGGTGCCGGCACCGGGGATCGAACTCAGGTTACTCGAGTATATTGAATTAAAGGCGAGTGCCCGGACACAGAGATATCACGGCTCAGTATATATTTGCTTTAGCTCAGTATATATAGCTCATATTTGATTGGTATAATAAGGTAGAATAATATAAGGTTTGAATCCCCCAACGCCGAAAGTTTTTGTTAATTTATCTACAATTTATAATTTAAAGTTTCATCTTGAGTGCAGAGACTAGCACTAAAAATAAAAAGCGCAACAACCTTTGCCGGGCAGCTAGTAGGTTATAGAATTTGAAAGCAGTGTTGATATCTCTCGCATTCATAGTTAAATGTTATTTGAAAGGTGTTGTATTTTGTAAAGGATGCACACTAGATGGCGCCAAGCAATGCTAGAAATGCAATAAAACAAATGAAGATAGATGTCAAGACTTTCGCGCTGTGAGGTCATCAGTCACTTAGCTAAGTTGGTAAAGTGTCGAGCCGCAAAATCAGAACACCAAGGTTCGGATCCCGCAACGCCGAATTCATTTATCCACAAAAATGTATAATTTAAAACACATTAAAGTTTTTTATTGTAGAGATGTTATGATGATAAAGTTGTTTATTGATTTTTATCAATAAAAAATTAAGTGTTTTATTAGTTTTGGTGGCAATTTGAATTTCATGATATTTATTTATTTATTTATTTATTTATTTGATATACCAACGAAATGGACACTGAAAAAATTTAAGTGTACACTAATTATACGGAAAAACATATTCATGTTAAGTGCCACCTCAATTATAGGTGTATACGACATTTGCATGAGAAACAGGATTATTTAAGCATTGAAAATTCAACGATTAAACTAATACAATTCAAATCAATCCAAAAAAAAGCACAATTCATTACATTATACACATATGAAGGTGAAATCTAAAAAGTTATAATAAACATAGGAGTAAAAGTAAACGTCTGTGAAATATTTTGATTACATAATAAATTAATAACATTGGAATAAACAATATTAATTTTTTAACAATAATAAAATTTTAACAACAGTCGACATAAAAATAACATAAAAAAGATATAAATTTATACTAAGCATTTCGCAATATTTTTCTTGAATACATATAAACTGTTTGTGAATATCGATGGCTGCTGTTTTAGCATTCATTACCTTCTTACCACCGTGGTCAATTAGGTCAGCATCAATACATTTATTATGAACATCATTGTAACTTCTTGTTATCCTATTTAGTGGTGAGTTATGCCCCAAATTAGACCTTGCTCCCTTTTGTACAAATGGAACATATTTTAGTGATCTTGGCAATTTCCTAGGTACACAAATAGATAATTTAGACAGCAGATTAATTGTGTCCCTGTGACCGTTGATTAGTTTAAACAGTAACATAATATCAATGAATTTTCTACGGACAAAGAGAGATTTGAGTTTAAAGTGGTCCAAACGATCTTCATAGCCACAAGAATCTCTTTTGTACGTTCTCAATGCGTTTGACATAAATATCATAGTGTGGGTTCCACACAACACTGCAGTATTCCAGGCTGCTAGGCACCAGAGCGGTGTATAGTGCAATTTTGGTCATAGGGTTCCTAAATTCCTTACAGTTACGCAGCACAAATCCTAAAGTTTTTAATCCTTTTTTAACTATGTTTTCTATATGTTTATTAAACTGCAGTTTGCTATCGAGAGTTACGCCGAGATCACGAATGTTGTCAACCTCTTCCAGTAAAGTGCCATTCACACAGTACGTTCTAGGAAGCGAAACCTTTTTTCGGGTGAAGCGAACAACATAGCATTTGGTAGCGTTTAAGGCCATATCGTTGGACTTGCACCAAGATACTAGAGGGTCCAAATCTGTTTGTAACAATATTTCGTCGTCAGTTGAATTTGTTTTCCTGTAAAATTTTAGGTCGTCAGCAAACATAATGAATTTAGAATTTTGAAAACATTTGCTATTATAAAATATTATCTAGCGCCACGCCCCGGCATCGCACGGGTGCAATGTAGATATTAAATTATTCAGCTTTTCTCAACTATACTATGTATGTATATTACATAAAAACCTTCAGCTTGAATCGCTTTATCTATTGCCGAAACAGCATTTAAATCCGTTGTATAGTTCATAACATCGGGAGCGTCTTTGTTTTATAATATGTAAAGAATCTAAACAGATTGTCAATAGACGACTGTTTTTATACTCATATCTATAAATAAATTAATAAAACATTTTAAAACAATAATTTTTAAATTATTTGGTTATCTTTCATCATAAGTGAGAAACATAATTATTGAAATGATATAGCAAACGTTATTCGTCACAATGTATCGAGGGAGATGGCGTATCTATCTCTAGATGTTTACGCATGTAAAGTTTGCGCATTTGAAAGGTTCCTCCAAAAAGATAATATTATCCTATACAAAGTTGTCCACATAAAAACAAAAAACAAATCAAAACAGAAGCTGATGGAATTACGGCGCGCAAATCAGTACATTTAAACATGTTGTCGTCAAAAATAGTTACTGACATATTTTAGGTAGGTACTATTAAATATAGCGGATGTTACCATAAATTATTAACTGAACGCTTGCTTCGAAACGGATGCAACAGGAAATCGAATCAAGGGTGTTCAATATTAATTAACGAGTTCAGCGTGGTCACTTCCGGGCTGTGCATATACAAATAAACGGGAAGTTGTTTGTAAATTTATTGGCAGAGTTATTTATACTCGTAATATTAGCATGTATTAAATAATTGATGCGAATCGTGGTATTAGCCTTTGTAATTTGTAAATATTCCATACCAGGGATAATGTAAAAATTCGTACGAAAGGTAACCACACTATTTGCAATAAAAAAACTAATCAACGATTGTTTAAGAAGTAGTTTAAGTGACGATTATGTCGTTCCAAATGAGGAATTAATATTCTTGTCAAGGCAGAGGCAACATGTGTATGCAACATGTAATTGTTCAAGGCCTCAATATTTTCAGTAGTCGCGTTCCGATGTAGGTCCAGAAGCCCGCAAAGTTCGGATGTCCCAATGTCCTGAGCTGACTCCTTTGAGAGAATCAGCCCTCTCAGTCACACAATGCTGTCTTCCTCCCCGATCGAAGGGTATATCAAAAGTAATGCATGTAACAACGAACTATTTAACATGTACGTCGTGTTGCAGATATTCCCCTTTTTTATCGGAGAAGGTAGCAAGAGAGCTGACAATTCGCTTAATGTTAAGTGATCACCACCGCCCCTGGACATATACAATCCTCGTATAGTAGAACATGTGTTGCCACTTTTTAATAAAGCTGGCCCCGACTAACTCACCAGACGAAACGCTGAATTATAACACCTCCACTTCACGCCGGTCTTATGTGAGGTCGTGGTACTTATCCCGAGTGGACCTGCCCGTTCGTGCAACAGCGAAGACTGTTGCGTAGCCCTACAATAGTTAAATGTTACCCTGAAAAAAAAAATGTCTTCATGCAACACATAGGCAACTGGTAACATGATATTATTCATCAATAGCAAAAGTTGACATTAACATTGTTTGGAACGTGTGAGTTTTTCACAAAAACAATGAATAATCGGCAAAGATACTAACATTGACAATTTGGTTGCTAGTTTTTTTATGCTTTGGAAGACCATCAGTAATAATTTGATTTGACTTAATTAGTGTTGTCATTAATTGAGTAATAATCACTAATACTAATGAATTTTCTTGTAGTCAACAAAAATTATACATAAATCAATCTTCAAGTTAACAAATTATTAAAATACTTTTCTTACATTATATTTTTTATAGGTTTATAATTTAGCACCATTATCCTTTCAAGAAGAATATTAAATACATATTATGATAAAATATACATGAACAATCGGCATGGGGCACCTTCGTATGCTTACGAATGTACCTCTTCTTATATCCATATGCAAATTAGATAATTAGTTTTTATAAACATATCTTAAAGATATTTACTAGTTACCTGTAGAAAAACGGTGTCGAAACATAATTTGTCATATCTAGTGTAATGCTGCACGTAAACATTAATCAAAAAATTACTGTTACTGAAAAATTAAAAAGAAACGTCCGTTAGCTTGTCCTTTGTGTTTTAACCTAATGTACGTATTTGCTCCCCGTACGAATGGTGCCTACCTCCCCTGTACATATTATATACTATATTTACCCTATTTAGCTAGCACCTACACTTCTCCTTTACTAACTTTCCGGGTAGGTGGTAGAAAATGCCTTATGGTATT